CTGTTTATCAAAGAACTATATGCGGTATTAACCAACATTTGCCCCCCAAAATCAAACTTTGATGGAGTAATATTTAATTAAGTCCTTAAACAGGGGAGTATATGCTGACTTCAAAGCACTGAATAATTTCATGAGTAATGACGTCATATGTACGTAATGACGTCACAAATATGACGTAAATTTCAGTTTTTTATGAATTTTGCAGAAAAATGTACATATTTCGTCGATATTTTAAATAAAAGTCACCGAGCGCATGTGTGTTCAGGATAAATATTTTGATATAATGTGTAGAATGATAATATCAATGAAATATGTCAATATTGTTCCTGAACACACATGCGCTCTATAAATTTTAAAGCTTAAATTGTTGAAATTTTGTCCATTTTGTCCTCTTTCTGAAAAAGGATATAAAATCGGACTAGTTTGTGACGTCATAAAAACAGAACTTGTGAATACACTGCTCTGGAACTATAATATTTTCTGTTAACTTATATTTCTCGTACAATTTATTGAATTCAGCACATTTCAGGAAGTTTTCAAAATTTGACTTTTGTGGGGGCAAACATATGCAATATACCGCATATAGTTCTTTTAATTTTGGTGAACTGTGTTGCCGTGGTTACTAAAAATTGAAATGTCTGTAAAATTGTTTCAAAATGCTACTCCTCCTACAGTTTGGTCTTATTTCAATATAACTTGGCACACAAGTAGACTACACTAAGAACATAAAGAGACTTTATCAAGGATCATTATTCTATATATTGCTGTTGTAAAGTTTCAAATCCCAGCTGCTTAAGTACTCTTCTCTTCCTTTGCTATAAGTTCAAACCAGTAGAGCTTCAGTCTCGACAGAGACTTCTGGTTAAAAGTTATTTTCCCTTAATTGCTATGTAAACCATTGTGAACATTTTAAGTCTTTTTGAATTTTTTAGGGGGGAATCTGTAGAATCAAGAGTAACAAAATGGACATAGGAAAATGGTGAATTTTTATGGCGTCGAGCTTGCTCGATCGTCATCTAGCGATCAGTCAGGTCTACGCGACCGTATGTGTCAGTGGATGCATCCGCAATAGAAAATAGCAACAGCTGTAAACCAATTTCTTTTAAAACGTTCACAATGAATAATAGCTTGAATATAAAATTAAATCAATTGTATCTTCAATTAATACTACTACAAAACAACGATAGTATGTTTAATTTTTACGCAAGAAAAACGTTATGGTTGTTGCGGATGAATTTCTACAGAGAGAGTGCGTCGAATGACATGAATCACATTTTGGGACCGATTACTGTAATACAAACAATCTGAAAGACGGTAAAATAATTACAAAATAAACACGAATACAACAAGATTATAAAGATTGAATTTCTTAATCTTAGCTTTACTTTTACGATCTTCAATCCAATTTTATCCGAACAACCGATGATATTGACCAGTAATGCCAGTATTACTGTATTTATCCATTTCCTCCATTTGTTTACCGCACATGTCGTAAGTCGATCGTACTTGTAACATTAGAGTCATGGTTGTAGTTAAGATGCAATCACTATACAACATAACAACGCTCTGACGATGGCAATTAATAAGAATAATTTATGAAACCATTCATAGGTCTTCGATTGACTGAAAAGAAATTAGATTGATATAGAGCATGGACATTTCTGACGATGTCTGGTCAATTCGAACCCTGACTCATTCGGACCAGGACATAAGGCTATAAGGCCCTATACTGTATTTGTGTTAAGACTATTTTTTAAAAATTTTATTATTATGTTACTGGAGTCACTCACTTGACCTATCTGCAGATCTTTTGAAATTGTCTTTCTTGTTTGACGCCATTGAAGCCTTTCAGGCTTTTGATTTTAAAACTATGACCATGATGACATTATAAGGCAGAAAAACAATAAGCTGAGGATATGTACATCATAAATATGGTCCTAGCAATGTAAGGGAAAGAACCACAAAACCAAGCATACAAAGAACAAGAAAGAAAAACAACAGAAACTTTTTTTAAACAAATGACATTATTCATGGGTATGACTGAAGTAATTTGAGTAGCATAATTGTTATGGGACATCATGATTACCGGTGGTCATTTTCAACTGTTGTCGATACTTAAAACAACACATTTCTGGGATTTTTTGAATTTTAAATTGTTGAATGAAGATGATATAATTACCATGAATATGAAGTGCTTGATACAAGTAGTGGACAATAATGATAGAATGAGAGGAAGTGTTCAGAAAGGCAGAAATATATGTATTTCTTGGGAATAAAATTTTGTTTATGCCAATGTTGATAATTTTCAAGGAAATAAAATCCTACACAAACTTAACTTTTATTCAACAAAATATTGAATAGAAATACCTTGAAACAATGAAATTTTATACAATAAAATTTGGGATAGGGTGGGGATGAAAATAGAATGAGGCTCAATATATTTTCTGCATTTATAAGAATCTATACTTGGGGAAAAAATCTGCTGGGTCATAGTTCTCAAGTGAGCATTGTGGCTACAAGCTTGGAGTAATTAAGTATACTGTATAATCCCTATTAACCGCTCCTGCCTCTACAAGCACCCCGTTAGATCTTTTTCAATTGTCAGGAATTAAGGGCCCCTGTACAGTGATTAAAATCAACTAGAATCATATAAAGAAATTGAAGAATGTGAAAATGAAACTTCTATTATCCAATTTCTCAATGGAAAATGAATAATTTAACATAATTTGGATGGATTATCTTCACTTAAAGTAAAGTTAGACATTATTTTAGTGTTTCTTGTATTTATTTATTTTTTCAAAAGAGTTTGTGAAGTTAAAATATGACATTAAATATTATAAAGAGAATACCAAAATAACCGCCCCTCTTTGCAATTTTCTAGGCACCCAGGACGATTAATAGGGATTATATGGTAGTTCACTTAAGTTCATCTAATTAATGTGATTTTTGAAAATGTAATTTTTCTATGTTAAAATGTTAAATTTCTGAAAATAATAATTAAGACCATATATAAAGATTTGTGCTAGTGACATGCATGTCCTTGTATGTATGCCTTAATTGTCTGACATGCAATTTATTTCATTATAGAACATTCTTACTCAGGGTTTAAAGGTTTTCACCTGCACCAAGCTGAGTTTGTTGTCTATATCTCTAGGTACGAATCATGGCTGTATGTCATGTTCACACAGTCTTCTGTATTGGGAACTGAACTATTTGCTGGCTAACATGAACAAAGTCCAGCATTGGGTGGAATTTAAGAAAAATAGTTATCATTGAAATTCTCAGACTTTATGAAGGATTTTCTACTTATTAATTGTCATATATCTTCAGGTGCTTGATGGAAAATACCTGTCTCATGATTTTAAGTGTATCTACAGTATAATCAGAAGTGGAAAAATGTAAGTTTTTTTACTTAAGTTAAACGACGTAATAACTTGTTTCATAAAATGTCATTTAAAAAAAAAATCACTTCTGGCATATTTTAATTAGGGCATGATATTCCATTTCCAGAAATGACTACATCTATGCAATACATGTAGCTGCTATTGGCTAGGCTAATTCAGCTAATTTCTTTAGGGGTCTGTGGGTTAGGTTCCCTCAAACATTGACTATACTAAACAAAAAGTGGAGAGGCCAAATTAAATGTTATTTATGGAGAAAAGTACGGGGGGTGTCAGCCCCCCGCTACATTCCTGCAGGTTATTGATGATGGTGAATCCATGAAAGTCAAATTTTTGTATAATAAAACCATATAAATACAATATTGATATGAACAAACAAAATTAATACACGTATATTGCCTGTGGCAAAGATTTATTCCTATGACAGGATGGAATGTGAAACTTTTTCCTTCCAATGTTTCCTGCTTAGAATCACAACAGGCTCCTGGAATTTCTTATTATTCAATATTTGCTTTAAAAAATAAGTTTAAAAGAATAGATGTTTGACAGGAAAAAGTATTATTTGTACATAAGTGTGTATATTACACAAAAGTTCAAGTGGTCTAATTGAGAGCTATAGAGAAAGACCTCTTGAAATGTGTTAATCCTTGATGGATATTGAACTTAAGAGACAAATCATGCATGTACATTTAAAAAGATGGTTGATATCCTTGAAAATGAGTTTTTTCCTCCAATCTATAGTTCTTGTTTCACAACAGAATCTACAACAGCTTCAAAACAGGCAAGTAGGAGAAAATACAATATTATAGCATAAATTCAAATGATTTTTAGGTCAACTGAGTCACTCAAGTGACCTGTTGTTATACATGTACTGTAAACCAAATATTATTCGTGTCATGTCTTATTCGTGATTTATGAGTTTGAAATCAATTTGCAATTAATAGTTTTCATGACTGAGGAAACATTTCTCTTTAAATACTTAGCAAAGTGATTGATTCGTGGTAATTAATATTTGGGAGTTAAGATAGGCTGCGGAACTGGCAGATATTTCTCGCACATGATTAATAGTTGGTTTACAGTATATGTTCATCTAACGTGCGTTGTGTATTAAGATTTTTTAAACTATTTAACTAATTTCAATCAATTTTTAGCATGGGAGATCATCTATGTGTAAAGGAGAGTGAAAATTGTAAATATCTTAGCCCCCTTATCCCCCCTTAAACCATAAAAAATTATGTTGTCTTTAAAAATCTTCTTGAGGACTTGGTAGAGGGTTTTGGTGCCAGGCTGGGGCTCTAATGATTGTATTGTGAAAAAGAATTCTTGGAAAATCTTCTTACTCTAAATGAATAATATTATTTAAAAAAATATGAACCAAATGGTAAGAATTTTCAATCCATTATGGAAAAAATTAACAAATATAAAATTGTAAACATTAAACCATCAATGACACTGTGTCTAACTTGTACCTATTAATATATTGGACATTCTTAAAGTTTATTACTATAACAAAGTAAATAATAGTTGACATTAAAAAATAATGTGAAAAAAGTCTATAATATTGTAGACCACAGATTATTGTCATGTTTATCTGTTGATTGTTTACAAATCCCCAGATTATTGGTATGACTGCAGGATCATAAGACAAACTGACCATCCATGACATATTTATGGACAATTTTACAGGTAACCTAGTTCTTATTGAGTGCCTCGTTAGGTTTTATGTGGAACGACAAACATCAACTGATTGGAGGAATTTTTGTATTTGATTGATTTAAAGTGTATTCTCTCGTAACAATTTTTTGTTGAATACCTATCAGGAGAGTGAATGGTAAGGTGTTCACCTTTTTGTTTGATTTCTCAAGTTTGTTTATGCATAGCAGTATTTGTAGTGTATGAAGTAGGTGAAGACTAATTTATTTTACAGGTAAATGCCTTAATTGTAATGTTCGATTTACTGGAGGTGGCCAAAAATAAAGTTTTTAAGATAAACAAAGTGATGTAAAGGATATTTGACCTAGCTTCTTTGTTATTACAAGTAGAAGGTTATTTTCTTTACTGGAATATTCAAAATATTTTTACTGTGTACATCAGACAGGATAGTTATAGGACATTGTAAAATGTCTATATCTGCAATGCACTTGTGCACTACCATCTGTTGCAATGTTGATTGAAACTATTCGTATATTGTCAATATAGAATAAAGAGTGTATTGATATGAGAGATAGTTTTGGTGTTTTGGCATTCAGGGACGGGAGAGAGATTATATTGCCACACATACTCTATAGCAACATTTTATCTGGGTGTCACATAAGGTGAATGTACTGAGCTTATCAGCCCACTACACCGAGAGCATGCATATCTGTATCTAGTGTGGTTTTAATTGGAAGACTTTGAACCACATTAAGGTGGTCTTTACCACATTAAGGTATTCTTTACATTCCACACCCAAATCTTCTAATTCCAGTTCTTCTCATCATTGACACATACCTTGGTCTTTAGAATTTGAAAGTAGATCAAACTTTTCATTGTGTACGTACTAGATTGTGGCTGGAACATTTTATTTTTCAAGTTGCAAATAATTTTTTTAAATAACCATCATAATAGGTATATATATATATTTATACATGTTGATCTTACAAGCATGACCTGGTTCAATTTAAATCTCAACAAACTCAGTATGTTATCAATCTCCTGTGAATTGGAGCATTAATTCTGTTTTTAATTGCCAGAGACATTTTTTTTTTAATTTCTGAAGAAAAACTTAAGAATGCTATAAGATTGTAAACGGATATTTGGTAAGTTTGTGTAAGAGAAGTATCAGGAAATAAGTTCAGGATGTGCTGAATTGATTAAATATAATGATATGATCAACAGGATTTTGTTACAGTATTGATGTCAGACTTAAAGTTATTGTAGAATATAAAAGGGACTATATACAAGAGAATCACCTGATACAGAATGGCAGAAGTGGCAGGTGGAGGGGATGGAACAGTGAGACTGGAATCGGTCAAAAGGTACCCTTCCTTTAAATTATGTTATGGAAACGGTAAAAAGTGCTGACAGAATCTGACAAAAGGTACCTAACCTGTAAAATATGCCATAAATGAGCATGCTTAGTGAACAAACTTCACATTTGATAATTTTCAGTTACATACCGTAAGCTTAAATTTTGGTTGATTAAGAGAAGTCATTTTGGCTATCGTTAGCAAAATAAAAAATATATAAATTACTGCAGACTAGGAAATGCAGATTACATACAGATGAAATGTGCTATGTAAAACTGGAATCAGTTTAAAGGTACTTGGACACAGATTTGAAGTTAATTTTTTCTGTATAATATCACGAATTATATATTTTAATACCATTTCACACAAAAATTAATTAAAGATCTTATTTCATTAAAAAGATGTTAAAACTTTAAATTTTTTGGCGGGTTTGATTGACACATCCTTGCACTTTCACAAATTTTAACTTTATTCTTTATCCTTAGGAAAAATGGCAATCTTGTTGTGTATTATTGGGAAATATTAAAACTTAAATCCAGAAAAATAATTTTAATCAGAGTAGAAATGTTAGAAAGCAAAACTCCTTCACAAGTATCGTCATTCCATTGTGTACAGAGTTTAGCAAATCGAATACAATCGTGTTATGTACACAGTTTTTGTAAACAAGGCAAGAGCGTTTTATTGTTTTGTGTTTACGATTCACCGGGTGCGTTTAATTGCCAAAGTCTGCTCACCACAACTGCATGGACTGACAATACATTGTGTGTTTGTTTTGCTTTCGAACATGTCTACTCTTAATTTTCTGGATTATAGTATTAATATTTTTCATTAATACACAACAAGATTGCCATTTTTCCTAAGGATTAAGAATAAAGTTAAAATTTGTGATAAGTGCAATGCGTGTCAATCTTTGAAAATCCCGCCAAAAAAATAAAAATTTTAATAACTTATAAATGAAATAAGATTTTTAATTGATTTTTGTGTGAAATGCTATTAAAATATATATGTCGTAATATTATAGAGAAAAAATTGACTTCAAATCTGTGTCCAAGTACCTTTAAAGGTGTATCATATTGTTGGAGGTGTGACCTACATAAGGCTTGAACCCAGTAAGAGGATCAACACACATATATAGTGCAGTGACAAAGATAGTTTTTGGAGCACTTATCTGCCTGGTTTATATCCAATAAGGAGGTCCACCTTGACCTAACTAGAATGGATGCTAAGTATTAATACTACTTGACTTCATCTTCTTGCTCCATCTGACCTACATTTTTATGAATGAGAGAACAGTTTGAAGTTAATGGAGTTTAGACCCTGAGCTTTTCTCAGTTGCATAAGTCTAAACTTGGCATGGAGTTTGCATTTAAATATGCAAAAATAAACAGCCATTTAACCATCTTAAAAAATTTGTAATTTCCAACATGATCATCAAATGGCACATTGCTCGCTCATTTGAAAATAGCAGATATAAACATGATAAACAGTAACTATAAACAGAGATTGACAATTATCCGGTTTAAAATAATGTTTCTTTCCCGGGTGAAAATTACAATGAAAAAATCAACTTGCTAATTTCGGAGAGTTACAAATATTTTAACTTGCAATTTGGATATTCTAACTCGCATTTTGCGAGATTCATATAGTGAATTTCGAATCCTGAACTTTTACAATTTCAAAGTTTACCGCTTGTGGTACATTGTTTTGTCTGATTTGGATAGATCTTGTTACTGATTGAAACTATCATGCTCTGAAGACATTATAAGTTGAGATCTTCAGTAAAATTTCAAATTAGTATTACATTTGAAGTATGGTAGTTTAGAAAAATTAAAATAGAATTTTCATTAAGTATTTGTATTTGAACATTTAATTTGTGGACAATTGTAACTTTTATGCCTCTATTGCCCAATTGATATTTGCTTTAAAGCTAGTTTTCCCTAGATTTGCATTGACCTTGTTAACCTGACTGACTTGAGTCATTAGATAAGTACAGGTTATTCAATATTGCTTTGTGTCTCTTCAGCAAACCAGCAGATCCTTTGGTGATAGAAAATGGGGACCTCCAGGATAACAATAACATTGCCAATAAACAGAATACAGAGGGTGGTGGTGGTGAGCCAGCCAGTGGGACAGGACCACCAAGTGGTGTCAAAGCAGGCATTAGCAAAGGTACATTGTATTAATCAGAGGACTGATAATTAACACAGACATGCTGCATATAATGTACGTAATGTACTGTAGAGTCATCATTGTTCGTGGGGGACCAATGTTCGTGGCTTTCGTGGGTCAGAATTTACATCTCCACGAACATATATACAAACATTTGTTTTATTATTCATTAAAAGTTAAAAAACGAAATAGAACTTGTTTAATATCAACGAAATTACGTCCCCACGAACCATGACATTTTTGACTACCCACAAACATTGACCCCCGCGAATAAAAATGATTCCACAGTATTGATATTCAGAGTTTGTCCCTAAGAATTGAAATGGTAGTAGACATTTTATGATGTAGAGGGGACTCTGGGGTTCTCTCCCTAAAAAGGATTGTAAGGGAATACCAGAATAACCACTAAATAAGGTCATTAAGGAGAGGAAATTCCCTGACCTTGAGTTGAACAGTTAAGGACAACCCTTCTTATTATAAACTGACAACTCTTTTTAGCTCACCTGAGCCGAAGGCTCAAGTGAGCTTTTCTGATCACATTTTGTCCCGCGTCCGTCTGTCCGTCTGTCTGTCCGTCTGTCTGTCTGTCTGTCTGTAAACTTTTCACGTTTTCGACTTCTTCTCAAGAACCGCTGGGCCAATTTCAACCAAACTTGGTACAAAGTATCCTTGGGGGAAGGGGATTCAAGTTTGTTCAAATGAAGGGCCACGCCCTCATTCAAGGGGAGATAATTGGGAATTAATGAAAATTTGGTGGCATATTTTAAAAATCTTCTTCTCAAGAACCACTGTGCCAGGAAAGATGAAACTTATGTGGAAACATCCTCAGGTAGTGTAGATTCAAGTTTGTTCAAATCATGACCCCCGGGGGTAGGGCGGGGCCAAAATGGACGATCAAAGTTTTGCATAGAAATATATAGAAAAATTCTTTGAAAATCTTCTAATCAAGAATGAAAAATCCATTATTCATCATATTTATATGGGAGCATGCTCAGGTATTGTAGATTCAAGTTTGTTCAAAACATGACCCCCGGGGTAGGGCGGGGCCAAAATGGCCTACCAAAGTTTTACATAGAAATATATAGGAAAAGTCTTTTAAAATCTTCTTCTCAAGAATGACAAAGCCATAATTCATCATATTTACATGGAAGCATGTTCAGGTAGTGTAGATTCAAGTTTGTTCAAATCATGACCCCCGGGGGTAGGGCAAGGCCAAAATGGCCAACCAAAGTTTTACATAGAAATATATAGGAAAATTCTTTAAAAATCTTCTTCTCAAGAATGACAAAGCCATAATTCATCATATTTATATGGGAGCATGCTCAGGTAGTGTAGATTCAAGTTTGTTAAAATCATGTCCCCCGGGGGTAGGGCGGGGCCAAAATGGCCGACCAAAGTTTTACATAGAAATATATAGGAAAATTCTTTAAAAATCTTCTTCTCAAGAATGACAAAGCCATAATTCATCATATTTACATGGAAGCATGTTCAGGTAGTGTAGATTCAAGTTTGTTCAAATCATGACCCCTGGGGGTAGGGCGGGGCCAAAATGGCCAACCAAAGTTTTACATAGAAATATATAGGAAAATTCTTTAAAAATCTTCTTCTCAAGAAGGACAAAGCCATAATTCATCATATTTACATGGAAGCATGTTCAGGTAGTGTAGATTCAAGTTTGTTCAAATCATGACCCCTGGGGGTAGGGCGGGGCCAAAATGGCCAACCAAAGTTTTACATAGAAATATATAGGAAAATTCTTTAAAAATCTTCTTCTCAAGAAGGACAAAGCCATAATTCATCATATATATATGGAAGCATGCTCAGGTAGTGTACGTAGTTTCAAGTTTGTTCAAATCATGACCCCCCGGGGTAGGGCGGGGCCAAAATGGCCAACCAAAATTTAACATAAAAATATATAGGAAAATTCTTTAAAAATCTTCTCAAGAATGACAAAGCCATAATTCATCAAATTTATATGGGAGCATGCTCAGGTAGTGTAGATTCAAGTTTGTTCAAATCGGGTAGGGCGGGGCCAAAATGGCTGACAAAGTTTTACATAGAAAGAGGAAATATCTTTAAACATCTTCTCAAGAATGACAAAGCCATAATTCATCATATTTTTATGGAAGCATGCTCAAGTAGTGTAGATTCAATTTTGTTCAAATCATGACCCCATGGGGTAGGGCGAGGTCAAAATGGCTGACCAAAGTTTTTAAAGATATATATAGGAAAATTCTTTAAAAATCATTTTCTAAAAATAGCAAATCCATGATTTGTCATGGGACTACTTTTGGATTTAAACTTTACAATAGAAAGCCATTTTCTACTATTTCCTACCCTTAGTGCTCAGGTGAGCGATGTGGCCCATGGGCCTCTTGTTTTATTATTTGCCTTACATTATTGAATACGTGTATTTGGTATGACTAGATTAAATGAATTTTGGAAAGGTAGTCATTTAAAGCTGGTAGTGTTGTACAAATAATCAGGAAACATCGATTAGCAATGAAAAAATGCATCCAGGAATTTGCTTGTTTCTGTTTTCACTTTCTGTAAATGCTGTAGAAGAAAAACAAGTGGCATCAAGCACATGCTAAAGTGATAAATAACTTGTATCGGTAGACAACTGTATTCTCTAGGGTATCTCAACTCTTGATGTCTGAAACATACTACTTATAATAGTGTATCTGTTAAAAATGTAATAAACCAAAGAATATAAGCCATGTCCTGTCATATTTAAAAGGGGTTTAAATCATTGTAAATTTATAGTTTATTTGATTACCAAACAAGAAGACTGCAGATTTGACAGAATAAGATTTGTTTTGTGTATCTTTAGATTTAGATGATCTGGCTCCAGCTACAAACTTTGTGGTGACGAAGGGAGACGAGGCAGTCAAGCTACGCCTGAGTGACTCTGGCCCCGGTTCAGAGAAGCCTGTCACGGTGCCCTCCATGCTCTATCAGACGGTTCAGAGAGTGCCTACCCATCCAGCACTAGGTAAATCCTCTACCAAGGTCAACCAGAACTAAATCTTATAAAATTTTTGTATTTACAATGCTTTCTGTCTGTCTTTAACTTCTATCTACCGGGGTAATTATTAAAAAAAAAATTACATTAAAAAATTCATTACAGCTGTTAAACGTGGTGGGATATGGGTGAAGTGGACCTATGAGCAATACTTTAATGACACACGAAAGGCAGCCAAGGCTCTCATAAAGGTATAAGATTTTAGATATAGTCAACATGAAAAGAGCTATAGTTTTCTTTAGAAGACTGGTTTCTCAGATGTGTTGAAAATAGGCATTTAGGTTGTTCTGTCCATCATTTTTCAACAAAGACCACTTTAAATCATGTAGCAGTCCATTAGTACTGCTGTCCAAGTTTCTTGGGTTTTTTCCCAGTTCTGATGTTTTTTAGAGATTTCATACATAATAAGATTGCATTCTCAATTCTCATACATGTAGTCCCATAAGAAATTGTGCAAAATAACAACAACAAAAAAAACCGTTATTTTCTTATGACTTTTAAGTAAGTATGTAATGTGTAGAAACATCCATGCAATAAAGGTTTAATTGTTCCAAAATAATTAATGGAAAAAAAGTGGTCATTGGTTTTAACTCTCATTGACAAATGCTTTTGCCAAAATAAAATATAGGAGCCAGATTACTGATGAGAACATTATGCATTCTCATTAAAAATAAATTTTATGTAATTTCAAATTTGAAAAAGCTATGTGTTGCACATTATATTGTATGTAGAATCGTTGGGGTATTTGGTGTCCGCAGTACACAAATAGGTAGCCCCTCAGACCATTTTTAGCTCTACTGGTCAGAGACCAGAAGAGCTTATGCGATAGTAATGCGTCCGTCGTCCGTCCGTCTGTCTGTCTGTCCGTCTGTCTGTCTGTCTGTAAACAATTTTTCAAAATGCTACTCCTCCTACAGTTTTGGTCCGATTTCAATATAACTTGGCACACAAGTAGACTACACTAAGATACATAATTTTGTGCATCGGTTTTTGATTTCGATGAACGGTGTTGCCGTGGTTACTAAAAATAGAAATTTCTGTGAAATTCTTTCAAAATGCTACTCCTCCTGCAGTTTTGGTCTGATTTCAATATAACTTGGCAAAAAAGTAGACTACACTAAGATACATAATTCTGTGCATCGGTTTTTGATTTCCATGAACGGTGTTGCCGTGGTTACTAAAAATAGAAATTTCTTTGAAATTCTTTCAAAATGCTACTCCTCCTACAGTTTTGGTCCAATTTATATATTACTTGGCACACAAGTAGACTACACTAAAATACATAATTCTGTGCATCGGTTTTTGATTTCCATGAAAGGTGTTGCCGTGGTTACTAAAAATAGAAATTTCTTTGAAATTCTTTCAAAATGCTACTCCTCCTACAGATTTGGTCTGATTTCAGTATAACTTGGCACACAAGTAGACTACACTAAGATACATAATTCTGTGCATCGGTTTTTGATTTCAATAAACGATGTTGCCATGCTTACTAAAAATAGAAATTTCTGTGAAATTCTTTCAAAATGCTACTCCTCCTACAGTTTTGGTCTAATTTTGATATAACTTGGCACACAAGTAGACTACACTAAGATACATAATTCTGTGCATCGGTTTTTGATTTAAATGAACAATGTTGCCATGGTTACTAAAAATAGAAATTTTTGTGAAATTCTTTCAAAATGCTACTCCTCCTGCAGTTTTGGTCTGATTTCAGTATAACTTGGCACACAAGTAGACTATACTAAGATACATAATTCTGTGCATTGGTTTTTATTTTGATGAGTGGCAAGGATCATTTTTCTATTTATTGCTGATTTAAAGTCTCAAGTCCCAACTGCTACTTTTCTCTTCCTTTGTTTTAAGTATAAACCAGTAGAGCTACAGTCTCGACAGAGACTTCTGGTTGTTTATGCCTTTTATAACTATTAACATACATTGCAAGCTAAGCAGAACAGTATACACTTATTTAATGACTACGAGGTAAACAGTCAAATTGTTGTGCCGAAGTGGGGGAGACCTATGGAAACTGTTAAGGACACACGAAAGGCAGCCAAGGCTCTCATAAAGGTATAAGACAGTTTAGATATAGTCAACATGAAAAGAGTGTTTTATTACCTAACCTACTATATATTTAATTAAAATGGAATAAAAACACACAAACAATCAATAAAAAGTTTTAACAAATGTTTATTCACATACTTGTCTATTAATTAGCTGAACACATAATATAAAGATTAAATTAATATTTTTAATTTAAAGTAATACTTAATAAATTTATTGTCTGTGTGTTTTATTTCTATTTAATTAATTATAGAGCAGGTAAAAATTGTCGTGATCATCAAAACGCTTGAATATCACGATGACGCTTTAAACAGGCAACAGTTTATTCTGTGGCCCGGTCAACAGTTCACTGTTTCATGATCACGCAAAAACATAAAATAAACAGTGAAACAGTTCAAAATGCCTAATTATAATTTATATAGTAGGTTAGGTAATAAAGACAACTGTAACATATAACATATATCCCAGAACATATCCGATGCAAAATTCAATAGAATTAAGAATTAAAATCTGTACGACTGACAGAAAATGATCTCGGTCTTTATGTCTGACAGACTTTGCCTCATTTTCAACATGTTTGAAGATTGCAATCCAGTCAGTATTTGCTAACTAATGTTTTCTTATGTTGTTGCATGTATATGTTGCATGTATATATGGAATGATATATTTTGTTTTAATGATGGTCTACCTTGCAGACTCCTTTTACTGGTCCATAGAGTTTGTAAAGAAATAATATAATTTTCTGTACAAATTTGTATATATTTTTGGGGGTATAAACCATGATTAAGTATTTTGTATATTGTTCCCTTTAAGACCAGTCTTGTTCCAACTTCATTTTGAATTACTCAGCATGGACAGTCATTGTCAAAGATTTTCAAGGTCAATATATTGATCTCTCAGTCCTTCTGGCTCATTTTCCTCTAAATTTTAGTCAGTGATAAATGCCAATGGATAAAGATTGCCAGTACTTTAATTGAAAAAAAGATTCTAGCCTAAAGATCAAGGTTAAATCAGGTTATTGGGGAAAATTTTTGACATATACCAATAAAGATTTTTCTCATGACTAATCGCACTTTATTGGAATGGTGGTGTGTGCTTATGTGGGACATAGTACATAGATAAAATTATACATCATATTTTTTTCTATTGAATTTGGTATGTATGTTGCTATTTTCTTTTAATTTGAATAGTTTCAAAAAGACTGTCATTTTATCGTTTTGTTCTACGTAAAAATTTTGTTATGCATGCATTTTATTTTACACTTTTAAGCTTGGATTAGAACCAGTTCATGGAGTAGGAATTCTGGGTTTCAATGCACCAGAGTGGTTTATTACTAACAATGCTGCCATATTTGCTGGGTAAGTTTATAATCACACTAGCTCTTATCCAGTAGAGCAAATTTGTTTTCATCATTTGAAAAATTATTGTCATCAAAATGTCATTGAGGTGAAAACAAGATGTTTTTTGTGAAACACTGATGCCCTTGTATGCCTGATTTTGGTGAAGGTTAAAGTTTCTCAAATGCACATCATTTCTATCTTCAGGGGCTTTTCAGTGGGAATTTACACCACAAACAACCCCGAGGCTTGTAAGTATGTGGCCCTGAAAGCCAGATGTAATGTCATCGTGGTAGAGAACAATCAACAGCTGAAGAAAATTCTCCAGGTTTGGGAGGAACTGCCTGATCTGAAAGCAGTGATACAATATACTGGAGAAGTGGCAGAGAAACGAGAAAACCTATATTCTGTGAGTGATAGGGGTGTATTTAATTTGTATTAAAGGGAAATTTTCATCTGTATAAAATTTACAGATTCTAATGAAGCCTTATTTTCTGTTAACATGGAATAGTACATGGTAATTTTTGTCCTTTCACACTTGCTAACAATTTTGCCCCAGCTATTTTAAATCAAACTAAAGAGAGAAGTGTTAAAAAGATGCTAACCTAGCCAGTTTATAGGGGGAACTAGCATAATATTTTATGCTAGGGACCAATTCCATTCAAATAACTGTAGCCCTATTGTCCAATGTATGCATAATTGATTTCTGCTGTCCTAACCTCTAACATTGATGCCCCTGGGTGCTGGGTGATGGTATTAATATATATCCCTTCAAAATTAATATTGGAATGATGGAAACAAAATTTCTCTGATAAGAAAAAAAAAATACTTTAGTTAAATTAAAATATTTGATCAGCTTGTCTGAGCCTGAATCAAAATTGGTTTATTTAGTCATATAATAAGATAAGCTAGCATTCCATTGTTGTTGAACAATCATGCCCCCCTAGGACAAGGATGGAGCCCAAATCCATATTCAAAGTTTTAAATGAGAAAAAAGGGGGGGGGGGGGGGCAGAGCTGCCAACCCTTACGATTTTGGCGCAAGTCTTACGAAATTAGCTTCCAAAATACGCCTTACGATTTCTCTCTATATTCTTCCGATTTCAGTTTTTCTCCATCAAAGTTTATAATACTGGGATTTTCATAACTGGTCGTCTACAGTTTCTACTATTATAATTAAATATTTATAATCCTTACATTGGTTGCTTGTATCGTCGTCCACACACGATTTTAGATGGCTCCCATCGCATTCATGACAATGTTTTTAAGTAAACAAAATAGAAACGTGCCTCAAATTCCTCCGATTGCATGTCCATTTACAAAACATCTTCAGCAGCAGGGGGCCTCGGCGGTCCCCGGACCACGCCTTACTATTTTTCATTTCAGAATGTTGGCAGCCCAAGGGGGCCTGGGGGGTGGGGATTTAAAAATCTTCTGAGGAACAGGAACAGCAGTGCTATAGTTAAAAATTTCAAATAAATTCAGATTTAATTATCTTTAACAATTGTTTTAATTTTAAAAATGTGAAACAATACTATTTTCAGTGGAAGGAGTTTATGGAGCTATCCAGTGATGTTACAGATGATGTGTTACAAGAACGACTTAGTCTACTGGCCCCCAACAAAGCCTGCACCCTCATCTTTACTGTAAGTCCACACACAAAACAATACAGGCCCCCAACAAAGCCTGCACCCTCATCTTTACTGTAAGTCCACACACAAAACAATACATGGCCCCCAACAAAGCCTGTACCCTCATCTTTACTGTAAGTCCACACACAAAACAATACATGGCCCCCAACAAAGGCTGTACCCTCATCTTTACTGTTAGTCCACATACAAAACAATACAGGCCCCCAACAAAGCCTGCACCCTCATCTTTACTGTAAGTCCACACACAAAACAATACCTGGTCCCCAACAAAGCGTGCACCCTCATCTTTACTGTAAGTCCACACACAAAACAATACATGGTCCCCAACAAAGCGTGCACCCTCATCTTTACTGTAAGTCCACACACAGAACAATACATGGCCCCTAACAAAGTGTGCACCCTCATCTTTACTGTACAATACATTCTCAATTCTAATAGAATCCTCCGTCTTTCTGCTTGGTATTCTAAGATTCCAGGCATTTGGAACAGAACTATTCTGTAACAGTAACAGTTACAGTAATACCAGACATAAGGGTTTGATGATAGTTTTTTTAAGGCCACTTCACATGATATTTTCGGTGTTTCCTGAAGCTTTTTGGGGGCATTTTAAGAATGACAGTGTTAGGAAAGATATCATTTTCAAACATGTGTAAATTAAGTATATGTAGCTGTAAAGTTTGTTTCAAAGTACATTCCTAAGAAATACAACAACAACAAAAATCATTACAGATAAGCCATTAATGAGATATGTGGAGATAACGAACAGTATTCAATATCAAAGTCCATAAAACAATACAAAATAGGAGCAGAGCAAACACGGACCTCCAAAACATCAGAGGTGGGATCAGGAGCCATGTAGGAATGAGCATCCCCTGCCAATTGGTCACACCATCATTGGGCATACTGTTATTTGATATTTGTCACTTTGATATCAGCTTGGCATTGTACCGTATAAGTAGAAATTTTAGCGAGGATTTTATTTTGGCATTATTAGCGAGGGTGCTGACATCGCTAAAATTGAATATCGCTAAAAATTAATTGTGTATTATTTGTAATAGCTTCTTTAGTTAACATTTTAAAGTCGCTAGAATTACTTCTCGCTGCAAATAAAATACCAGATTTTAGGTAGAAATCGCTAAAATTTCAACTTATACGGTACTTTGAAGTACAATTAAGTCTCCTTAAGTATCTTTAAAATACACAGGGGCTATTACAAATGCATCCTTCTTATTTTTGTTACACTCTCAAGAAATCAAAATGTCTTTATTTCCACATCTTCGTTATAAAGTTGTACTGAAGTGCTGCTTATAATCTCTGTTAACATGGCTGTAAGTTCAAGATTCCATTATTTTCCCCTTTATCCTGACCTTCTATTTACAACCCATTCTACCCAGTAAAACATGAGCCTGTCTGGTGTTGTAATAGTAGACAATGGGTGCTATGCAGAGGAAAACTGCCCAAACTGAACATGTAATATATTCCATTACCACAAATGCAAATATATTTTCAAGAACTTGCAGTGGTGAATGTGCCAAGAAAACTATAAAAGGAATATACTCAATTGTCCAGCAAATCAAATAGAATTTAGAGATCCTGTTGATGGAACTAACAATGTCTAGAGAAAGCATCTCTGGATTATACGCTGTGTCGGAATCTCCCAGGAATAGACTCGTATCCTCTACTGGCTGGTCCTTTGTGTTGTTGGACCATTTTGTAAACAGAAGTATGAGTACAGCAGGGCCAGTGTTCAGACATTGAAAGGAAATTAGGGCCGAGATTCGGTTAGCAGAGGGCACAAAAAAGGACAAATCGTTCACTATCATCGAAAAAGCCAGCGAATAAATCCAGATTGTTATTCCCATTATGACTGTTATACGTCGGGTTAATAGTACACGGCAGTAGGTGGGGTACGCACGAAAAACGTACTTCATTCCCACTAGAAAAGCAATGTGGTAGCCCGTGGATAGTGCTGAAATACTCTCACCAACAAGGTACATAGCTCTATGGAATTCAGAAGAGGATCTTTCTGTGTGTGCGTCTCCATAAATTCTCCAGATGATGCAAAAAATTCCTTGTATATTGATAATGGACACCAGAATTATAGGTACAAAGGTGATTGTCCGAGTGGTGGCATCCCTCATGTAATTTAGTATTAGTATCAAATTAGAAAGAATACCAAAAGGACACAAAATTTTTAGAAACAAGGAAACAATTTTTAGTATGCTGGGTAGCTTACAGAAATCCTCTTTAAATTTCTTCTCCATATGCCCACTTTTCTCCTTGTTGATATGTGAACTAACAAAGGATTCGTGCACCATTTGAGTTACTTTTAGCCAGTTTTGATCAGCCCTGTTTTCCTCTATTTCTGTCTTACACAAATATTTGCTGTCCTTCCACACACTGTCATGTGTATTCCAGGGTATGTAAGAGATACAGTTGACAGTGTCCATTAAAACACACAATGTCAGAAATTGTACCAAACCAGTAGCCATCATGTATTCAAGTCTTTGACAGTCCTTTCCTCTTCATCTACTTGGAAGTGAAATATATAGCATTAACATTGAGGAAGTGAGCATATGCAAAGTATGACACAAAAAAGCTAGGAAGGAACCTCCAATGTTTTTAAATAATTTGGAACAATATGACATTATGTATATTATAAGTAGGGTTGAGGGAAGTCGTTGATCTGCTGTATAGAACTACTATTGCACAGGATATCACGTCAGTAACTTGGTCAGGATTTAATGAATTTAATCTTTGCCTAAATATTTCATTTCCCAATATTAAATGTAATGTTCTGAGATTCTTTTTGATATGAGTGCTATCTAGTGAGGTGTGACTGAGCCCTCAGGAATGACAGCTACCAAAAAAAATTGTTTTTTTAAACATGGTTAAAAGGAACTGGTTAAATTAAAATTTGGTTAGAAAAATGGCTGTTGGAAAAATGTTAGTATACAGTCACTAGTATTTTTTGCTTGCAATGTATAAGACAGTTGATGAATGAAAATGCTGCAATCATTAGGTTTTTTTTTCAGTTTTATCAATTTAATTCCACATTGTCAAAGTTCCCACATTTACAGTAGTGTTACATAATACTTTATTCTTTCATTTCTGTATTTGTAGTCAGGAACCACAGGGAACCCTAAAGGAGTGATGCTTTCACACGACAATGTAAGTTATTATAAATTAAGCTTTAAATGTGAAAAAGACAATGTCGCAAAGTCTTTCTTTTGTTAAAAAGAATGGCATATGATGTTAATCATAATCAGTGCTAAATTGCCATTTATTTTCATTAATATTTCTATGTTTCTTTTCGAAGAAATTTGGTATGTACCCCTATACAGATTTATCTTGCAGATTTATCATAAGAATATCTTTGGTCAAGTAGTGTTTTTAGTACAATCAAGCAATTTGTGACAGAGTTATGCCCCTTTGACTCAGGAAAATTCTAATTATTTGCAGTTTGGGAGGCATAAGTGTTTCACAGACATCTGTTGTTTAATTTAAAGTCCTATACTCATGCATTAAGTTTTAGGATACTGTAAAATCACATATTTTTGTGGGGACAAATTTTCGTGGTTTAAGGAAAATCTTTTGATTCATGGGGATTTTATTTCGTGGATCAAGAATTAGCCTAATAATTACTTATTTATGTAACATTTTACATTTTGTGGTGGACAAGATTTCATGGGTCTCGTTATACAGACCTGCCTACCATTCCGCTTGTGGCGTAATTCTTCCACTTTTAGCCACAAAATTACGCCATTATGCCACTTATATTAATTTTACGCTTTTGATTAAAATTCCATTATGAACGTCTAAATTTAGAGTTAAAGTCCGACATGCTGAAATGAAATGAGGAGTTCTTATGAAAGTAATTCAAAGAGGACCAGTTTGATAATGTAGGGTATATACCCAGTAGTACTGGTATGGTGAAAATTCGGAAGAAGACGAGAAGGTGCGACTACTTACGTTAACTATTAAACAATGTTGCAAAAAGTACAGCCATTTCTATGTTCAATTAAGTTAATTTTAACATTGCTTAAAACAAGATAGGGAAATGTGAGTGTTAAAAAGCTATTAAAAAAATAAAATAATTTATATAAAAGTACGATTAGATTATCCCAAATGTTCAGGCAAGCCTTCAATTAAGTGATTAGAATTAACAAATTGATCAAATGCTCCATTGTGGTATGTGACATATCCGTTGAATTGAATTTGATATAGGATAGCTGATCGAATTTTACGAGGTTTTTTTGTCAACAGATAATAAAAAAATTGATAAAATATATAAATTATATTTTTATTAAATTCAGGTTTCATTTTATTAACAGCAAGTTTTCAACAAAAAAAAGCACAAATAGTTATATTATTATAAGAAAAAAAAAGACATACACTGATACCCGGAATTACCTTCTATGCAATAAAGCATTTGAAAATTTTGAAATTCCGACGTCAAAAGCATTACGAGTACATGTAACTTTTCTCAACATAGTCACCGTTTAACTCAATACATATCTTATGTCGCTTTAACCACTTATAAATATGTGCACAAAACGTTCAGGTCTAACACGTTAAATAATAGTTAACAATGCCTGTCTCATATACTGTAATCATCCAACCTCTGTCCACGTAAAAACGATTTTACTTGCGGATATATATTCAAACGTTGTTGAAAGTCATTTTTACAGTCACTGCTCTGGAATGATGGTTTTCCTTCACGCATGTAATCCTATAAACTGTTCCTTCCGTCCGAAAATATTATATGCCACTTAAATACTAATTAATGTATGTCTTCTTTTACTATGTTTTCCCGATTATTTACAAAATGTATTAGTCTCTGTAGGTGTTTATCCGATGTCTATGCAGAATTTTATCACTGCTCACTGCTCCGCCTATTCCGAAAACTTCCCTTTTTTGGAACAATTCCGATCCATCTTAACAAGTTCTAACTTTGATGGCTCAGTCATTTTACAACTTTAAACGTTCAAATTTTGCATTTTTGACATGATAGCTTCTGTCAACCTCACAGTGTAAAAGTCAAATTCAGGGTCATAGCAGAATTTTATGAAAAATACAAATGAAATTTATTCTCTACATGATTTTTTTACTTAAAAGAGTGCCTTTGGGTAACCGGTGTGCAATGACCTTCCATGTTTCTAGGTCTAATTATGAAGTCATAGCAGAAATAAACATTTGAAAAATCCTTGTTTACATTTTTTAATTCAAATTCTCTCTGCTAATAATAAATATTAATGACGCAACTTTTATTTAATTCTCAGCTTGTCCACGAACTTTACGGACAGCCCTCGTATATGACGTTCTTGTGTATTACGTTACTACGGATATGACGTTTTACACACGCATCATTACCCGCGTATAATATTCGATCGGGTTAGGAAGCCATGTTGCCTATAGATCGCATGCACGGGTTAGGATGCAGTTTTCGATAGAAACGTGATAAAAGATGATTGTAGGTAATACACAAGTGCTACACAAGACTTCAGATAGGATTTATCTGCTCAATAATAGGTTTAAATGAATTACTTGTTTGGTTTACAAAGTATACATAAGTTGCAAGTGCATCCTGTTCGAGGAATTTTGGGTTATAAACATTTCGATAGATAGTTCTATCTCAAAACACAATACAGTAATCTTAAATAATAAAAATAAATGCAAATACTATATTTGCATGTTTCTTATCATTATTTTATGGATTTGTTGTTACAATAATGTATTTATCCAATCATATAACAAAAGAGAAAGAAGCTATGTTCGTAACAGATATTTTGATTAAAATTCCATTATGAACGTCTAAATTTAGAGTTAAAGTCCGACATGCTGAAATGAAATGAGGAGTTCTTAAGAAAGTAATTCAAAGAGGACCAGTTCGATAATGTAGGTTATATACCCAGTAGTACTGGTATGGCAAAGATTTGGAAGAAGACGAGAAGGCACTACTTACGTTAACTATTAAACGATATTGCAAAACGTACAGCCATTTCTATGCTCAATTAAGTTAATTCTAACATTGCTTAGAACAAGATAGAGAAATGTGAGTGTTAAAAAGATAAAAAAAAACAATGTTATAATGTTCAATTTGTTTTAACATTCAAACGCAAGCCTTCAATTGAATGATTAATTTAGATACAAATCGATCAAATGCTCCATTAAGGGTGCACGGTTGAAATGAATTTGATATAATAGGATAATGGAATTTTACAAAACTTTTTTGCCAACAGATGATTAAAAAATTAAGAAAAGTTTATACCAGCTTTGTTTAGTAATGTACAATTTCAGTTGTTTCGAGAAAAAAAGTAGTATATAAAAAAATAGGAAAACATGCTTGATTACGCTTTTACCTCTGAAATTCCACCAAAAATGTACTGAAATTACACCCTTGCAATGAAAAGGGTAGGCAGGTCTAGTTATACCTCGAAAACAATGAAAATTTGTGATTTCACAGTAGACATGATGTATTTTCCTAAAACTGATTGGCTTTTATCTTTGCTGTGGCAATATGAATTACCTTCTATGCAATAAATGGTCCTTATTGATATATATTCAAATTGTTATCATTAGAAATTGTTTATCTGCTCAAATTTATAAATGAATGAAATTTTATAAATATTCCTGGCAGATCTGTAACTCTTTGGTCTGAAAAATTGGATGACCAGAGAGCTACAGTGTCATCCATAGAAAAACTGTATATTTATTGTGCACAAAAGTTATGGGTTTTTTTTATTTCTCCAAATTCTTAAATCAACTGTAAAAACAGTTCGATTTCAAAATATGCCTTTGATTTCTCTCATTTACTTTCATATTTAATATATGCACGAAGTGTGTTTGACTGACTTATCTTGCTGTTCATATTTGGCAGTGCAAATATGCCAAATTTTTGATGGTCTGAATTTCAGACCAAGGGGGCATTATATACAACAGTTATAAAAAGTTTTGTCGTGGAAATAGTAAAGAATAAGTCAGGAACACACAGTAAGTAATATTTTTAGGTTGCAGTTTAAAAAACACAACACAACACAAGAAGAAATGAATTGTGAAAAGCACACATTTTTGTGCACAATAAATGATTATACACTTTCATAAATGGAAATCCTTTAGCTCTCTGGCCTGTCAATATATTATTTTTTTTTGAGAGCTACAGTTCTGCAGCAGAAATATTCCGTGGGCTACATAAAATTGAAATTAGGTTCTCAGACCCGCGTGCATCTGTTTTGAGGTAGCCATAATCCAAATGTTATTGTGTTCTTGATAAAATAAGTTTGTAATGCGGAAACCAATCCATAAAACTAGTTCTCTCCTCACTTTTTCGTAATTTCATACTCGTATATTGCTTTCAGTAGCCATTTGCAAAGAGACTTGGCTATACTTTGTTTAAAAATACATTTGAAGATAATGCTATGATGTTCACATGTTGATAAGCAATGGATAATGCAAACCTATTGATCAGACATAGAAAGTTATACCCCACGCAACAAGTTACGTGAGGTATAATGTTTTTGACCCGTCCGTCAGTCAGTCAGTCCGTCAGTCCTGTTTTTTTGTCAGCACAACTCCTCATAAACCGCTGCACAGAATTTGGTCAAACTTTGCAGATATTTAGTACACATTGTATAGATGTGCATATTAATTACCAGAAAATTTGGATTCCTTTATTTTTCTGGGAATTTCTGCACTTTTCAACTTAGATTTTTGGCGATATCTTAAATATAGAAATGAAATTTGTCAGTGCAACTCCTCATAAACTTTGCACAGAATTTTGTCAAACTTTGCAGACATTTAGGACACAATATGTAGATGTGCATCAGGAAATTTCAATTCCTTTATTTTTTGGGAGATTTTCGGCACTTTGAGTTTTGTGGGAGCAGGGGGTCTGTGAGCTTGCTCACTTTTTCTTTCATTACCAATTAAGCTTCCCACTCGCATCTGTTTTGGAGAAGATTGGCCTGAGAACCAGAAAATTAAATTTATGTAGATTTTTTTGTTGAACTCGTATATACTGATATTAAGAGAATATAAAACAATTTTCCTCAGGTAGTTAACATACAAATTCTACCAATTAGATATTGTTTGATGTAATTTCTGCCAAACTACACATAGCTAACATGGACAGCAGGAATACTGGCCACTAAGTTCCGAGTCCTGATGGATACTGAGGTTCTGGTGACTTATCTCCCCCTGAGTCACATAGCGGGGCAGATTGTAGACATTTACATTCCAATGAAGTATGGCGCCACTGTTTACTTTGCAAGACCCGATGCATTAAAGGTTTGTGGTGCTGACAAATGTGCAAGGGTACCAGAGTCTCTTGTTTTGGGTGATGGAGGTTTAATTATTATGGGGATTCAGGATTGATTAAAGCTCCACCTCCCATCTCTGACTCTGGTGCCTGTAAGGTTTATGTCAAGCAACATACAAGTGAATCTAGAGTTTGGTTTTCAGTTTGACATAAAGATATCAAGTTTAATACATTGAAGTTAACTGTGAATGCCAGACTTTAGGCAAACTCGTTTGTTTCTTGATATAGTGATCTATCTGTCCTTGAAAGGACAAGTAAGGTAAATAATTGCAGTGACAATATTTATTAATTCGGTTTTGTTTAACAATTCCTTTCCAGTTGACTTGGACAGCAGGGAAGGCTGTCAATCTTTTGGACTCTGCATATGCCTCAGACAGTATAGTTACTTATCTGCCCCTAAGTCACATTGCGGGCCAGATGACTGATTTGTATTTACCCATCCATCATGCGGCCACAGTTTATTTTGCTCAACCGGACGCTCTTAGGGTTTGTTAGTGCATGTTTGGTTGCAAGGAATTTCATTTTGCATGACACTAACAAAGTAACAATATCAACCTAATTACACTGTATTAAATAGAGTATCTATTTCCTTTGTACACTAACTAATAATTTTAATCCTCAATTATAATGCACTAACAAATCTGTCACTTAACAAAGTTATTTTGAAATTTATTCTTGCAATTCAAATTTAATTTATTATCTTGTGATGATGGTAATGTTTCTTCTTAAAACCATGCACTTAAACTTAGAGACTTGGAAGATTCTTTACTTGCATATTATTAACCTCAGCTGTATCTGATACTTGTAAAACAAGACTTGGTTTTAACTCTAGTCATAAAAAAATACTTTAAATGGAAATAATTGAAGTTGAATTTTCAAAATATTCAATACAGAATGGGTGTCTTGCGCTGCTTGATTCAACGATGAATGCTCTCTTGGTTTATGGGGAAACGAATGGTTGCACAATTGCACATTTTAGTTGGCTCCTTGTTAATCCAAATGCTTGTATTTTTAATCAAATTTTCCAGATTTATAAAGTATCTGAAAATAACTGAAATAGAAATGGTAATGTTAAAATAAAATTAGCAACAATGATGGCAAGGCATCTGGATTGTTGGCATTCCGATTAACAAGACTCAACTCATATGTGTCATATAAGCAAATCAATTCAATGTAATGGCCACTGTAAATGTTTTAGTAAAATAAGTAATTATTGTGTAACAAACAATTATGAGATAGTATATCTAAATTCACTTATAACAAAGCAAAGGTGAAGCCACATCATATCGGTGATTGATTTCAGGCATTTTGTTAACATTTTTAGCTCACCTCAATGAAAGCATAAGAGCTTAAGGATTGATGAAAAAAAATTCACCCCCACCCCCCTTGAAAATAACAACTAAAACATTGGTAAAATTAAAAATTTTAAAGGGTATATTTTAATTTTTCATTTAAAATTTCTCAATAATTGCTAGATACCATAAATTAAAAAAATATATATAATTACATGTAAACCCCACTTTGACCAAACTTGCATCCACAAAAGCACATATTACAAGATTTTCCTGTGAGCTGCATCTGACCTACATTTTCTGGAATTTAGTGTTTGGAGCATATCCATGTCACAGTAAGATGTATAAGACCCATTTTGACTAGACAATTATTGATGCTACATCTAAGGATGCACAAAAAAATATCCAGGGACTGATATAGATTTTCTTGAACTTTGGAGAAAGCCAATAAGCCCTATTGACCACATGGATTAAGCCAATAAGCCCTATTGACCACATGGATTAATGATTGCACAAATGAAGCATCTCTAAAAGCTACACACTTAAACAAGCTTGCAATTGCTTCAGATACTGGAAATGACCCAATCATTTTAATTAACATTCTAGCAAGGATGCTTATAATTAGAACATTCAAACATTAGTTGTAAGACTTGACCTTCTAGAGAATGTTTGTTGAGGTGAGCTCCATAATCTTTTCGGTTTGGTTGTGAATGTCATGTTTCTTTATTGGTTGAGGCCATATCATGTTGATAATTGGATGAGGCTTTGCATCATGTTGATTTTGATTGATTTTACCAGTGTTACGTTGATGCTTGGATACACAGCTTTTTGATGTTGATTACAGGGGTCACTGCTAACAACTCTAAAAGAAGTCAGGCCCACGGCCTTCCTTGGTGTACCCAGAGTCTGGGAGAAAATGATTGAAGGAATGAAACACAAAGCCAGAGAATTTGGATTCCTTAAGAAAAAGTTCAGTGCTTGGGCAAAGGATGTTGGTTTTAGGACGACAATGGCAGAGATGAACCAGTAAAGCTTGTTTATAGTTGAATCTAAAGTTTTATTACATATATTCATATCTGTTCTGAGGAACTTTATTTTAAAGCTCACCTTGATGGTCTCCTTTTTTTTAGGGTGAGTGGACAAATTAATGTCCTTTTTAAGCAGGTCCATCCTCAAGTAACTGTTTGAGATAAATCAAGATCTTTTATATTACTCCATGTAAGAATTTCTGCTTGTTTATACTGTAAAAATTTTTTCTGTGCAACAAGTCTGTGCAAATTTTGAGTCCTTCTTAAGTCCCACTTGATATAAACTTGCATGGCTATTGATCTCAATTTGCACACTAAGTGTCACTAACTAGGAAAAAATTATGTTAGGATCACTTTAATTACTTTATAGATGACATATGTCAAGATGAGCTTTGTTTTAATAAGAATTCAACTAAACTGATAAGTAAAAAGTTTATGATTTTTTTTTCAACAGTGAGCCTGCTCCAGGAACTTTTGCCATTGCCAACATATTGCTTAAAAAGGTCAAGGTAGAATTAGGTTTTGACCGTTGCAGATTTTTCATGTCAGGGGCAGCTCCTATTATGAAAGAAACTATTGAGTACTTTTATAGCTTACACATACCACTGATGGAGGTGTATGGAATGAGTGAGAATTCAGGTCAGTGCTTTGAAAGAAAATTGGGGACAGTTATACATGTAAATATTTGGCAAAACTCTACAAGACTTAGTGTACATGGGTTTTTTTAGCTCACCTGAGCCAAAGGCTCAAGTGAGGTTTGCTCTCTTGGTTTATGTCGTCGTTGGGTTGCACAATTTCACATTTTAGTTCTTCTTGTTAATCCAATGGGCCAATTTTAATCAAATTGCCACAAAGTATTTATAAAGTATCTGAAAATAACTGAAATAGAAATGGTGAAAAATTAATGGCATTTTTAAAATTAAGAACAACTGGGCAAGGAAAGATGAAATCATGTGGAAGCATCCCAGGTAACAAGACTCAACTCAATGTGTTATAAGCAAATCATTCAATGTAATGGCCACAATGTAAATGTTTTACATAAGTATATAGGAAAATCTTTAAAAAAAAAAAATTAGGAAAGATGATACTCAATGGAAGCATCCTCAGGAAGTGTGGATTAGTTTAACAAAGCAAAGGTGGGGCCACAATCATCAAAGTTTTACATAGGAGTATATAGGGAAAATCTTTAAAAATTTTTAGAACCACCAGGAAAGATGAAACTCATGTGGAAGAGCTGTGGATTGATGAAAAAAAATTGACCCCCTTGAAAATAACAACTAAAACAGTAAAATTAAAAATTTTAAAGGAGTATATTTTAATTTTTCTTTAAAATTTCTCAATAACCACTGGGCCAGGAAAGATAAAAAATATATATATATACTCAGGTTGTGTAATTACAGTTTGTACAAGTAAACTCTACTTGGACAAAACTTGCATCCACAAATGCACATATTACAAATCTTCTTCTCAAGTACTTCAAGCTACGATTAGTGATTTTATGTGGAATTCCTCAGGTAGTGTAGAGCTATATCCATGTCACAGGGATAGGGTGGGTATAAGACCCATTTTACATTAAACAATTATATAAAAAAAAATCTTCCAAAGAATAGCAAAGCCATGATTAGTAATATAGTATTTATATGTAAGCATTTTCGGGTAGTGTAGAATTAAATTTGACCACATGGATTAACCCCCAATAAGCCACAATTGGACCACATGTTTTAATGATTGCAAAAATGAAGAACAGAAAAGCTACACATTTAAACATATTGACAATTGCTCCTCATGAATTGAAATTAAATTTATTAATCATGGCCCTTTGGGGTAGGGATGGAAATAATGGGGAATCAAATTCAAAATTATTATGAAGTTATATATAGGAAGAAAATGTTTTTGAAAAATCTTTTTATTAAGAACAGCAAAGTCATATGCTGTATTAATTGAAGACAATCTCAAGTTGATAATTGGATGAGGCTTTGCTTCAGTGAACTTCTCATTTTTATTGATTTTGTGCTTTTTTGATGCTGATTTACACAGCTTTTTGATGTTGGGCCTCTTGTTGTGTTTGTGTTCATCAATGCAAAAAAAGTTATTTGAATTACATTTTTTAGATATTATACGAGGGTTGTTAGAAAAGTTGAAGGACACATTGAAACACAAAGCCAGAGAATTTTGTGTACTGTGAAGAAAAAGTTCAATGAATTCCTACATTTTGTTTATTGGTATGTAAAAAATGGCATATAATAAAATCTTAAAATTTTACAACTATTTTTACTATGGGGTTATGGGATTCACGGAGCAATCACTTGACGTAAGCGATATATCCAGATTTCAACTCTTTAAGCTTTTTCGCAGTTCTATAAATCTTTTATTTCTTCAGAGAACTTTTTTATACTTTAAAATTGATTATCTATATCAAGACATATTACTTTTTACTACCGGTATAATGTCTTTTGTACTGTTTTTATAGTATTGAGATCTTAAAAAATAAAAAAATCTATGCAATCAATCAAGATCAGGTATGGAAACTATGCAAAACCATGAAGGTGCAACACAACGTCCATGCGATAAAATTTTTTTCTGTGGAACAATCATTCAAAATGTTTCCTTCCATTCTTATGAAGCTACAACCATTTGAAAACTTGTTCTTTGTATGTGTAGGATTTGCAGCATTGAACATTTTAACTATTTTTAGACATTTTCCTGTCTGCATACATAATTTTTACGTAGTGCATGCTCCATGATGTCAATGACGTTCCAATTTTTGGCTATGTTTTTACGCGTTAAGATCATTTATAAACTGTTATAAAAAGTCATATATCCAATTTTTTTCAAAATTTCTCCCAGTGACGTTTCCTGCATACATTTAGCTTAAAAAGGCAGGTAAAATATCATGAATCTCTTGGCACCACAATTGTGCAATTTTTAATTTTAATAAAGAGCCTTTGTGATATAAACGTGCCAAAATGTACACATGCTCCGTGAGGCAAGATTTATCAAAATAAAAATGCCGTATATTTTTGAAAGATAATCACCGGAGAGCACCAAATTCTTGTATATATTTGGAAAAAAGCTCAAGATTATACTGAAAAGTGTACATGGGTTTTTTTGTGTTCATCAATGCAAAAAAAGTTATTTGAATTACCTTTTTTAGATATTATACATGCATTTAAGAAAGAGAATGCTAAATCTTCTCACTGGGTTAAGTAGCTGCACAACTTACTGTAAAACTTGCATGTAGGTCCCCACACCTGTTCCCGCCCAGACAAATTCAGGACTTGCAGTGTTGGGACAGAGCTCCCGGGGGTGAAAACAAAACTAGCGGACATGGATCAGGAGGGAAATGGAGAGGTACACAATTTTGTAGCTCACCTGAGCTGGAGGCTCAAGTGACCCCTTTGGATTAAAATTTATCTGTTACCATTGTCATCTTTAACTTTTTACATTTTCATCTTCCCCAGATTCAATGGATCAATTTCAACTAAACTTTACACAAAGCATTCTTGAGTGAAGGGGATGCAAGTTTATTTAAATGAAGGGTCAAGCCCTCTTTCAAGGGGGATCTTAATTAAGAATATTTTTTAAGTAAAATTTAATGGCATCTTTCAAAAATATTTTTTTTCAAAATCCATGGGCCGGAAAAGAAGTTAATGAAAGCTTTTATATTACATAGTAAATATATAAATTTGTACTAATAATAACCCTTGGGGGTAAGGGGGGGCACAGCAGAGGATCTAAGATGTAGAATTTTAATGGGAAATGTCTTAAAAATCAACTTCTCTAGATCAGCAAAGCCATAGATAGTCATCGTACTGTATGTTTAGATGAGCTCAGAATTGTAGATCTTTTTTGGTTTTGTGTGTTATGAAGATTCGTATGTATGGGAGACATGTTTTCATGGGGTACTTCGAGGATGAGGAGAAAACAAAGGAGGCTTTTGATGAAGACCTTTACCTTATGTCGGGGGATATTGGAAAGAAAGACAAAGATGGATTCTTGTTCATCACAGGAAGGAAGAAAGGTATCAAATATTTCTAAGGAGTGTTACGTAACATGGCAAAATATGCATGTGCATTTTCAATTTTGGCTGATGTTTTTAATTCAGATATTTGAGTTTAATGTTAAAAGTTCTTGTCCAGATAAGTTTTCTTCCCCCTTTGCCAAATCTGGGCCATCTTTCTCCAGAAGAGTAACCTTTGGTAAAAGGTGCAGCATTGACAAACATTTGCAATCCCAATGCAAGTTAATTTGCCCTATGTTGGCCCAACATGTTTATATTACCTTTATTTACTTGTTGGCAACTCTGTGTACTTATAATGTTGTTTTGTAAGTTGTAACATTCTTTTGTTGCTGTGTGAGTCGTTTTATTTTGTTGTTGCTGTGTTATATAATTGCTTCATTTTATTACACCACAGCTCCGAAGGAGAGGGGGGTATCCTGTTTTACCCGTGTGTCTGTAACAAATTTTTGGTCATAGTTTTCTCAACAACTACTCATTGCAGATGCTCTAAATTTTAGCACAATCTTTGCTAAGGCATGCCATATGGTGGGATTCATTTTTGTTCAAATCAGGTGTCATCTTCCTGTTAATCTGTGCATCTGCCCTTGACTGAAACAGTGTATATTACATGTAACATGGTAGTGTATATTCACATTAGAGTGGGGGTATAACTAGTGAGCATTGGCTCACAGAGTTCTTGTTGTTTCTGTGTTGTTGTTATAACTTGTTGTTGATGTGTTAGTTGTTACATTCTGTTGTTGATTTGTTAGTTGTTACATTTTTTGTTGCTGTGTAAGTTATTAGTACATATCTTTGTTGCTGTTCAAGTGGTACATGTACATACTGTTATTGCTTTGTTGTTACTTTCTTGTTGTTGTTGTGTAAGTTGTTACATTCTGTTGCTGTTGTTTTTCTGTTAGCTGTTACATAATGTTGTTGCTGTGTTAGTTGTTACATTCTGTTGTTGCTGTGTTAGTTGCTGAGTTAGTTGTTACATTCTGTTGTTACTGTGTTAGTTGCTGAGTTAGTTGTTGTTAGATTCTCTTGTTGCTGTGTTATTTGCTGAGTTAGTTGTTACATTCTGTTGTTACTGTGTTAGTTGTTACATTCTGTTGTTACTGTGTTAGTTGCCTGAGTTAGTTGTTACATTCTGTTGTTGCTGTGTTAGTTGCTGAGTTAGTTGTTACATTCTGTTGTTATTGTGTTAGTTGCTGAATTAGTTGTTACATTCTGTTGTTGCTGTGTTAGTTGCTGAGTTAGTTGTTACATTCTGTTGTTACTGTGTTAGTTGCTGAGTTAGTTGTTACATTCTGTTGCTACTGTGTTAGTTACTGAGTTAGTTGTTACATTCTCTTGTTGCTGTGTTAGTTGCTGAGTTAGTTGTTACATTCTGTTGTTACTGTGTTTGTCGTTACATTCTGTTGTTATTGTGTTAGTTGCTGAGTTAGTTGTTACATTCTGTTGTTACTGTGTTAGTTGTTCTGTTAGTTGTTACATTCTGTTGTTGCTGTGTTGTTACATTCTAGTTGTTATTTTTGTGTTTGTTGTTACATTTTTAGTTGCTGTGTACGTTAGTAGTACATTTCTTTGTTGCTGTTTAAGTGGTACATTCTGTTGTTGCTGTGTTGGTTGTTACATTCTGTTGTTGCTGTGTTGGTTGTTACATTCTGCTGTTGCTGTATTGTTACATCCTGTTTCAGTGTTGCTCAGTATCAAATATTGTTGTTGCTGTGTGTGTTCTTCATCTCTAGTTTCTGTGATATTTATTACATTCTGTTACACTACATTGTTGCCGTATTTATTGTTATGTTACTCACATTTTATTCTATTGTTGCCTTCAGAGTTGATCATCACTGCTGGGGGAGAGAATATAGCCCCCGTCCTTATTGAGGACAATGTTAAGGAGTGCCTCCCATGTGTTTCTAACTGTATTTTGATCGGGGATAAGAGAAAATTTCTCTCCATGCTCATCACACTGAAGGTATTACACTTGTCAAATTTTTTATCATAGTGTTGTTTATAATCTTGTAATCTTCATAGAATTTTTAGGATTGTGTCAAAAGAATTAATTTTATCATTTTAATACTTTCATGTACGTCTTCCATTTGAATGTTTTACTACTCATTATCTCTTCTACTTACATGAAATACAGTAACTGAATCAGTATGTTAGTTTTATAAATATGGAATGGAATTCTTTTTCTTACGTGCATGTTTCGTGTAGTAACATTGGTTTATTAAGAAGTATTTTCTTTCCTTTTTTTTGTTGAAAAGTTGTAGATGATCACTGTTTGTCTAAGGTGTTACATGTTAAGTAATATAATTATGTAATATGCCACAACAAATTGCTTTTTCTAGGTGGATGTAAACCCAGACAATTTAGAACCTACAGATAATTTAACAGCTTTAGCTGTTGACTGGGTTAAAGCCCAGGGCAGTGATTCCACTAAGGTATCGGACATCCTAAATAACAAAGACGCCACCATCCTGCGAGCCATTCAACAGGGTATTGACAAGGCTAACGAGAGAGCTATCTCCAGAGCTCAGAAAATACAAAAATGGTCCCTGCTTCCTCGAGATTTCTCTATCCCTGGGGGTGAACTAGGTATATTTGAGCCATAAACGAATTTTCATTAAATATACATATAACTAAAATGTGTTTTTGTAGTAGAAATGTACATGTATATATAATGGTATTAAAATGTGCATGATTATAACATTTTTTAAGTCAACATTATGTTACTCTAAACTTATTACAGGTAAATATTCTTTTTTTTTGTTGCAGGTCCAACAATGAAATTAAGGAGACCCATTGTGCACAAAATGTATGCAAAAACTATTGATGCATTTTATGAAGAGTAATGAAATGATAAAGTACATGTATTCTGTATGGGCATGTTATCACTCATGATGATGTACTGTACTGTAAAACAGTATATGATATTGTGATTTTTCATCAATACTGCACATTTAAATCCTGTTCATTCAAAGAAAGTGGACTTAAGGTGAGACAACACATTCCTCAAAAATTTATAATTTTTCCCAATAATTTGTCATTAAAGTATAGGTACTTAAACAAGTTTCCCCACAAAATTAGGGTACCTTACCAGGCATTTGGACAAGATACCACAGGGTGATATTTCTAACATATCCCATATGGGTAATCATCTGAATGGTCTACATTGTTGATGTATCTATATTGAAAACAATGTATAAATCACGAGGGAATGACAAATATGCATATTTTTATATAATACCAAGAAATACGAAAGATGTATTTGAGGAACATGTCGTCTGAACTTAAGAGTCCTGAAAGCAGCCATAATATTAAGTTTTATTTGTTTATTTCATTGTAACTGTTAATTGTTGATCATGGAATTTATTTAGTTTGACTTTTCAAGGCAAACTAAATAAAAATCTAAGACGAGGCTTAAGGATTCTTGAATTGTAATGGATAATCAGGGTCTTTTTTTAAGTTCTAATTGGCTTTTGTAGTCAGTGCATGTTTATTGGGTGTTCTGAAGAAAACTACAGTTGTAAATTAAGCAAAATATTGTCAGACATTTATTAAAAAGAGATACACCAAAAAAAAAAAATATGTGCTCAAACTTGATTTGCAGGAAATATGTTTAAAACAAAATTGATGCTTCCATTTATTGCAGTTGTTGAATATTACAATTAATAGCTGTCCATCTGTGTGCAATTTTAAAGATCTGAGAGCATGTTTGGTTGGTTTGCAGAATTTAGCAAGTTAAATGTGTTGTAATCATTCTGTTATAATTCTGTGCATCATCACACATTTATTTCGTATGATTAATGTTGCAGTAATTATTGTATATTGTAAACTAACTAATATTATAGAATTTCTAGATCAATAGCCCCACCAGCTCTTTAAAATTGACTAGGTGACTTAAAAAACACTTGGAATAGAAGTATATTTTCAATGGTGATACTAGGGACACTGTTACATGTACTTCAGTTTTGATTCTTAACACCAAAACATTGCTTTTGTACAAATGATCACTTCTAATGAATTTACCTGAAACAGAGTCAGAAGATTGAAATTGCTCATCTGGCATCAAATGAATCCCATTTCATTGAATTATTTCTGTAATTTTTAAGTATATCCAGCTTATAATTTGAATTCAACAATTAAATCATAATTTTTTTTAAAAATATTTCATCAAATTTCTTATTGAATCTCACATAAGACTTTAAGCTATATACAATATCTTTGTATAACTACAGTATTCTGTGATAAAGATGTTGTGGTGTAAGTTTTTGCTGGTAAACAGCAGATCATTGTGTACACTTGTACCAAAGACAGAAACCAAAGTTTCAAAAGTACCGGTATACCATGGAATCTCATGCAGAAATAACATGTATAGGATCTCCCATGGTTTCTGGTTGGATATTTTTTTATCCAATGAGTTTTTAACCAATTTGTCTAGCATTATTTAAATTTCAAATATATTTTTTTAAGCATTAAATTCAGCATTTAATTCAGCAGAATCATTTGAACAAATCAATTCGAGAAAGCATTGCAGCATTTCTGTACAAGTTTCACAATCATGTATGAGCCTCTGTAAATATTCATCAAGAAAAAATCATAATTGTTTTTTGGCCATGTTTATCAAGAGTCATCTTTGCTAGCCAAGGGTTCTTGGTCCACTCTGCTCCCCATAAATATTATTGGGAATGGAGTGGCCCAGAAACCCTTGGTTAGCGAAGATGATGTATGTTTTGAGTATTGTTGTGAGGAAGAGTATGTTGTGTTGTGCACAGCAAAACTTGTTTAGTACGAACACGGATATAGCGAATTCACGAATATAGCGAATTTATTTTTGGATCCCCAGCTATATAAATTTAAAGAATTTCTTATATAGATATAACGAGTTACGGATATAGCGAAGTAATTTCATAGGTCCCAGTGACTTCATTATAACCGAGTTTTACAGTACATACTATCAGGATGGGGGGGGGGGTGTTATTATCTGGTGCTGTAAAATCACTCTTTTAAGGTCCTTTATGTTCCTTTATGTCATGGTATAGAGAGAACCACAAAATGAAGTCCTTCTTGAAATTTTTTGTGTGATTATTTAAAAGAATATGTTTCTTCAATGATCTAATAACTTTCAATCCCCTTGAAACATTTCCTCCTCAAACCAGAGGGGTATTCAACATAGCGAGTGCTTGCAAACATTTATGTTGGAGGTACATTTATAAGGAATTTGGGTTAGCGGTCACGAATGTTCACACTTGAACAGGCCTCAGGAAAATTTTATGTCACGAAAATAAGTGATTTTGCAGTATACATGCATCATTGTACAATGTAAATATTTCGATGCAATAGAACCTGCTGACGACAAGCTAAACATTACGATGAATGAATTTACTCTCATGGTGAAATGTTTTCCTTCCTAACAGATTCAAAACATTTATGATCTTGTTAATAGATATAACAATAAAATTTTTTTTTTGTTCTTCTCTTGCACTTAACAAAAGAATACAGAAATGTTGGAAAATAATGATAGTACAACTTGAACAGCACTTAGTCTATTTTACAGTGCATGTGCTCCAATTTTCAAGTACCGGTATATATACATGTATGCATGAATTTTATTTAATGTTAGTCATCTATAAATATGAGAAATGCAGGTGGGAAAAATAAACAAGAAACAAGCCCCTCCCATTTTTTTGTGTGAATATTATATTCTGTTATTTAGCAAGACGTTTACAATGGAGTTAATAATGTGTTAAATAAAATGTATGTCTTTGTTAATTGTATAGCAGCTGTATAAAGTATGAACCAATGAAAAAAATAAAACTAGATAAATATATGTTGTGTTATATTATACAGAGTATTTTTGTGAAATGATAAACACATTCCAGTGTACATAGAAGATTCAAGGAATCAAGAAGTTGCATGGTCTATGTGACACTTGTGAGTTGCAAATTATAAGATTAACTTTAAGAGCTTTTTATCACATATTAGATCCAGAAAATGTTAGAAAATTGTTTTTAAAAATTCTGTATGAGTAGCAGCTAGAGTTACACCAAACCATATTGATATGCAAACATTTTCCCCTTCAGGTCATGCACCCTGGAGTCCAGTTAAGTGAAAATAGGGGACCAAATTTTACATTATCCATGTACATGTACCCATTTTTATAGGGGGAAAATATGTAGAAAATCCATAAATTCCAAGATAATGTTAGTCAGATATTTGAAGAACTCTTATGTTCTTCGTGGGATTGGATGTCTTGATCCATTGGGACTTGGATACTGCACAGCATTGGGTAACAATTGTTCGAAGAATTGAGGGGGAAATATAAAAAGAGGCCCATGGGTCACATCTGTCACCTGAGTAACTTTAGGAAAGCTGTTCTTGACCAGATTCCCCCTCGTAATACCTATTGTGACCCCCCAGGGGTCATTAACGGGTCACATCTGTCACCTGAGTAACTTTAGCAATGCTGTTCTTGACTAGATTCCCCCTTGTAATACCTATTGTGACCCCCCAGGGGTCATGAATGAAAAAAATTAATTGAACAATTCAGAATCTTCACTACCCAGGATGCTTCCACATAAGTTTCAGCTTTTCTGGCCCAGTGGTTCATGAGAAGAATTTTAAAGATTTTTCATAGATATTTCAATGGAAAACTTGGTTTCCCTAATGTGGCCCTGCCCTACACCCAGGGTTAGGGGGTGTCATGATTTGAACAATTTAGAATCTTCACTACCACAGGATGCTTCCACATAAGTTCCAGCTTTTCTGGACCAGTGGTTCTTGAGAGGATTTAGAATCTGCATTGTCAGGAATAAAACGTTAGTAGAAAAAATGGGAAAGATAAATTTTGCCTATACATGTATACATATACGTATATTATCTTGTTGCAAGTGCCAAAAAGAAATACATGTACTTAGAAATTTACACTTTTATGCCTATACCATGTAAATGTTTTCAATTGTGCTTTTTATAGCCAAAATTCAAGAGTTATATCAAGTCTTATCTGAAAAATTCAAAACAATTGACAGCAATGTTCAGGATTTGTGCAGGATGTGAAATTGATAACTGGAAATATTTTTGGAAGTTAAACGTTAGAAGTCCTCAATGTTGTTGTTGAGTTGTCTTCCTATCATGATATTGTCTACCCACATTGCACCTCAGATTAAATTTGTGACTTCACACTAGCCTACACATCAGCAGAAAGGAATATACGCCAGAGCCCAAGGATGTTTTGTACCAAGTTTGGTTAAATAATTGGCCCAGTGGGTCTTGAGAAGAAGTTGAAAATGTGAAAAGTTTACAGAAAGACAGACAACGGTGATCAGAAAAGCTCACTTGAGCTATCTGCTCAGGTGAGCCAAAAATGAAATGTTTAATTCACAGTAAGTTAAGAGCATGTTCTATTGCATGCAAAATTCACAAAAATTAGCTAATCATAGTTTCACAGTTGATAAACCAGGTTTATCAACTGTATACTATAGTTTACAAACAGTAAACTAAACAGTGAACTATAGTTAACAGTTCGTTTATGGCATGCCAAATTCACAAAAATGAGCAAAACATAGTTTCACAGTCAATAAACTAGGTTTATCGGTTGTAAACTATAGTTTACGGACTGTGAACTAAAGTTAACGACGTTAATCCATATTTTACATCTGTAAACTATAGTTCACGCGATAATCTATGTTTCACAACCGTAAACTATACTTAACACCGAAAACAATCATTTGCGATTGCAAAACATAGATTATCTGATAAATACAGTTTCACGATTGTAAACAATGGTTTACAACTCTTAACTATAGTTAATCGATTGTAAATTATAGATTTACAGACGTGAATTCTATTAATGTTTATCAACAAAATCTATTATTAACGCTTATTACAGACAGATAAACGTTTCCAGTAATCATTGATGCCCTGGCAAAACCTAACACTAAACAGTGATTCCAACAACCGTTAAATATAGTTTTTCTGAACACACTATACTTAACGAATTGTAAACTATTTTTCACTTTTGTAAACAATGTAGTTTAACCAAACTGGTACAAAACCTAGTTTATTAATTTTTAAAATGTTTAGCACGACAAATTCACAAAAATGAGCTAATCATAGTTTCACAGTCGATAAACTAGGTTTATCGGTTGTAAACTATAGTTTATGGACTGTTAAAAATCTGTTAAAAACTTTAAAAATCGTCTCCTAAAGAACCACTGAGCCAGAAAAGGTGAAACTTATGTGGAAGCATCCTGGGGTAGTGTAGATTCTACATTTTTAAAATCATGACCCCTGGGGGTTGGACAGGGCCACAATAGGGAATCAAAGTTTTACATAGAAATATATTGGAAAAAACTTTAAAAATCTTCTCAAGAACCACTGGGCTAGAAAAGCTGAAATTTATGTAGAAGCCTCATGGGGTAGTGTAGATTCTTGATTGTCACATCGGGGGTGGGGGTGGGGTTGGGGGTACAGCGAGGCCACAATAGGTATTACAAGGGAGGAAATCTGTCAAAAAACGGCATCAACAAACTTACTCAGGTGAGCAATATGGCCTATGGGCCTCGTTTTCAAATATAATGAGCACATATTACCTACATCATGACTTAACCTATACCTTGGTACACGAAAGGCTTGATTGAAATAGTTGCATTACATTCTTTTCATTTTCAAGCATCATTTTAAGATTTGATCAAATAAATGAGAATTTCAACAATTATTGTTCCTGGCTGAGGCAGAGATCCTTCAAGTAAATTGGTCCGATTTATGGTTCTCTGGTCAAGGCTGCAAAAACCCCATCAACTTTTATTTTTTAAAGTGTCCTTTAGAGTTTTAGAACCTATAGGTCTAATGTCTGGAATCTAGTGTTTGATGATCCCAAGGCTTTGTGAAAATACTTTGTGTAATGGTGAACAAACTACATATACAATAATTTTAAACATTTTATTTGCTTCCTTAATAGGAATACATGAACATATTTTCTCATCAATTAAATTACATCTAAATCACACATACATTTCTTTCAGCAAGCTTCAAAAGCTCCATCTCAAATGTTGGTTGTTTCTTTCTTATTTAATTTTGGTTCCTCTTTCTTTTCATCAAAGCATGTGTAATTTATCATGAGAAAAGTTATTTAACAATAATTTATCACTGGGAAACATTCCCCCTCTACAAAAATTATTTGGGAAAATTCAGAAACCAATGTCCTTAAAACATTCAGAGATGTTCATGCAGATTCACAGAGAATAATTTAAAACTAGCTAGTATACAATATTAGCTAACATAAGCCATTTAGCTACCATGATTTTTTTTATTATCAACAATATATCAAGTAATTAGTAAAAATAGTTCTATACAAAACACAACCCACAAAATGAGTAAAGAAATTCAAGATTGGAAATAGAGGTACTTCGACAAAACAATCATTGAAGGGACACTACTTAGGTCAAATAAATCTTCATGTCTCACACAAAAAGAAAAAGGGCACCTTAAACAGAGATAACAACAGATAAACTTGATATTAATTGCTAAGCTGGATAAGCCTGGGAAAATCATAATTATTATAACTGCTGATGATGTAAAATGTAATATGATGTAAAATGGACACTTTAAATGCAAGATAAACAGAGTAATAAAATTCCTTAAATCAGCTTGGTCAGACAAAATATTTTTAATTCATTTGGGAAAAGAAATATTTCTATGTATATAGATATATTTTATCTTTAAAATGGAATTAAAATAAAGTGGAATAAATAATTTCATTAATCCTATATTTCTTTTTTTAATCTCAATACCTTCTTTTAGTTACTTGAATTATGAACCACTAGAATCATTTGTCTCCTTCATTTCATCCACAAAGAAATCACAAGCACTCAGTGGCACATTTAACATAATAAGTGTTTACACTGGGTGCCAAAATGTCCAGATTTGTTAGAAATAGTGAGGACTGTGGGATATATTTAGCAAGCATGGTAAATTAATCTGCTGGTTTAGCAAATAACCCTCAACTTTCTTCAATAAAACTTGATTAATTTGATGTACACTTCTGTAAAACATTTCACAAATCATAACTTTATCTATTTTAAAATTTAACAGAGTTTAAATAACCTACATTAATCAACATAAGATGCAGAAAATATACATGTACCAACAACAGGAAAAAATGACAAAAACAGCCCTCATGTTTCCATAATGAATGATAACATAGATGGGGGATAATTCTGGAAAGAGATCAAATACCCTAGAACTTATAATGTCTAAGAATGTGACTAGTTCAGCATGGCAACAGAATAGTAAATAACTAGTTGTAACTACCACATCAATAATGAAAATACGATTTTCCTTTAGAACTAGGAAAACACTTTTACTTGCTGCTACAAGTAGAATTTGAAGATGAATGTATTGGCCAGATAAGAGCTCATATCCAATGTTAAAGATAAAACAATGGGTCTTCAAGTACAATTATACAAAACTTCTTTCATCGAAATACACATAATAGTAACATAGTCAATTACATAAAAAAAAATCATTCTGAAAATTCTCAATACTTTATCAAGAAAACACTTACTATTGTTTTCTTAGAAACAAGTTACAATCACATACAAACATCACCTTAACATACAATTATTACATACCTGGTTTATAACCGTTTATTATCACAGTTTCTAAACATTAGGTACATGTACTAGTACCAATTTTTCACACCCTTTTCACACATTAAAAGCTAGTCTATATTTACTAATTTAAAATATGCTAATTGAACACAAAGTCTGTTTTTTGAATCTCTTGAGACATCTTGGGACCTTGTTTATTGTTCTTGTGTCCTCTTTTGGTGATCCTTTGCTCTAATTTCTCAAACCTGGCTCTGTTGCCTTGGTTCTCTATCTGGGTCGTGTGGGGGTCGATAAGGGGGTCCGTCTATTCCTGTCAACAGAAACAAATACTTAACTTTTAATATTATCTTTTTATGGTAAATCCTTAAATTATAGCTTTGCAAGTTTTGTGCTGAAGTAAAGTTTATGGAGATATGTTAATATAATGTGAACCTTCACCAGAACCAAATATCTAATACCCCAGCATAAAATTTGTTGAGTAATTAGCCATAACAGTATATAATGCAGAAAATTTTAGAGAAGAAGTTTTTGCAATTTAAATGAAACAGAAAAAGAGTCCCAAGCCAATATCATGCATTTACCCTGACCCTCATTCCGGAGAGGAGGAGAAAGGGGCCCCCTTGGGGGGCCTCGAAGATGAGGAGGCATATCAGGAGGAAATGGCATTCTATGTCCTGGTGACCTTGAATCTAAAGGAGGGGGAGGAAGCCTTAACCCTCGTTCATAAGGAGGTGGTGACCTTCTATCCACTGGGGGAGGAGGCCGCCTGTCAAATGGGGGTGGGGATCGAATGTCCATGGGATGTGGAGGGGGCACACGGGAACCCATGGGTGTTTGTCGTCGATCGGGGCCCTCCATAGGTGGAACTCTTCTGTCATCTGGGAAGGGCATTCTTCTGTCCTCTGGATGGAAGGGTGGAATTCTCCTGTCGTCAGGACCTATGGGAGGGGGTGGTCTCCTCTCTGAATCTGGACCTGGAGATCCAGGGAAATCCTCATCTCTACAACAGTAAAATACTTCAATGATATAAGATCTACTCCGCCAAATGTTATACACTCCAATGAAGATTACCGTAACTCAAAAATTGACTTGCCTTGGACCACTTGGAGGTAATCGACCTCTTGATCCTGGCCTCTCCATTCCAGGTACGGGAGGGCCATTTATCATGCCTAAAAACAGAAAACTTAAAAATTAGCAATATCTAACATTTTACAAAGCTTCTTTTATTCTAATTAAACTGCATTTTTGTGAACAAGGCTTTATATGGGTACTTACTGATATTTATGTTAATTTATTTACTGACTACTATCTTTTTTTAAAATAGCATATTGCATGATTGATATTAGTGTTGTTCAATGTATTGCATAAATAAAACTGGTTCAATAGTTATGAGAAGTAGCACCACCTGGTGGAGGCATTCCTCGTGAGGGGACAGGCCTGATCAGCCCACCTGGGGGTCCCTGCATCAGGCGCCGCTCTAAATCTGTCAACCTAATTCAACAAAATTAAGCAAGTGTTATTAACCTATATATATGACCAAGTTAATCTCTGATGATTAAGTAAAACAAAGTTTATAGCAAATTCAAGTTTAAATAGCAAATTCAAGTTTAAAGGACATATTATACTCTACTCTTAGAAAAGTTTAAAGTGTAATTTTTGAATTCTTGCGATCAGTAGGACTAAACCAGCACTAACTTTTGTCGTAATACTGATGCTTCATGTCTCGTCTCCTTCAGTTCTCTCTCAGCCGCCCGGGCTGCAAGCTGTGAAAAAAAGAGGCCTAGATTACTAATACATGTAACAGGCCTAGCCATAGCAAGTCATCTAGAACAGCATAATAATACTAAACATATATACATTACGTGAATTTTATTAAAAAAAAATATAGTTCAGTTAAAGCAAAGGCATTTTGAGGTCATAACAATGGCAGTACAATAGCAATAAGTGACTCTTACTCAAAATTGTATTAAAAAAATATTCAACATTTATAAAAGATTTAGTATACAGAGGAAAACTTGTTTTGATTTTGAAACTTACCCAGTTTTCATGAGCTTTTTTTTCATTAGCTGCAATCTGAAAGATATCATAAATTGGATAGAAGGATATTGTAATATAATTTTTTTGTGCAGTTGTAAAGTGACTTTTGACCTCAGATGGAGATTGTTCAAATGTTGTGATTTCAAATATTTCAAGATCAAACTTTGTGATTCAGGAAACATATACATCATTGAAATGTAAATTTATGCACTGCTGTCAGTTATTTCACTTCTTCATTAGAAAATTTATAGTTCATTGATCATGGTCTGGCTCACGCATGAAAACGACAAAAATTGAGTAACAAAAAAATAAATTTAAAGAAGATGAAACCATACAATAGATTCAAGTACTACATACTTGCATTTTACTTTGTTCATATTTTTTTGAAAATATCAGACATACGATACCTGAGATCGGAAGTCTCTCTCAGCTGATAAAATTTCCCTTTTAAGATCTTCTACTTGAGCCCTGAAATTATATCTGATTTTAGCAACCATGCCAAATTTTAAAGAAATTTATTTCAGTAAAAGAAATTTGTTTACTTTGATCCATCGAGTTCCTCCTGCATCATCTTTGTTCTGGTGTCAGAGTTCTCCAGCTTGTTAATGTTCATCTTCTTTAGAGCCTCCTGTTCACCCAACTCCCTGAAATAATAAAGTCATTCTGACTCTCTAAGATAACAAGGTATTTCTGACATTCTAATTCCCATAGGTAATAAAGTACATGCACAAGTATATAAAACTTTAATATACAATGTACTTATGGCTTATTTAACTTGACAGTTGATTACAAAATAGTTCAGATAAATTCATAGAAAATGAACACAACCTACAAAATAGAATTAGCTGAATACATGCAGCCTCGAAAAAGTTCAACTTGGCAGAGTTTATACAACGTAAATGATACATGTGTATAATGCCTTGTACAATTGACTTTATGTTGTATATTGACACTATACCTTTCTGTGAATAGCTGTTTGGTTATCCCCCCTACTTCTGAAGGCTATCATGGTGCCTCTTACCTTTGTAGTTCTAGCTCTTTCTGTTTGAAGTAGCTGGATAAGACCTCTAACTTTGTCTGAGCTTCACTGTTTTGTCGCTCAGCCTTCATCTTGTCTGACTGAAGATTTTCTGCCTTCCTTTCTAAGTCCAAGATCCTCTCTACAATCAAAACATAACAAAATAAACTATATGTTACTTTTTATTTTACATCAAATGCTGCAAAAGCAACAGGGAATTAATAACCAATATCATGAAAATAATAATATGAAACATTGAAAAATTGCTAGTTCATAGATAGTACACACATATAATAATATCATTTTACTTTATAGTTTACATTATGCTATTACATTGTTACATAAGTGTAAACAGACCTTCCATGTCTCTTCTATTCTGCATCTCTATACATAATCTGTTCATACATTACAGTATCACATTATAGTATTACATTATTACATTACAGTAAACAGACCTTCCATGTCTCTCCTACTCTGCATTTCTATGTCTAGTCTGTTCTCTAGTGATCTCTTCTCCTCCTCTGAGGCTTTCAATTTTGCTGAAACCTTTGAAAACAAAGCAAAGTCCAATTTAATTTTCATGTAAGAACTGAATTCCATGGGAAGTGGTATGAGATGCATGAAAGTGTCTACAGTCTCTATGAATCAATTTCTGTAAAAACAAATGTACCTGTGACACATCCATCATGGACTTCAATTTGGATTCAATATTTCCAGAATCTATGAAGAAAAACATAAATTTTCGGAATTCATTAAACCTTGATATTGTCAGACTTTAAACATAATTTTATTTGCTCTCAGAATGTAAAATAAGGCTACTATATAAAAACTTGAGTGGACGTATACCAATATCTCAACAAAATAAAAATCTCATCTTGAATGCTGAACTTAAAGTGAAATCCTAAATAAGGTATTTAACAGTGTACGAAAACTCCGCATCAGCCCGCTCGGGCGCACTAATTTTACCCTATTCCCTCCATGTTTTTTATTGCAGATTAATGTTTTGGGAAGGTAAAGACCAAATATTTCAGCGTTAATACAAGCCATAATTCCCCCAGACAACAAAAAATAAATAAAACTAATCAATATATCTGTAAAGATATGTAGAAAACAACAATCGTCTTTTAATCTGTGTTTTCACCCATGAAACATCCTTCATGGTATATTGAGCATTTTTTTAAACTTACAGGATCAGACAGATATCAAACACATTCACAATTAATGATAAATTAAAGAATCTTTGTATAATGTTCATGGAAAAACATCAAACTTTCACCCAAGGTAGCATGCTGAGTTTTTATTCATTGGTTGTTTCAAGTAATTTTTATTTTTTGATTAAATCAAGGATAAACTTTGGTAAAATTAAATAATGTAACAATATTTTCACCTTTTAATTATTTTATGTACTGATCAATAATTAAATAGAAATAATTATACATTCAAATTCTTTTTAACATATAAGTTTAATTATAATTATGTGTGTTAAAAACATACTAAAATTTAAGTTAATAACAAAATCTCTATCACCAGAAATGTGTGTGAATATCTATAAAGTGACATTATTAAATATTTAATTATCCTCATCTTGAAAGTAATCAAATGCTTAACTTTAAGTGAAGTGTGTGTCCTGAAGTTTATATTAAATTATTTTAGATGACTTTTACTGTCCTGCAGGATTACCTGTCTCATCTCTGTTTTCCTCCCCTTCTTCCCCCTCCTCCCCTGCCTGGCTCTGAAACGCCTTCAGTTGGAGGAAACAGTCCCTCAGAACCTGAAATCCAACACAAAACCATGTCATGGAATTCTTAATTACAGAAAACAATTCAAATTCATAACAGTTAAGTTTTGGAGGTGTAGGGTAGCTGACCTTACCTCTATTTCATTTTCTTTGTAGGCTAAGTCCTCAGCCATCTGTTTCTGTTCTCCCTTCACATAGTCTAGCTGCTCTGTCAGCTCCTTCACTCTGTGAATCACAAAAAACAGAAGTGCTTGATGAATTGCTTCTGTTTAAAATACCAAACACTGTGAATCTGAATAAATATTTGTTTTTAATGATGTCTTACTTACTTCTCACTCCAAACATGAGCTTCTTCAGTTAACTGAAAAATCAGATGAAAAAATGATTAAGCATTTCATAACAATATACATCTACAAATTGTCCTGTAATGAGGTAAACATTTCTTTTACCTGTGCTGTGCTGGCTATATTTGCTCTTACCTGTGATTTATTATGATATCAGATGTTCTAACCTGCTGTGACTGATTGTGATATCAGATGTTCTTACCTGTGATTTACTGTGATATCGGGTGTTCTTACCTGTGATTTACTGTGATATCAGATGTTCTTACCTGTGATTTACTGTGATATCAGGTGTTCTTACCTGTGATTTATTGAGATATCCTGTGTTCTTACATGTAATTTATTGTGATATCAGGTGTTCTTACCTGTGATTTATGTGATATCAGATGTTCTTACCTGTGATATCAGGTGTTCTTACCAGTGGTTTACTGTGATATTAAGTGCTCTTACATGTGATTTATTGTGATATCAGATGTTCTTACCTGTGATATCAGGTGTTCTTATCAGTGGCTTAGTGTGATATTAGTGTTCTTGCCTGTGATTTATTGTGATATCAGGTGTTCTTACCTGTGATTTATTGTGATATCTGGTTTCTTACCTGTGATTTATTGTGATATCAGGCGTTCTTACCTGTGATTTATTGTGATATCTGGTTTCTTACCTGTGAGTTATTGTGATATCAGGTGTTCTTACCTGTGATTTATTGTGATATCAGGTGTTCTTACCTGTGATTTATTGTGATACAAATGAAAGGCATATAGTGGTTTCTTAAAACCTGTGATTTTGTTGGATTGTGATATCAGGTGTTCTTACCTGTGATTTATTGTGATACATGTATCTGGTTTCTTACCTGTGATTTATTGTGATATCAGATGTTCTTACCTGTGATTTATTGGCCTCTAGGTGAGACACCTGGTCTGTCAGACTCTGCACCTGAGATTTCATCGTTTTTATTTCCCCTGATTTCTCCTGTACCTCTTTGTTAGCCTGTATTTAAAAATTCAACATTTTTCTACATGTAATAATGTCAATGTCAATTGTAGTTTTTTATAGACTGATTAATGCCTTATAAATGTGCTTACTTCTTTCAGTTTCTCATTTGTTTTGTTGTACTTCTCATCTTTCTGTTTTATCTGTTTCTCCAAGTCTTTCAACTAAAACAAAGGAAACAAGGAAGAATGTGAATAAGGCATTATAGGAATTATTATGAAACAACTTCGATGAACATAGTTTTGGATATCATATAATGAGGAAACTGGTAATCTACTGATAAACCTTTGGGCTTAACAGGATTTGATTATGTGACCAACCAAGTTCATTTTCCAGTGAGCATTTTAACAAAAGATTGCTGTTGCTTTCTTATACAAATAACATTCCCTTTATGTATAACCAAGTAAACACAGATCCATGTGTAGTAACTGACTGTATTGCTGACAGTTTTAAATATATTCGATCATATGTAATACCATTTTATCTCCATCTTTCAATGAAGAAGGAGCAAACTTCAACTGATTTTTTTAAATTTGTTTTATTGAATATGACTCACTGTTTGAATATATACTTTATCTCCCATTTTTAATGTGTTCCTTGTAAATGTGTTAGTACCATTGTCAGAGTGAGTTTACCTGGTTGTCTTTAGATCGGAGTTCCTTTGTCTTCTGAGATAGTTCCTGTTTTACCTCTGTGTTTTCCTCAGACATGGTTTCTACCTGTTCCTTCAGGGCAGTGTTGTGGAGCTGGTAAAGAAAAGATCAAGTAATCTCAAGTGATGGAAGATAACAACATGTACAAACAATCATATAATATGATATACCAGTTTTTTTTTACACTTTTCTAATTTTCCCAGTTTAATGATGTAGAAAGAAGTACCTGCAGTGTTTGTAAGTCTTTCTGAATGTCCCCGACAGATGACTGTGTGGACTTCTTATCCTCCTCAATACCATCCATCTGTAAAAGTAATACCAACCGAGGTTAAATTCAGATATTTCCAAGATCATGGCTAAACTACGAATCATTTGTGAATTAATTATCGGTAATTGTACTTGTATATCACTTTATTTTTTTCAAGGTTCTGCAAATAAAATGTGTTATATATTCCCTAATTCCATCTTACCTTCTCCCGAAGGGCACTGAGTTCATCCTCCAAATTCTCCTTCTCTTTGGTAAGTATGAACAACTTCTCTTCCAGGCCTCTAACCACAACTACAAACAAATACATGTACAAAACAATCCTATCACATAATTACACCTATACTAATATTCCTTTTTCAAATTCAGAGTACCTAAGTGATCTTACCAACAGGGTCTTGTTTCTTAGTTTTCCTGCCTCCCTTAAAAATGCATCAAAATACATTAATGTTGTAAATAAAATATAGTATCAAATGTTAGTAAACCAAAAAAAAAAATTTCTAGCTATAAAACCTGACCTTTTCATTCAAAAAATTGCTCTTTATCTTGATGACTAAAACAAAACAAGGTTGGGTACCTACCCCTAAAATGACACTGCAGCATGTGACAATCACCAGGGATGCTATGGTAACTATGGTGACAAGAATGGTCATCTGTGGAGACAGTCCTAATGGTTCCTGTTCTAGCAGGGCCTGCACTGAGGGGGGAAGCTGTCAAACATAACAACAATTACTCTCAACATACCAGGTACATCACATTCATTACTACATGTATTATGATATTGAAAGTTTTTAAGCTACAGGTTTTTACATTCTCAATTTTGGAATCTACGGATTTCATAACAACTCGGATTATAAATGTATATAAGACAAAGGGATTTTTTATTACAATGTATTACCACATGTAAATTAAAATTAACATAGTTCTGGGATATCTTCATAAAATCAGTAAATTTTGATGACAATAGTGATTGAACCTACCTTTGTGATTAAGCTCTTTAGGAATCGGTCTCCCTTCATCTCAGCTTTGTAGGCCATATCTTCCTGCTCCTCCAAACCTGCATCATTGATCTTCCGAGACATAAACTCCTCCTGCTCATTTAACCCTGAGTCTTTAACTGCCTCTGTTGTAGAGTCCTGCTCTCCTTGTGGTGCTGACTCTGAGTCTTTAGGAACTGTCTCTGTTGTGGACACTGTCTCTGTTGAAGATGACTGAATGTCTTCCTTGGATGTGGTAGAACCTTGACCACCTTCTCCAGGAATAAAGACCTCCTCAGCTTTTGGTGCCGGTTCCCTGGCAGACTGACCAAAACTAGATGGTGTAGTAGATTCTGTAGGTGGTGGGGGAATTTCTCCTTCATCACTACCTGACACTGTTGTTGATACTACTGGACTTTCAGTTACTGTTTCCTGTTTATTCTCTTCCATATTTCCTTTGTCTGCAGAGGTTTTTGACTCTGATTGAGTTGTTGACAGAAGAGGGGACTCTGTGACTGTTTCCTCTTTCTGATCACCTCCATCTTTAGGTATTACATCTGGCTTGCTTTCTTCTTTGACAGAGTGTGGGAGTTTGTGAGGCTCGTGTGACAGTGGTTTCCTAGATAAGAAGTCAGCAGTAGAGTAAGCATCCACAGTGGTGGGAAGATCAATCTTTAAATGATCAGTGTCAACAACAGTCTTAGAGGCATTCTGTTGGTCACCAGCAATGGCTGTATTTCTTGTGTTGTCAATTATCTCTTTGTTGTCCATTCTGTAATCACTCTCCATGGAAGACATAAGCTGTTCTACTGGGGAGGTAGAGGGAACAGCTGAAGCTGTCGTCTGCTCCTGGATGGGTTTATCAGTCATCTCTCTCTTTATCTGCTCCTGTTTTCCTTCTTCTCTGGTCTTTTCCCCATCATCAGGAATGCTCATTTCTCTCACATTTTCATCAACACTACCTGAATCAGGACTGGTATCTTCCTCACCCAAAAACTTCAGCACTGACAAGTTTGGTTCTTCACTGGATTCCAATGGTTTTTGCTCTTGTTCAGTTTCTGCTGTTTTCTGTTCACCTTCTGTTTTTCTATTGGTATCTGTGACATTTTCTGAGCTTTCTTTAACCTCTGTTTCAATTTTTTGCAAGTTTGCCTCATTATTCTGTTTAAGATCTGCAGCAGTCTTTTCTTCAGTATCTTCAGCTTGAGCATTTTTTACTTGAGATGATGTATCATTTGCATTTTCTAGCAAACCTGTCAAGTTTCCTGGCTTGACTGCTTCCTTCTGAAGTTGTTCAGTGTTTATTTCTCCTACCTCCTTGCTTGTATCAGGAACAGAATGTTTAGAATCTATTGGTATTTTCTCCACTTTTTGGGATTCCACATCCATTTTTGAAGCCTCAGTACCACCTTCAGTTACTGTTGGAACAATATCTGCTGAGGAAGCAGTATCAGGACTGACTGATTCTACAATTGTTTTTGTTTGAGATGACACAACAGGAGGTTGAGAACTTTGTTCCAAAGATTCAGATGCTGTCTTAGACTCTGCAGTGATTTGCTCTGCCTTCTCTTGTTCGGATGAAGTTAAGATATGATCCACCGACACAGTTGAAGTGTGCTGCTGAGTAGGTGTGGAGGACAACACTACTGATTCTGTCTGCTTTACAACATTTTCTGTAGAAGTGGGGTCTTCAAACATATCCAGTGGGAATGGAGTTCCATCAATGATGGTGTAACCCTCCATAGCTGTCTGCTGTGGGGCCTCGTTTACAGTGGAGGACTCTGTCACTGAGGAATGTGTTTCTGTCAGCCCTGGAGTACTTGTACTACTTGCTCTCTGCTCCACAGTTTTGGCAGCACTTTCTTCTGAAGTAAACGAACTCTGAAGAAGTGTCTCTTCTTCCTTTTTATTCTGTATTACAGAAGATGGCTGGATCCCTGCCCCTGTGTTCCCCTGTACTGATGAAAGACCTTCCTTGTCAGTCATAGGAGGACCAACAGGTAAACCATCAGGAAGTACAATGTCAGCATCCTTCCCAACATCTTCTTTCACTTCCTGTTTAGCCTCAGTTCTGCTTTCCTCATTACTTATCTCAGTTTCATCGGCAATCTCTGTCTCATCTTCCTCGGGGGGTTTAGGATCCTCTGACACTTTTTTTGTATCATCTACTCCTTCTTTTAGTAAATCTGACAGTCCGGGAAGTTTCAGTCCCTCATCATCTGTTTGTACCTCAGCTTCTACATTCTGAGACTGTCCCTGTTTGGCTTCCATCTTCTGAGACTGTCCCTGTTCAGCTTCTACCTTTTGAGACAGTCCCTGGTCTGAGTCTGTCGTAGAGTCTGATTTTTCTTTGGAACCTGTAGAGGGTAATTCCGTAGTTGACTCTGGTTCTTTCTTTTTAGATCCTTCCTCCAACATTTTGTTTAATTCTATGAAAAAGTAAAGAAAAAATAATAAGGACTGAGAATAAAAATCATAAACATAGTACGTCCATAATATATGCATCTTTTCCCATTGAATCTGTTAATTAAATTCAATTTTACTTTAAGACATTGCTGGAACTCATGGGTTTTACTTTTGTTATATGACATTCATTGTCGCTGAATGTAGTGTAATGGATAGAAAACTTGTGGATTCTGATGGTGGCATTGGGATAACATACATGTACATGTATCTGTCTTCTTCTTTTACATCATTTATCAACAATTTGCAGAAAAAATTAATAATTTGTTAAGCCAGTTATGTAACTTTTCGGCAATAGCTGCAATATTTAGTTTTGGAAAACAGGTCAGAAGTGTTGAAAAGTTTACAAGTGAGGCAAAGGTAACTAAGGTACATGTATTAAAAAAAAAAATTTAAATATTTGTAGAAATACTATGAACTTGCTAATCAAAAATCTTGTTTGAGGTTTTCAATACTTGTTTCTTGGCAATATGTAAGAATGCTAGTAAGTCAATTTGCTAGTTACATTTAGTAGAATCATATTAGTGAAACAAGGCCATCTAAACAAAAAAGTTTGTTTGCCCTCTCCTGACCTTTTACGTGTAGCTAAAAATGGCCCAACTTAAAACTTCTTTTTACCCTCATGGAAACAATACCCCCCCACCCTCCTTAATTTTCTCATTCTGTAAATGTGTATGTTGGAATTATCTAAGAAAAAAAGAATTTTCTACATATTCTGCCAACCCAATTTTTTATCCTGGGTCAGGAGAGGACAAGAAAACATTATTATATATATGGCTCAAAATACATTTTCTTTAGATACACTCTTTTTGAAAACTTGGCTAAAGCATTTATTAGCAAATTATTAGTGACACTGTATATGAAAGGGAATTAGTATCATTGTTAGTAGCCTTTTACCATCAATTTTAACTTTGTCTTCATCATCATTATTGTGCAGAGAGAATAATGACTCTCTTAATTCATCCAGCTTTTCCTTCACCCTATTTTCTTTTTTAATATGAAGCTGACTGCCTGAAACGGACATATGAAACTTTGATCTAAATCATCCATTTATCTGAAGATATTCAAAATCCCAGCCATCAAAGCAATGAGCAAAATTCTAATATTCTTTGAATATTCAAAAAAATTTAGACAATGTGGATAAATGTATGTATTGTAAAGCGCTTTGAGTAGCATTTATGCTAGAAAAGCGCCATATAAAAAACAATCATTATTATTATTATTAATATTAAATCTAAATAGGTACCAAGGGTTCATTAATACACTTGTACTTGAAGCATGGTTAAATAGATTTGTTAACATGTACCTTCTTCTTCATTGGCTTTATTTTGGGGGATGTTTTGTCCTTCTTTTGTCTCCTTGGCCTCTGTGGGGTCTTTCTCACCACTGGGTATGGGGACAATTTCCTCTACCTTTGTTTGGGTCCCCTGACTCTCCTCCCCTACCCCTGGTTGTTGGCTAGCTGTACCCTGACTCTCCTCCCCTCCCCCTGGTTGTTGGCTAGCTGTACCCTGACTCTCCTCCCCTCCCCCTGGTTGTTGGCTAGCTGTACCCTGACTCTCCTCCCCTCCCCCTGGTTGTTGGCTAGCTGTACCCTGACTCTCCTCCCCTCCCCCTGGTTGTTGGCTAGCTGTACCCTGGCTCTCCTCCGTCTGCTCTCCTTTAATGCTGTCTTTCTGTTCTGTTTGTTTATCGTCTTTTGAAGGCCCTGGACTTGGAGGAGAAGGTTTTTCTTGTTCTTTCTTCAAATCAAGACATAATGTTCATTTAGATGAAAAGATTCAGTTCACCAAAATTTTAGTGAATAATAAAGAAAATTTTGTAAATAAACATTCAACTGCCTGACTAACTATCAAAGTCAATGCAAAAATATTTGAATGCATGTCTGGAATGACTTAACACTGATGGCCCTTTAGCTCATACCACAGGCCTTTAGATCGCTTAGAAAAAAAATTGAGGTGTTGAAAAAAAAATAAAGGTATGGAACTCTTTTCACGGGGTACCTACTTTCGCCAATAAAATTCTTTTAAATCAAATGCTTTACAAGTTTACTTTCTATCCATATCTATTCAAAAATAAACAATCTTCATTACTACCAAAGTTCATTCCGTAATTCCTTATACTTCTCGAGATATTCTGAAATCAATTCCCAAATTGACAATAATTTTTTTACTCGACATCAGCTTGGGCCTTCACTAATTGTAAAGCGGGAACGACGGGACAAATTTTCCCCGGAATTTATTCTAAACTCAATGAATATTTGCTCATTTGCATTCAAGCTTTCAAGGTTTTTCTTTAATTTGAACATATGGTGTGACTAAGTCATAAACAACATTTTAGCGGTCTAATTGTTTTGAAAATCAAAAGGTATATAATGCATTCCGGGAAAAATTCGTTCTACCATGGATTCATTTACATTCATAATCAACATGGCGGTAGTTGTTGATGTAGACGTTTTCAAATTAATTTTTCGCGAAAGGAATATTATTACGGACTTAACTTTGCAATCTGGAGTAAGGAATCAACTTTAAATTGTTGAAAGATTTTGCAAATACTATGCAACTCTTCGCCGCACTTCAGACACCGTCTGTTTACATGTGAATGGCCAGGGGCCCAAGCTAATGTCGAGTAAAAGAAAGTAGGTCATTTTTGAAATTGATTTCAGAATATCTCAAGAAATATATGGAATTTCGGAATGAGCTTTGGTAGAATTGAAGAATGTTTATCTATGAATAGATTTAAATAGAAAGTAGAATTTTAGAGCATTCGAATAAAAAATATTTTATTAGCGAAATTAGGTACCCAGTGTAAGAGTTCAGTACCTTTATTTTTTTTTTACACACACAATTTTTTTTAAGCGATCCAAAGGCCTGTGGCTCATACCAAGGCTCAAGTGAGCTTTTCTTGTTCATTGTTCATATTCTGCCAAATCATTGAACCAATTTTAATTTCTCACAGAAGATATTTGGTGAAAGAACAATAAAAGCTAGCAACTTTAAATAAAGTCAATGCCCATTTCTAAAAGAAAGAATACATTTGTTACCTCATATGGTGTAATATCAACTCTCAGTGGGTCATTGTCAGTGTGGGACCACAATTGCAAATGGGAGTCAAATTTTTATCTTTTGAACCCAATATGACTAAGTCTAATAGCCTCCAAGAACACGTTCAAACAAAATTAAACCTATACAGACAGATGGACTAGCTGATTCCAATACCCTCCCTCCAGCTTTCTTTACAGGGGGTTATAGCTACGCATAAAAATATTGAGATTATTTGCATGAAATATACCTGCTCATCTTTTTTTGCATTTTCTTTATCTGCAAAAAAAAAATATCATCATCTAAAACCATTTAAATTACTTCACAATTATTACACTGTAAACCATAATGTTCTCTGTTTTGGTCTTGTAAATGCATGATGGTTAATGATGGTATAAAAGAACATTTTAAAATATATGAACCATTCCCTTGTTACATATCTGGTACAAATTTATCCTTTGTTACATATCTGGTATAAATTTATCCTTTGTTACATATCTAGTACAGATTAAGATTTTCTTCGGTACAGCTGACCTTTATCATCCTCCCACCACAGGTCATCTTCCTCATCTTCCACCTCTGTATCATCTTCCTCCTCTTCAACTTCTGTGTCATCTTCACCTTTGTTTGGGGGCATGGCAGGCTTTTCCTGAAGCTCAATAACTTTTCCCTCCGAGAACTTAAAAACAAGATTTAGATCCACTGAATACACCCCCTTTATTTCTCATGAAAACTATGGTCATAATTATATGCTCAAATCCCAAAGACTTTTTGGTCTTAATATTACTGGTTCAGCTTTGTAAGAAGCTTAAATTTCTTAAATACATTTCTACACACTTGTATGACAATATCTGGATCATCTAAAAAAAAATAAACTGCAATGTATATAGAAGCTAGTTATTACCTCTGTTGGCACAATAAATTGTGGAGATGGGTTTTCAACTTTGTATTCCCTCACAAAAGATCTTGGAAAATAGCCAGTCTTCCCGTCTAACTGAAAGTTTACAAAAGAATATGTTCATAAAAACTCAGTATCTTAGACTAAGAGTAAGTGCTATGGCTGATTTGCTCCATTTTGTTACATTTAAATTTAAATTAAGCCTATATGGGACTAAATCTATTGTGATGGCTTTTCCTGAGAATAAGACAGATCATTCTGACTTATTTGGATTATAAACAAACACTGATACTCACTCTCCCGCCCCACAAATCAGGACGATCTCCAGCGGATTTACTTGTAATTTCCAACATCACATTTCTCTCAAAGTTTAGGAAGATTGGATCATTCTGCATGTGTTTAGCCAGGGTACGTCCATATGATAAGGTTGCTTTTAAAAAATCACAATGTATTATTATATTACATTATTTTGCAGTTATTTTGTAAATGTTTATAATTTCAATGTTCTCATGATTTGAGTTTTCAATAAATGAAGAATTTCAATGTGATTCTCAGTTTGCAGATTAATATAATTCATAATTTCATGTTGATATAATTTATTGATAAAACATGGACAATAGTTTTAAAAAGCAAAGTGCAAGTACATGTAGGCTTTCTGAGGAAATTCGGGATATCTTGAACCTCGATCATATTCCGCCATGTTATCAAAGCTGACTTACTCTTGCATTCCTTGTCACCACACAGACGTAAATCTGATATCTTTGATGATGAGCTCCCATTTATAATGAAACCGACAGACAATATCACTAAAACTAGTTTTTTACTTTTTGGAGCGTCTGTCATTTCTTTGAGTTTCATGCTTTGTACACGTCAGCTGGCGCTGCAGTTTTACTTCCTGTTTCCCTAAGTATTGATTTGATGGGTGGATTCAAAACGTAAATTTTAGTTATCATCAGTGAACTAAACAGGGGCACTATATGTAATTTTTTCATTCATAATTATTTAACTTTGATTTTCTTGTATTATTTTTTTTATTTTATTTTTTGCATCCGTGTCTGAAATTAAACTGTTTGAAATAAATTAATATTTATTTTTAAGACGACCTTTTTTCGAAGGGAGGTCACTCTCATAAGAAAAACAAACATTTCCTGGTTGTTGGAAGAAATAAAAGATGAGCAGGATATATGACAACAAACCCCTGCATAATTTGCCTGTGATCAGTGTCAACACGCCAAACAAATGGGATCCAAAGAAATACTCAAGGTATGCTGCAACAGATGTGACACTCACTCACTCAGTCCTCTCTGCGCCGTCTGGCACTTGAGGCGACAGCAAGGGCTCTCCCAGATAGCAGGATGTTATTGGACCTTTGTTGGGCCAACAACGCTCCTTATGTTGGGCCACTGTTTGAATTCAACATTGGGCCATGTAATTTGCTCATCGGCCCTTAATCAAACCAACTTGTTGGCTTATTGTTGGGCCAATACAGTATATTGGGCCACTGTTGGGCCAATGTATTATTTCAATATTGGGCAAAGTCATTTTTGTACAATTGGGCCATTGTAAGCAACTAATGTTGGGCCAATTTATTTCGGCCCTTAATCAAACCAACTTGTTGGCTTATTGTTGGGCCAATGTAACAGTTAATATTGGGCCACTGTTGGGCCAATGTATTTTTTCAATGTTGGGCAAACGTCATTTTTGTACAGTTGGGCCATTGTAAGCAATTAATGTTGGGCCAACGGTAATTTGCTCATCGGCCCTTAATCAGACCAGCTTGTTGGCTCGTTGTTGGACCAACGAACGGATATCATTGAGCCATTGTTGGGCCCACATATTCTTTCAATATTAGGAAAACATCATTTTTGGGCCGACGTTGGTTTGTATCTTATTGACTCTCCAGCATGACAATTCATTTGCTCTTCACTGGTTGGCCATTTGTCCTCAAAATTGACAAAGAAATATATACAATAAGGTTATACTAGTTTTGTAGTACAGTTTCATGGTAAAAGCCCTTGAAAACTATCTATATATGCTATATATGCTAGATTAATAGTTTAATACATATTCTCAATATCTCATAGAATTGCCATCAACAAGTATTGCATTGTAAGTAGCTCTACATTAATTAAGAAACTGAGGAAAAAGAAATCAAAATATAAAATTAAATTATAACATACTATAATTTTATTGCTCAGTGCATGAAGAAAACATTAATAAAGAATTAAAAGTTGATGCTCACTTCAAGCGATACATGGAGGTTTACATGACTGTATACTCCCTCTTTGATGTACATTATGCACAAGTTCAGTAAATTAAAGGTATTAATAAGCACGTCTAACAAATAAACAAAGCCCCCCTGTTCTTAAAATAATACTAAAATGAATCCGTCATTTTGTTTACTTACACAAAAAAAAATGTTTCTGTCATCTGCATCGTGTTTATAACCGACAAACAGACACAAAAAAGGGTAGAACTATGTCAAACTATATTACAGAAAAAAGCTAGGCACTGCCACTTTCCATGTGATCCCTCTCCTAAGTCTCCATTTCCTCTTCCCGAGTCTCCTCCTCCCTTCTTGTCTTCTCTGTCCGTTTCTTCCTCCCCCATCCCTGTCCTTGGCATACCTTAGCCATTCTTTGATTGTGTTCTCTATGTATTTTTAGAATCTCCAGTAGCACTAAAATTGTAATATTTGGTACTTAATATATTTGTTACTTTTCTCAGCAAAGAATAAACATACGATTAAATTTACAAGTATATCATTATATGTTTAAGTTGTCAATTAAGGAATATACCGTCTTTTTTGTTTCATGGTGTGATTAAGTGATTAGCTTGCGTGATGAAGGCATTTATGCATAAAATTTCTACGTTTGATCATCATCATCACAACAATTTTGATTCAATGTTGCCCCATATAAAATACATGTATTGAAAATTTGTCGTTACACTGAACAAATTTTAAATGAAAGAACCCAATTTATTTTTAGTACTGAATAAATTTTGTTTTAACTTCAGCAAGTTCAACATTTTCAAAATGTTTGATCATGTACTCGACGTTAAGTGTATATTAAGTAAATTAAGTGGTAGACTTCGGAAATGTATTCTACTAGACACAAATTTCAATTTAAATGAGGAGCAAATTATTCATTGTTTTAACTGTATCAAAACACATTTTTATACTTTCATTTATTTTTCTTGTATAGAAACAAAAGATTTAATCACTGATAATTTATTTTGTTTTGATATATTATCATAAGAATTTTAAATTTATTTTAGCTAGCTTGATTTTTCAAGTAGGATTGGTTGTAGATTTATTTCTGATTGTAGAGATGATCAGATTTGTTAATATACAGATTTGTAACAATTAAATGTTTATACACATTGGCCCAATGTTGGTCCAATGTATCGGGCTAACATTGGGCAAATGAGAAAAATGACACTCGGCTAACGTCATTTGCCAACATCGGCCCAATGTTCTTGTTGACGTTTTGCCAACAATGTCGCATTCATTGGGCCAATGTTGGCGCAACATTGGGCCAATGTCTGTAGAAATAACACTCTACATTAGGCCAACGTTGGCCAAACATATCGGGCCAACATTGGGCCGATGAGTAAACTTAAATTGGGTCAATGCTATTTGCCAACATTGGCCCGATGTAACCGATTACATTGGCCCAACGTTGGCCCAATGTTAGCATGCTATCTGTAAAGTGTTGACCCAACAGCACCTCCCCGTGTCTGATTTACACAGATTTGTACATGATATCGTTTAAAAACTAAATGTTAATTCAGCTAAGCCGAGGCAAACATATTATTAATACTTACAAAGTGGATGCAGATATGCAAGGTATAGTCTCATTACACTCGTGTCAGATTAAAAATGGCGCGGATATTACAAGTAGCCCGGTTGTTGTCTACCCATGATGCTCAGTCAGATTCATGGTATATTGGGCCAACGTAGGGCCGATGCCAATCCCCAAACAAATATTTTCTCTCATGATAATAGTTTTATGATATAATGCCAACAGTTAGCCCAACATTAGTGCACTATTATTCATAACCAGCTATCAATATTCCATGTTGGGCCATTGTTGGCCCATTGTTGGTCCAATCAAGGTAACCCAACATAGATAATAGAACCATAATGTAAGATTGGGCCAACGGTGTTCTGCTATCTGGGTTATTACAAATAAATAAGCATATACACAATTCAAAAACTAGAATAAAACACTCTTTGGTGCTTGATCACTTAAGTGCAAAGTTAAAATGTTGAAAATATCATATCTAAACAAAAGCAGTCATCCAATGATAAGCATGGACATAGAAAGTCCTCTTAATTATTTCAGAATGTGCCAACGTTGTCCTAACGTAAAGCTCAGCAGCTAATTATAAAATTGACACCATCAATTAGTTGGCAGTAAAATAATTGGGCCAATGTTGGCCCAATATAAATATCCCATCTTTGAAAGACCTAAACAAAATAACACTTGTGTGTATTACAATTTACAAACATTGTGCCAATGTTGGCCCAACATAATACTACCAACTTGATAGGACACGCACTTTAAGGGTGTATTACAAACAATGGGCCAACGTTGGGCCAACATACTACTACCAACTTGATAAGGCACTTTCTTTTAGGGTGCATTACAAACAATGGGTCAACGTTGGGCCAACATACTACTACCAACTTGATAGGACACGTTCTTTAAGAGTGTATTACAAACAATGGGCCAACGTTGGGCCAACATAATACTACCAACTTGATAGGACACGCACTTTAAGGGTGTATTACAAACAATGGGCCAACGTTGGGCCAACATACTACTACCACCTTGATAAGGCACTTTCTTTTAGGGTGCATTACAAACAATGGGCCAACGTTGGGCCAACATACTACTACCAACTTGATAGGACACGTTCTTTAAGGGTGTATTACAAACAATGGGCCAACGTTGGGCCAACATAATACTACCAACTTGATAAGGCACTTTCTATAAGGATGTATTACAAACATTGTGCCAACGTTGGGCCAACATATTACTACCAACTTGTAAATACACTTTCTTTAAGGGTGTATTATAAACATTAGTCCAACGTTGGGCCAACGCCATAATCCTTCCTTCTTTGGAAACTAAAGTGAATGGAAGTTGCTTACGTTGGTCCAACGTTGGGCCAACATAGGAATTCCGTCATGGTCGAGAAGGTTGACTTGGTAACATTGGTCCAACGTTGGCCCAACGTTGTTCCCCCAACGCCAACCATTCAACCTTTAACAAATGTTGGCCCAACATAGTCATGCTATCTGGGCTCCAATTGGCTCTGTCGGCTGCTGCTCTGGGGGCTGTCTGCAGGGTGAGTCCTCTGTTCCTCAGGTCTCTCTCAAAGTAAGTCTCCTTTGGGCGCCCTCTGTTCCTCTTCCCCTGTGGTGTCCAGCCAAGAGCTGTCCTGGTAATGGAGCTGGTAGGCATGCGGCAGACATGTCCCAACCATCTCCAGTCGCCTTTGGATCATCTCTGCCAGAGTATTTGCCATGTTTCGGAGATTTTCATTGGAAATTGTGTTGGGCCAGAAGATCTTCATGATGCGACGTAGGCACTTGGTCTGGAACACTTCAAGTTTCTTCTCAATGGTGACAGTGGTCTTCCAGCACTCAGATCCATATAGCAGCACACTGAGGACAGGAATAATCTGATTTTAGTGGATGCTGAGGCTTGTAGATTTCCAAACGGGTTTGAGCATGGCAAAAGCTTGGTTGGCTTTGCTGAGTCTGGTCTTAATCTCTTGCTCGCAATCACCGTCTGTTGTCATTTTGCTGCCCAAGTAGGTGAATTCCTCTACGTTCTCCAGCTGCCTCCCGTTGACTGTGATTGGGTCTGTGTTTCTGTCATTTTTCCTCATGATACATGGTGTTGGCTATTTCGGAGGGTCTCCGTCTTTTGCTGTATGTCCTGATGTCTATAATTCCCAGGTCATCAAAGTCCAGGTCCTCTAGGACTGTGGTCAGAGTCCACTGAATGCCCTGCCATCTTCCTTCGGTGACGTTGCGCATGAGCCAATCCACTGCAAGGGAGAAGAGCATTGGAGACAGTATGCAGCCTTGCTTCACGCCAGTATCCACTCCAAAGGGTTCTGTCAGTTTGTTGTCATGTATTACTTGGCATTCGATGTTTTCGTAGAGGGACTGGATGATGTTCACCAGTTTCTGCGGGATGCCATAGTGTCGTAGGATCCTCCAGAGGGATGCTCTGTGAAGGCCTTCTCAAAGTCAACAAACACCAGGTAAAGTGGGCTGTTCCACTCGTGCGACTGCTCAAGTATCTGGCGGAGAATGAAGATGTGGTCAATGCAAGATCGTCCTTTTCAATCCAGCCTGCTCCTGGTAGGATGGTGTCCACTGCTGTGGTGGTGCGCTGGAGGATGTTAAAGATCTTGCTCGTGAGGGACAGCAAAGTGATTCCTCTCCAATTGTTGCAGGACAGGTCCCCTTTTTTGGGAGTTTTACAATGACTCCTTTTCTCCATGGAATTCCCAGATGTCTTTGAGAAAAGAAGAAGTCGTGGGGTGTCCTGTTCCTCTGCCTTCAACATCTCAGCGCAGACTCCATCCTCTCCTGGTGCCTTGCCATTCTTCAACTTGCAGATGGCGTCCTTCACCTCCTGTAGTGAGATGGGTCCCAGATTGATGTCCAGGTCCTCTTCTGCCATACTGAAAGAGCTGGTGGGTCAGGCTGATTCAGGGTCTGCTGGAAATGATCCCTCCATCTCGCTAGCTTGGCTTGCTCTTCAGTGATTAGTGTGCCATCACTTGCCTTCAGTGGGAGGGATTCTGTCCTCTGTCTCCTCTTAGTTTCTTAGTAATCATGTAGACAGTCTTCATGTCCTTCCTTTCAGCAGCTGCTTCCGCTTCATCTGCTAGTTTTTCTGTGTACTGCTGCTTGTCTCTTCTTGCCGAGATCTTGACTTGTCTGTCTTTCTCTCTGTACTGCATTTCTGCTCTCTCTTTCAATCTTGGGGACTTGGTGAGGACTCTCTTCTTCAACTGTTTTCTCTCCTCAATGGCTTTCCATGTGTCTGTGGACATCCATTCTTTCTTTTTGCTCTTTCTGTATCCAATGGTCTCTTTTGCAGCTTCTGTTACTGCGTTGTTGAAACTATCGATGGTGAGTGCTGTTTTGTCTTTGAGGATACTGAAACGATTCTTTAGTGCCAAGTTGTACTGCTGCTTAAGTGCTGGGTCTGTCAGCATGCCAACATCAAAACGCCGGTTCCTGCTGCTGCCAATCTTGGTCTTCCTCAGCTTAAGTGTCAGCTTTGCCACGAGTAGGTTGTGGTCACTACCAACATCTGCATTTCGCATAACTCTTACATCCTGAAGGGAGCGCTTCCACTTGCTGTTTATCACAATGTGGTCGATCTGGTTCTGCGTTCTCCCGTCTGGTGATGTCCAAGTGAGCTTGTGGATGGTCTTGTGTGCAAAAAGTGTTACCGCCTAAGACGAGGGTGTTCTCTTCACAAAACCCAATTAGTCTCTCACCGTTGTCATTTAACTGTCCTGTACCATGTTGTCCCATGATTCTCTCCCTGTTCTCGTTGTTACTGCCAACCTGCGCATTGAAGTCTCCCAACAACAGAAGAACATCATGTCTTGGGATGTCCTCCACTGCAGTCTGTAAAGCACTGTAGAACTCCTCCTTGTCTTCCTCGTCTGCTACTTCCGTTGGTGCATATGCAACGATGACTGACAGCTTGGTGTACTTGGAGTCCATTCTTACATAGAGCAGTCGTTCATTAATTGGCTTCCATTGTAACAGGCTGTTGGTGTGCTTCTTACTGATGATGAGGGCAACACCTTCCTGGTGGTTTCCATCCTGTCTGCCTGACCAGATGATGGTTTCGCCTGAGCTCATTCGCTGCTTTCCTGTCCCTGTCCATCTTGCTTCTGAAACTCCCAGCATGCAGAGGTCATAGCTGTTCATCTCATGTACTGCTTGTGCTAATCTTCCTGCTTGAAACAGAGTCCTCACGTTCCAAAAACCAACTCTCATGCATCGTTTGGGCGTCAGGAGCTCCGCAGTCTGGCTAGAGACGTCCTCTCGGATTTGATCCCCAGCCTTCATAAGTCCAGTTGCTTGGTCTGCTTCGCTCCATTGGCCAGTTGAATTATATTCCCTTGTTGTCGTTTCTGTAGCGGTAAAGTTTTTACAAAGGGTGGGGTTAGTGCCCCACGATAATTCCCAACCCTCCTCCTTTCTCATCCGGGCTTGGGACCGGCCATGGCGGAGTTTGATGTGAAGATATGAAGGCGTGCAAAATAAAACAACAATGTGTTTTTTGCAGATTGCACAGACATGCATATTAAAGGATGTTTGAAGCATACAGTAATACAGTATACACTAAAAACAGCATTTACCATCTTATTAAAATAATTTATTTATTTTTAATTAACAAATTTTGAACAAGTACATTCTCTTTATTTGAAACAGAAATGGAGAGCGTACATATAAATAATTTAAATAATTTCAAGAGTTGCTCTAGGGAGAAATATGCGAAAAATAAGAAGAAAAAAAGTATATTTAGCAGCTAGATCACTCAAAAGTTTTAAATTTAAAACTTAAAAAAAAAGAGACATTCTCATCTTTAGGAAGTATAAATAATTATTAACCAAAATTGTGTCATATGTTTTAATATTAAATTGACTTTTATCATGCACCCTAAAATTAATTAACCATGCATGCAAATAAGGTTTCTATGGGGCAACTAAGTTCTTGGGGGCCTGTTCCAAAAACTTGAACATGCTCACTCATCCAGTTAATGTGGTCTGATCTAGCATCTGAAACAAGTGTGATTATGTACATACTAGTACCTAAATGCATCAAGCATGCAGGTTTTCTCACCTTTGGGCTTTAAGATACTTGAGAATGAATCTGCTCCTTCAACTTTAACCCAGTATTTCTTCCATAAAATGAAGTCCAGTCCCAGAATCAGTATGTCTGGTAGTATATATAAATTCCTTGATGCATCAACCACTTTCAAGGTGCAAATAGGGAGAAAATGATTGATCAGAATGCTAAAAAAAGTAATACCATAATACTGGTAAAAAGAAATTTGGATAATTCTGCTAGTTTCCTTTTTTGTCTGTTGAATTATAGTCATATTCTGCCAACAAGTCCTGTGTTAAGAACATGGATGGTTGTAAGAATAAAATCTTTGTTTTTCAATTCAAAATGCTAAGAAATATCTTGTATCCATCACTATATAAATAATTTTTTGTGGAGAGATTTATATTTGAAATTTGTGATTTATGACCCTCTTCATGCAATGCAGGGCTCTTGATTCTCTGTAATTGGGGCCATTTATGGGCCCCATTCCCAATTCAAAAAAGGTACCTTTTTTCCAAATTGAATGTGTTAGGCCATATAAAATTAATCTTTAGATTCTCATCCCCGCCCGCCCCGATGTTTTTTATTTTGATTTTTGGGTATTTTCATGTATTTTTATTCAGTAAGAATTTGGGTCAAAGTTTAAGAGTTACCTCCCGTCTGTATTAAAAGTCACATGTCGCTATTTATAGCAAAAACGCCATGTGAAGAATGAAGAAAAATCGGCAATAAAAGCAGTTTAAATGTGTAAGGAAAAGATAATTTGTCAGTATAGAGAAGGCAGAGAAGAAAAAATAGCATAAACACATATAGATACCATCAATGGCAGGAGCAAGTATGTAGAGAGATTGTAACTAAGTAAAAATAGATGAGGAAAATGACACCTGGTCAAGTTATATATAACGATCTCCAGCTGTGTGACTTAGCTTTGAAATAAAAAAAAATCTACAACATCGTAGACAGACTTAAGAGAAGGCCTAGATTTTTCAGTAGAATAATTATTAGAACATTTATATAGATTTTGCAAAATAAGGAGTCAAGCATACAAAATTTATTGGTATCCCCACCTCATTTTGTTCAGGGTGTGCCGTATAATGTGTACTTGATAATTTGTTAATTAACAATAAATATTTAACTTTTAAAGCAAAAATTTTCTTTAAATATTTAAAAGAATATGAACAGAATTAAATCTATTCATATTTGCATTAAGGTAATGGAAAAAAATGTGTATTGTTTTGTTGATACTTAGGCCTATAGATGAATTAACAATTATAAAAAATAAAATCCGCCCACCCGCCCCAATTTTTTTGCAAATTAGGATGAGAATCTAAAGATTAATTTTACCTGGCCTTAATTTTCCCAAAAGTAATTTCTCCCCAAAATTAAAGAAAAAATAGCTGGGTATGTAGTAATAAAATTTGTTTTTCACATTCCTCTGTAATGCAAAGCAATAATTTAGTTGATAATAAAAAGATCAAAAACCCAGTATATCATGTTTATAGAGAATAATCATTATTCCCAAATTTCCCAAAATGTCGCTATTTTTCCCAATTTCAACAGACCCGGACCCATTTCCAAAAAGTGGTGTGAGAGCCCTGCAATGTAGTCTAAGGCATGGAATTTATGTTTGTTGTTTTTTGTATTTTGTAGTGGTGATGGCGTTATTCTTGAGGGTGTCATTAAAGGGAGGAGTCGTTTTAGTGTTACAGATAATTCCCATACAAAGGTAGGGAGGAGTCGTTTTAGTGTTACAGATAATTCCCATACAAAGGTAAGGAGGAGTAGTTTTAGTGTTACAGATAATTCCCATACAAAGTTAGGGAGGAGTTGTTTTAGTGTTACAGATAATTCCCATACAAAGTTAGGGAGGAGTGTTTTAGTGTTACAGATAATTCTCATAAAAAGGTAAGGAGGAGTCATTTAAGTGTTACAGATAATTCCCATACAAAGGTAGGGAGGAGTTTTAGTGTTACAGATAATTCCCATACAAAGTTAGGGAAGAGTCATTTTAGTGATACAAATAATTCCCATACAAAGATAAGGAGGAGTTTTTTTAGTGATACAGATAATTCCCATACAACGATAAGGAGGAGTCATTTTGGTGTTACAGATAATTCCCACACATTATTAAAAAGGTAGGGAGGAGTCATTTTGGTGTTACAGATAATTCCCATACAAAGGAAGGGAGGAGTCCGTTTTAGTGTTACAGATAATTACCATACAAAGATTAGGAGGAGTAGTTTTAGTGTTACAGATAATTCCCATACAAAGTTAGGGAGGAGTATATCGTTTTAGTGTTACAGATAATTCCCATACAAAGTTAGGGAGGAGTGTTTTAGTGTTACAGATAATTCCCATACAAAGTTAGGGAGGAGTAGTTTGTGTTACAGATAATTCTCATAAAAAGGTAAGGAGGAGTCATTTAAGTGTTACAGATAATTCCCATACAAAGGTAGGGAGGAGTTTTAGTGTTACAGATAATTCCCATTCAAAAGTAAGGAGGAGTTGTTCTAGTGTTATAGATAATTCCCATAAAAAGGTAAATCTGTCGACGTCTTTAATCAATTGTTTGCTTGAATCAAAATTTGAGTATTCTTCATGCAGTTTGTTTGAATGTATTACCGGGGGTATTAATTTTTGCAGATATGATTAAGGTATAGTTCTTTAATCTTTTTTCTGTTTAGTTTCTAAGTAGATGCAATTCTTCTTTTGTAGTTCCGCTACTACATTCTTCATATTGAGGTACTGAGAGCGCACAAAAGACAGTTTGAGAGTAATGGTCATGAAGTTGAGCCAAATTTTAGTGAGACTCACAAAGTGAGAACTGGCTACCTTAATTCATCGTACAGTGAGTGTTTTATTAAGGATCATCAATGTACTGTCAATTTTAATCAAATAAGTAGAATAGAGAAGTCATTTTTCCTTTGTTCTTTTAAAAGGTTTTGAATGTTTTATTTGGTTGTCATAAATTCGGTAGATAAAGATTTTGTAGGAGGAAGGAGAAAAAAAATTCAGAATACATTTGTTGTTATGGAATCTTATATAATGTAATATGTAATTGTTATGTAATATTTGAATTTGCTAATAAAAATGTAAATGTAAATCGAAATAAACATGCTTTTTTAATATATGTAGTTATAAGAAAATAAATGTAGTCTAAAATCTAAAATGTGATGAACTTGATCATAATTGGAACCCTTAAGTATTTATCCTTTTGCAGAGGTTGAACCAAAAGGTCAATCAGATAAACTTAGCACTGCTCAGGTCAAGGACATTGTGTGTCACCATGTCCTTCTTGACATGACATCTCCAAGACTACCTGGAGGCTGTTCAGACTGTCTGTCATTATGGTTAGAAGAGAATGAGACAGAGAAAATAGAACTAGAGGAGGGGGACACGGTCCGAGTCAAAACATCAGGAAATGGACCATTTATTTGTAAGTTACATCATAAATAGTGCCCAGAAAGAAAAAAAGAGCTGCCTTTTTGCAGACAAGGAAGGGTGTTCCACCATATAATATTTTTTCAGACTGATTTCCTGAAAAGTTGATATATATGTTCCTTGATATAATAAACTTTTTTGTATAGACAGCATTACAAGGATGGAAGCTGAAGCCAGGACAAAGAGGAACTTTGCAGGAGGGGAGAATGTGGGTAGCTCCTGGACAGACAAAATTATGGGGATGAAATCATCACAGCCCACCGATACCAGCCAGGCAGAGGGAGTAGATGAGGATGAATGGGTAGGGACTCTTTTCTTTGACTTGTTTGGCACGTGCCTTCAATTTTATTTTTAATGAAACTTTTTAAGAATATTTCCCAATTATTTTAAACTGTATATTGTCAAAATAACACTTTTACTGTTTGGTCATTTCTAAGTACAGCTTATTTTAAATCACTTTTTCTTTGTGAAAGCTTTATTTTGCTTTGTTACATGAGATGGCCTGCTTGTGAAAATTTCACTCATACATATACCTGTATTACTTTAGATTTACATCTCAATATGGAGAACTTGCGAAAATGTTGTCTTGTTCATAAATACCAAATACATGTACCTATATCACAATAATAAGGTGTCACAAAAATTAATTTACAGTATATTAATCACCTTTAAATCAACATAATGTATTCAATTTGCTTGTAGGATGATTAAACAATTGTGACAAAATCAAAAGGTCTTCCCTAAAGATTCCATTAATCTTACGGAGCCAAAGAAACAAAGCAACAGCCACTGCCATGAAGGAGTTCAATATACACAGAACAAATGTATATACTGAACAATGGGAATGTTCATTGTTATTTTTTTTTATTATGCCCAAGCTAGAAATTCAGGGGTAAATTGTCTTTGTACATGTATTGTCAGAAAATCTTTTGCTCTGTAGTTCTGCTATTAAACAGAGAAGTAAGGTATATCATTACTCAGATTCTGAGCTATCCTTTGTTCTATTGAAACACATTCTTTAAAAATTGTGTCCTTCAACAACATGTACATGTAATGTCAATTATATCTTTTGTACCATTGGTACTTTAGAGTTGAAAACTTGTATGTTTAGTTGGTTTTGTTTGTACATGTATATGACATTTTGTAATGTACAATCAATTTGAATCAAAGCTTGCTTACGACTCAAAAAAAGTTTTGATGTAAACCTAAGGTCATTTTAGCAAGTTCAATGTCAGAGACAATTTTTAAAAAAAAAATGTTATCCAGTTTATTACTTTCTGATGAAAATATTGAAAATTCATACCTGACCTAAAAATTACTTAAAACCTGAGAGTGTGTCATGACTTTAACCCAATTTTATTTGGTCCAAGTTCAAGATCACTTTTAAATATTTGATTTCTGTTTTGTAATGGAGAAACATTAAAAGCTCATTCTTGACAGTCCACAGTTTCTCTTTATCTTGATACAATGTCATTTGGACAGGTTCAAGATCACTGGAAGAAAAATTTTATAACATATCCTTTCTTTAACTCATTGTTCAAAATTGTACATTCTGAATTTTTTGTTATTAAAAATAGCCATTTTGGGGCATATATTTATCAAACACATCTTGTTTATATTGTATAATTCTTGACAAGTAAAATTGACTTAAGCAAAATCATGTTGTTGTTTTTGAAAATTTATTCCACATTTTTTAATTTTACAAGTACCCCAGTACTTAATTCACAAGATCATTGATTATCCCTTTCATTACACTAGCAATCCTGAATATATAGGGAATTTGATACATATATGTACATTGTCAAAGTCAACTCTACAACAAAACACATGCCCTACCAGCAACCCATTAAATCCATTCAAAAGAAGGGAAAGAGATATAACAAATGTTACAGTCCAGAAACTGGCCTTAAGGTTTAGTTATGATGCCAGTTACTAACCCGTTAGCTGTTTCATTTTTTGGAAAGAGCACATCCATCTCGGAAATGATGGCGAGACTAGATTCACACAAAGTGTTAACATCAAACTTTTGATATCACAATTGTAACAAATTCTTGTTCAAATATTAAGCAGCTATACTTTACATATATTAACTCCCTCCTCACTTCTAGAATTTAGTGATAAGCAAGCTGACTCTCATGTAATAAGTTTTTAGTGATGAGAATAAGAGTACTGAAAATTTCAACAAAGCTCTCATAAAGACATTCATTATAAAAAACAATCATATGTATCTACAAAAGGTAGATGTTTGTTTAACAAAGAACTGGGATGATTTAACACCACATAATTTGTTTACATGGTTAGTAACAGTCTACAACATTTCCAATTCCAAATTTATCAACTCAAGTCATTAGAGTCCAGGGAATTTTACAGGCAGAAATACAGTGTTCAATAGTCATGTGCCTGACCTTATAATCTACTGAATACAGCTTATTTGTACGGTATTAAATGTGTCATGGAAGCTTTGACAAGTCCAGCTAATATCTGATACATAGTATAATTTAATACATAAAATGCCCCTAAAACTAATTTTTCACTAATCATTAAACAGAAGGTCCTCATCTCTCTCCTCCGCTATCAGACTAGTCGGCTCCTCCAGCTTATTCTGAGCTTTCAGAAGAGCCGCTTTAGCTTCAGCCTCGGCTCGAATCTTCTTCTTTTTCTCCTGAATTTTCTTCAACCTGAAGTGAAAATCAAAAACATGTAAATTTATCTCAACAAAGTAATGTGTTACATTAGTTCGGATGAATGAAAGAGAAGAATGAAAAATGTAGGTGAACAAAGATTTCAAAGTTTACCTCAGTACGTTATCTTTTGATACTCAGCTATGTTATGGAAGGTCAGAGTTCACATTCCTTGTACACCGTATTGGAAGTTTAATTGTGACTTCATTGAAATTTAACAAGCCACAAAAATTAATTAACGACATGATCATGCGTAAATAACAACTTGAATTTATTTATTTTATCGATTATTTATAAAATCTTGTAAAATCGCAATACTTGATAGCAATACAGTCGAGTAATAGAAGAAAGTTTTTCATCAAATATGACTTCATCAGTCTTGACTTGACGCAGCACAGGTGATTCAGAGGACTTGATTCACTGGTTTAATAATTACGAGAATGCTTAAATAAATATGATACCATTGCTAATTTTTAAACCTTATCATTAAAACTAAAAGAAAATGATTTATTAAATACAATGTGTATGGAATGTGAATTTATCTAGTAGCAATGGAGCTGCACAGGGACAAGGATTGTGGAGAATATCGCTAAAACGATGAGCGTATTCGTGATTTACATGTACATCAAAATGCGAGGGCAGACTATTTTGTTTGAGCTGAAATTTGGAATATTTATTGCTTATATAGTGTATATTTTGAAAAGTGCTGGGAGCTGATCCTAGTCTGCATAACATTATTTTTATTTCTAACAGAATTTAAGCAAAGTAGAAATTTTTAGCTATTATAAGCATTTTCGGCAAAATTTTCAGTACTTTGCAAACAGCAAAGACTAGCTCCCAGCACTTTTTGGGTAGAAGAAATAAACATCTTTTAATGTGTATCGATTTTTTTTCTTGATACACAAACATATGCCCTTGTGCTATCCCCTTTTCCTATATTCAGCTTAACAATTCTATTTTTATACAAGTCACGTGACAAACAGCTGATACGTGCAATATCACTGGTAATAACTCCGGCCCAGTCCTATCCATTATTGATAGCTATATTACATTTTCTACAAGTATTCAGTTGCTTTATTATAATTTTTTAAAAGAAGTAATACATATTAAACGGTGCAAATTTCACATTTTCCATATCAGTCCTTAACATAGCTGAGTAGGCAAAAATCTCAAGCTAACAAATATTCCGCTAGTTTTCATCCCTTGATGCAACACTGACACAAATATGGTGTGGTTAGGATTTTAAATCATTTAGAAATGGACTTGCCACAAAAACTTTCTCTGCTCAATAACATGAATTCAGCATGCAAGCCAATTCATCATTGCATGATTGGTCAGCATAAAGCTTAAACATTGTACATGTAGTAACCTTAAATTAACTGAATGTTGCATCTCATCCTTAAATATTTAGGTTAGTTTCAGAACTGGAAGCAAGCTTTCAAAAATTTGAAATTTAACCTGTTCATTCATGTGTAAGATGAAATTCAAATCCCCAATGTTATTTATGCATCTCTAATCAATATTTGGCAGTGAAGTTCTTGAAAGAAAATCTGCTCCAAAAAAATTTCCCTGGGACAGAAGTATTACATAAGCTCCCCCAACTTCACTGAGGTTAGCTAAAAGTTTTACAGTTTAAATAGATGTGATACATTTACATTTTAGAGTTCAAAGTTTTTTCTTCAGTGATGTGTTTCCTTTAAATAAAACAATATTTAAGATGTTAGCTTTCTAAGGGAGACAATTAACATACCTGTAAAATTCCTCTCTTTCCCTTTCATCAAGCTCTGAAGTGATATATGCTAGTGTTCTCTCTATGCGGGGAATGATTACTAAAACACAATTACAATACTCATATTTTAGATTACACACCATGAGTAACATAATGGTTTCTAAGAATTAGATACTGATGCTATTGAAAATTTGCTACTTCAAAATGTCTTATTATTAATTTTATACAAAACAAGTTCTTGTACCGAAGTATTTTTTTGTTTGTAATCTTACCATGTTCTATAGCATTGACTCTTCTGTTTGTAATTTTTATGACTTCATCTAATGTAACAAAAGATGTCTGCAATGAAGCGAGTTCCACCAGTAACTGAATGGCACGTGCATAGTTCTTCTTCAGTCTGTCTATCTGTTGTCCACCTCGGGAGAGACCAGTTAATTCATAACCTGTCAAAATCAGTAGGTTAGTGCTTGAATGTTATCAAAAAAAAAAAAAAAATTCCCAAGATAATATTAAGTCAATAGTTTCATTACTGTATCTTTGATTTCAAATATCTATTTATTATCTATGTATATTAAACTAGGGTTTCCAACCTTATACAGCGCAGAACATTGTTATTTTTCCACAAGAAATACACGAACAGTGTACTACATTTAATGGTACCATGGTAAGACTTACTGTCAGATCCATCCTGGTAACTTTCAAACACAGGTAACATCACACCTGAAAAGGAGCGAACCTTTCAAAATTATCCTAAATCTGAATCCTCACAAAATTTACTGGTACAAGTTCCAGAAACTACAACCTCAAATACAGATGAACTTGTCACTAGATATTGTTTTGAGTGTCCTACCTGCTACATTGTCCTTCTTGGAGCGGACCTTCATCTGAGCTTTGTTGACATTCTGTAGAACCATGTGGTTGATGTCTCCCGAAGTGAACTTTGCCTCAGCCAGAGAAAAGGCTGCCTCCTTCATCACATCTCCCATCAACACTTTTGTCTACAAGATGCAAAAAATAAATAGTATCAAAACATTATAAATACATTATAAATGGTTACATAAATGTTTACTACTATATAATAATAAGGTATATCTAATCCAAAAACTGGTACTGAAAAACAAATAAAAAGAAAGAAAGAGAAAGAATGTACTCTTCAAGAAGAAAAATGATAATAACTTAATGATGAAACCTCATGAAATTGATAACTAATCATGGTCTTGTATGTTGATGGCCACAAAAAGTCAGTTAGTCATTTTATCTACACATTCATCTATTTCAGAGAAAAGGAAAGACCCATGTATAGTAATAACTGCACCTTTAAATAATGTATCTGTTACTTTCAATCAAGTTTTTAAATCAACTACATAGTAAATGAATCTTATGTTTACCTCTATGATCTTTTTAAGGATAGCTCTAAATCTCATGGTAAGAGCATCAGCTTTTTTCTTCAACAAACTATGTCCTTTCTGAGCCCCCTTTAGCCTCCCCTTCATAATGGCCATGGCCCTGTGAACAACATCACATATATAATGCATTTATTGTCATAGCATCTCCATGTTCATCACTGAGTACATCGTCGTAAACCACGGCCAAAATGTACGATCCTCTCCCATTCTGGCCGTGGTTGAACGAAGAGAGAATTCTTCGTAGCTCATTAAAATATTGACCAAGCCTAGTGGGATGATGAACTTTATCGTGACCTTTCAATATCCAATCGCACTATAGGAAATATTTCTTTTATACTATTGACGTCATCTGCAGATTTCAATTGCGATGGAAACAAAACTTGTCATTGACTGAATATGACGTCACAGTAGAGAGGCGTAAATATTCAAGATTAAGACACTTTTTGTGATCAAGCAGCCACGGGTAGGAGAGAGTTATATGCGGACTCCGGACTGTGGCTTGAGACGATGCATTGAGTATAGTTACACAAGACTCACTCTGAAGTTGACTAATACAAATCTTTATTACTTAATCAAGTCTTATCTAGCTATTCTAGGGCGTTGGACTGGTTTTAATATACGCCACTTTTGACTTTAAATATTCTTGAATAAAACCAGGGGCCTACATACTAAGTAAATACTAAAATAGGTCCCTGACATTAAGTAATGTAGAATTTAAAACATCACAGACACAAGGTTTATTTGTGGCATTTTGAAAGCGTTATGATCTCTTTTACACTGTTCCAAACATTGTTATTTGTTAAAGTTTACTTTAAATTACAAATGAAAAAATATATTTACATTCGTGAAGGGAAGATGTTGATTCTATCTCCAGATCCCGACATTTTTTCTGCTCCAAGATTTTGGTCACATGTCAATATCACGTGATTTTAAAGGAAGTAAAACTAAAACTGGAAAGAATTGGTAAAGAAAAGTTAAATCCGCAATGTGCATATGAAAAAACCATCTCAGAGAGAAAATATCAGATAAAAAAAATCGGAGAGGGCTACCTTATTGCAGCTAACAGCTTGACTTCACTAAGATACAGAGTAACTGTGTTGCCATGTTTACTAAAAATAGATTTTTCTTTGAAATTTCTTTATTCAAAAACGCTACTCCTTCTACAGTTTTAGTCTGATTTCAATTTAACTTGGCACACAAGTAGACTACACTAAGATACATAATTTAGTGCATCAGTTTTTGATTCCGATGAACGATGTTACTATGGTTACTAAAAATAGAATTTTCTGTGAAATTTCTTTAAAACGCTACTCCTCCTACTGTTTTGGTCTGATATCAATATAACAGTCTACACAAGTAGACTGCAAGTTAAGATACATAATTTAGTGCATCGTTTTTTTTTATTTCGTTGAATGGTGTTGCCATGGCTACTAAGAATAGAAGTTTAGAAATTTCTTTAAAAGGCTTACTCTTCCTCAGCTGTTCCTACAATTTTGTTCTGATTTCAATCTAACTTGACATACAAGTAGACATTAAGCGACATTAAGCGACATAGTTAAGAAATAGTGTATCGGTTTTTGATTTCGATGAACAATGTTACCATGGTTACTAAAATAGAAATTTCTTAGAAATAGGCTTCAAATGGCTACTACTCCAACAGTTTTGGATTGATATCAATATAAATTGGCGCATGAGAAGAGTATAGTTTTTAAAAGGTACATACTTCTATTTATTGCTACCTGTTGCAAAGTTTCAAAACAGAACGCTACTTTTCTTTTGTAATATTTTCAGACCAGTAGAGCTATAGTCTCATCAGAGACTTCTGGTTAAGGGTGCATTATACACATATATTACATGAAGCTTTCTTTCTTCTTAGGAGGGCGTTTAAATATTCTAGCTAAATATATAGGAAGGGGGATTCCAAGTATACCCCCGGCTTCTGTGCCTTGGAGAGAAGAGAGAGGTTGGGACCCCCCCCCCCCCCAAAAAAAATAGTTCAAAAGTGCTAATTATTAATAAGGCCTGGAAAAATAAATAAAAAATGAATAAAGATACAAATTAACAAAAATAGGGAAATTAAACAAATGGAATTAAAAATATAAATAATTCAAAAAAATAAAATAAGCTAATTCAGAGAATCTTGTGAGGAAACGAAAGTGTTAAAACAAATAGAATTTGTGAATTTGTGACCTTGAACTTTGACCTTTTGACCTCAAAATTATACATAACAACACCCAAAAAGACTCCTACTAATGTGAGGTCCAAAAGGTCAAAGGTCAAGTTTTTGAATTCACAAATTCTGTGTGTTTTAATATTTTCGTTTCTTCGAAAAATCTCTAAAAGTCTGTAAACTTTTGCAATAAAATGTTATACCACAACTCCCTATGGCTTGAGAAAGACCCCTATTTATTTTGAGGTCAAAGCTCAAGGTCGTAAATTCATATATTCTGCAGTCTGTGTGTTAAACTTTCATTTCCGGGCGATAAATCAAGAAGCTTTTGCAAAAAAGTTTCATACCATAACTCCCGATGGCCCCGTCCGAACTTCTTACCCCCCCCCCCCCCCGACCCCATCTCCAGATCCAGGCATATTCTTCTTTGATCCTTAAGCGGTTGACACAGATTCTCTGCTAAACATATGACTGTATAGAGTCCAATGATACCGATAAAATAATTTTCACAAAATTGTTACCATTTATCACTAGATCTTGACCTTGGTCCGAAATCGAATTTGCAATACAAAATTCCTGGTTTGACAGCAAGTAGCCTAGAGAGTCTTGGAGGACAAACATCTTGTTTGTAAATAGTCGTAAAACATTCCGACAACCGTTTTATTGTCTCCCGCTTTCGCGAAAACGAGGGGACATGACTTTTATGAATGAGAAGACATAGGGCTAGGCGGACTTTCATATTAAACCTGTGTATTGCTCGTGACAAGACCTTTCTAAATACACTATAATTTCTTATCTTATGACCTTGTCCTTGAAGTTTGACCTAATTTTCAAAAATTGTCGATTTTTCCATTTAACTTTTGATTGAGAAGAGATAGGGCTTTCATATTTGATATGTGTATTTCCTGTGACAAGATGTTTCCGAGCATGCTACGATTTCTGACCCCCCTTAACCTTGACCTTCGCGGACTATGCTCCCCAAAGAGTAAACAGGAATAAGTCAAGTAAGTCAAAGTGACCTTGACCTTCACGATTGACATATTTTTTTAAATTCAATTTTGTGATAACTTCTAAATGACACATGAAAGGGCGTTCATATTTGAAACAATATGCCATAAAAAAACTTTTCACCGAAAGTGGGAGACCACAATTCTTTGAATTTGCTTGTTGTCCTTGGCATTGACACATTGGCTTTCAAAATCTCGACCAACTGACTTTTAAAATCAACATACATATACTTCTTTCTATATAGCTTCTTCTACAAATTATGCGGTTGACAAAGGAATCGTATATGTTTTTTAATTATATCTAACGCCATTATTTACATTTTTACTACCCCTTACTTTGGCCTTTAAACCCTATATGCATAATTATATACGAAACCCTGTACATGTACATGTATATTTCACGCATTCTCAATTTATAGTACCAATTCGATCTTGGGAAAAGTCAAAAAATTTAGTGAACTGAAATTAACACTTTTATACGTCATTTGAAACATGAAAGTGTATAGTTATTAAAAATCGCAATTTGATTTACATACTTCATGCTTTGTTTTGTTGGCCTCCTTCGAAATAAAAGCGGTTGGAGGGCAAATTTTTAACCAAGATATTTACGTGATGTTGAAAAGCCATATTTGGAAACGAAAGATTTTTTTTTTAATACAAAATCAATATAATACACATCAAATTTTGTTAACTATAAACATTTATGAAACCGTTTAAGCACATTTGTAAAAGGGGTGTAGAATCTTTGATTCAATTATTAATAAAAATAAAACGGATGTAATTTTGATTTAAATGAAATTACTTTCTTTTTATTTTAGCAAGTTTTATCACATCCGATGATAAGCTTAATAATGACAATATTCCCTAAAATGCTACATTAATTGATTCTTTATTAATCTGCTCAGAGAAACGCACATTATTTAGAATATAAAAAGGTTAATATTTCGCCATTACCTGATTACGAAGTGTTTGTTAAATATCACGTAAATATCGCACATAGATATCATACAAAAATAAAAGTATATTCGGGGAAAAAATGATTATATTATTTCAAATTATTGAATTTTATGAATTTTCTTACCTATATATACGCTCTTTACAAAGGGTTGAATTGAAAATTCAAGTTATGATTTATCTATAGAGGACTCATGTAATTCATAACCCCCCGCCTTCCACCATTTAATCTGTTGATTATTTCAAAGGCAGCCACGTAGCATCGTTTTTTAAAGTATGTGTGTGTGTGGGGGGGGGGGGGGGGCAGCCAGAGAATTTTTTTACTTACCTGAAATGTTGACAAGGCAAAAAAAAGGGGGGTGAGAAAACTTGCACAAATCGAAAATCCTGGAGGGGGAGGGGAGGCGAACTTTTTTCAATGCCAACTACTTTCAGTACCAATTATTACACTACATTTTCCGTACATCACTATTAGTGGGGGTAGGGGGCAATAAGCCTTTCACTGAACATTTACTATAGTTGAAGTAAGGTTGGAGAAAAAAGTTGGGGGGGGGCTGCTCCCCCCCCCTCTGTTGCTACATGTCTGAAATGTTTAATTGTTTGTGAAAACTTTATCGTCAAATCTCACAAATAAAACAAAGATCGCCCACCACCCTTAAAAGGTTTGTCAATAATTAAGTTGCATATCACATGTGCTCTATAGAGCAATATATTCTATGTTCATATAACGTAAATTGAATTTTCAGTACCATTAAAGCATAGATGCATACGTTATATGTCTAAGCAATTCCAATGGGAAAATTAGGTGCACAATTTTATACATGTTAATATTTGTATTTCTTGCAAAACAACAAAAATGGAAATGGATTCAATTTCAACCAGTTTCTTGACACCCAACACCCTCTTTTTTCACCCGATGTAGAACCCCCCCCCCCCCCCCCCCCACTACATGCAACGCAGCGTCTATTTTCTGAAATTATATTTCCTACAAAAATGATTTTTTTTCCTTCAAAATGTTAAGCTTGGTATACAATTCAGGTGTATATAACCATTTTTTTAAGTTGACGATACACTATCATTTCAAACAAACAGCAAAATACAGACTTGAAGAAAGTTTTGTTTCAGATTTACGTTCCGAATGATAACGTGCATTACACTTGAAACTATATATATGCAATATTAACCAATTGCTCAAAATGGAAAGATTCAATCATTAAACCACAATTCTACTTGTGAATAATATTATGTCAGTTCAATTTTTAAATCACACGGATGCACAAGATATTGCGTGAAAAATGTTCACCTTTGCATGTGCACTTCAATTTGCATTTCTGCACTCTTGTTACAGAAAAAAATGACATTTTAAGAAACAGTGTATATTTCTTCATGTTCTTAGTATTTACATCTTAAAGATTCACTCGCAAATCTGTTCAAACAGCTTTGGAAATTAATACTTATTTACTTTAAAACATGGTAACGTAAATATGGGTAACGTAAATATCGGTAACGTAAATATCTTTCTGAGATTTATCGTAACTTTTAATGCCATTGTTCAATTATTCCACTGTTAATTAAAGGCATATTCTAGTGCTTGAGTGTAAGGCAATTTGACCCATAGGGAACAGTGTAGTTCTCTTACTTAATTTGTGAATAAATACTAACACGTAAATATCGTTGAATTTTTTAACCATTGGACTTATAAGAAAAGGGGGGCTATTGTTCATAGATACAGATAAAGAGTGTCCTTTTTACCATTCCATGCAGTAGAAGAGGTGTTCATGATGTTAAAAAGTTACAACTTAGTCCTATTGAGTCAGTTTATCAATCCTTCCAATCCTTTTGAATTTCCAAATAGAAAAGTAACAAGTATTAGCTTTCCTAAAAAGCTCGTCTGACGTGGTTTGTTTAAATTCATAAAGAGGAAAGAAATAAAAAATATGTTATATAATTTCTTTCGTTCGATAATATATCTTTCAAAGACCAAAAACAATATTGTTTACAAAGAACATTAAATTTGAGCTAATAGCGCCAGGAAGACTAAAGTCAAATTTTTAAATTTTATTAATTATGGAATTTATTTCTTTTAATTTGCACAAAACAACACCTCTGTGAAACAAAATTAAAAATATTTCAATTTTGGTCTGCTTGAGGTCTTATTTCTTCCACCTCAATTTATTATAAAATAAAGATTTTGACTTTTAGCTTAAGATGTTTCAAGATTCCGGGGACTGCATTTTTCAAATAATGTTTTATGTTAAATGACCTAACTGATTTTTTATTCAACAAACAGAATAAAATGAAGATTAATGAAATCAATGGGAAGATCATTTAATGGGCGCGTATAAACAGCGATAACAATCTTGGCAGAGCGTCCAGGGGTTACACATGCATGCTGACCATTCCCCTGCTGTTCTTAAGAGCTTTCATTGCTTCTCAAACCATCTGATGTACAATGATTCTCTACTTAACACCGTTACGTATTTGATGGATGACATTTTCAAGGAATCAAGAAGATGCAAACTAATTTACAATGTAATCGTCCGAATATAATCGTTGGATAGGAGTAAATTATAATACTTCAGCCAACATGCAAATCTATTTTAGACAATAAAGAATTAAACTTGAATAAGACATTTTTTTCTGTTTTCACTGCATTTTTCTCAGGCACTGCATTAACAGTTTTTACAATATGAGAGCAGGGCAGCTAAGAGAAAATATTTGACTACGTGCCTGATGTTTATTGGTAAATCAATGTCAAAGATATAATTTTACGGAAAATAAGCAATCAAATAATTAACCATAACATGTAAAATGACTTATTCTTTGATAAACAACACAAAGTCCAAATATCTAGCCCAGCAGAATCTCAACAGAGATTAGGATTATCCATAAAGACAAAATCACCCAGTAATGTAAATAAAAGATTAAAAGATCATTTCCTCTTGGGACGAACTACAAGCGTCTTTGGAGATTATGCATGTATCGAAATTTCCACCATCGAACTATCTAAACAATTTCATGGAACGACTGCATAAATAAGCCCTGGTTAAATCTAGTACTGTCTGACGCCGTGACGTCAGACAATAATTCTGCGATGACATCAAAATTTGATAAATATATTAAAACTTTTAAAAAATTGTGACACGCATATATGTGTGAAGGGTGTAATATTCAGAAAATATAACTCAAATGTAGGACAATCTTACTAAGAAAAAGATATGTAAATGATTTAAAACATCTTTTTGGTTTAAAATAAAAACTACACGATGATCGGCGACAGTAACGTAAATATCGATTTCTGCTATAAAATGTGATTTTCTCTTAAGACAATCATTCAAACTACAACAAACAATTGTTGCATTTTAATCAACAGCCAACAATGGTTCATATGAGTGGCAGAAAATAAAATTTATTTGAAATATTATATCATACTTATTTAAAACGCGGTACAATATTTAAAGCGAATTGAGACTATAAATTGAGAATGCGTGATTTACATGTGTAGCCAGGTAAAATTGTGGATACATAAATAACGACTTTTTTGGTGCTATTGGAATCTGAAGGTTAAGACAAAAATCCAGCTATATTCAAATGCAATAAATGCAACACACCTTAGATCATTTTATGCATTGGGATTACAAATAAACTGAATGGGCATAAATATATGACCTTAAAGCTTCATAAACGTGTACTAAAGCTCCCTTCAAAAGATGAGGCGAACTATGAGAGCATGAAAACTAGGTTTTCTGTGTGTGTTAATGGCCTCATTAATACCTGTTATTATCCTGTCAGAGTCTACAAATGACCCTTGACTTACTAACGAGAGCCTGATGGCTAATGAGAACAATCGCGCTGATTTATGTACAGTTTATTTTGTTAAAGGCAAGCATCACCTCTGTACTGTTATCTCCTTTTGAAATTTCACGCATCACCTTAGAAGTCGACTTGTGTTATAAAATGGCTATATATTTTCTTAATAAATTGTTTTGTAGTGTTTTGAATATAAATATAGCAAGAATAGGATTTGTTGTATTTAAAATAGTTGAAGGAACATAAACACTAATACACCATTTACAATGGTCTGGTCCTTTACAGGAATGCTGACCATTCGATGGCGGACTCTGGCGCTCTGACAACTTGCCGCGGAACACCCAGGGTCCACAGTAATTATCCTTACACTGCCTCCAGAGATGAGGCACGCCTCTATACACACGTGTAGCAAGTCAGATGTGAACGTGTCAATATCAGCACAGAACTTTACATGTAAGTTTATGTCAAAATTAACATAATTATATACACTGAAATAAGAGAGACAGCTGTTGGGGATTTCATGGATTGCTTCCCTCTGGTGAAAGGACGAACTGTTTGATTCAGAATCCGAGTTCTTATCGCCGAAAATAATGACCACTGCATGCATACCTATTGCTTATTGATTGCCATGCAAGTCGTACATTGGTTGGAAAATGTTGCAAGGATCTACACTTCTATGACTTCTGCTAACCGCTCCGATAACTATTGAGAAAGACAGTTAGTGTAATTTATTGGTTTGATGTATCTGTAAAACTTCTGAATCTGGTCGCGAACACAGGAACGCCAATAGAAAATATTTTTTTTTCACTGGAGATGTACAGCATGCATATCACTTTCATTGGAAGATGGGGTGTCTGAAGCTCGTATGAAAATGCCGTAAGTCAACCAGGTCTCTGGAATATGAAACACTGCCATCCTTGAAGTTACCAAGGAGATAATGAAAGGAATATAATTAATTTTTTCTATCGCGAAATTTGTAACGGGCTTAGAGAGAAGAATGCGTATGGTATCTTGCTGATTGTGCCAGTATAATCCTCACTCTGGGAGAAATTTGCGCAATGGGATTCTCTCGGTTTTGTGCTTGTTAGAGCGATCATAAATGTTGATTCTGAAATTTAGATTTTTTTGGTCATAAACCTACATCGTTGTTGAATACGTTTTCAATGGATATATGTCCGTACGATAACGTGGAATTTCCGGTCCAGCGGCAGGGTGGAATCGATACTTGGGAGGGAGTGTCCGGTTACTCCGGCCTACAAACCAAGTCTTACAACCAGACAGTTGTGAGGGACAAAGTGACCTCCTCTCTCGCCCCTGTGTTCGAGAATGATGATGGATCCACCGAAGATAATTCGGAAATTCCTAAAGTTGAGGACCAAAGACAACAGATAACTGTTACCCCTGCTTCAGCGCCCGTCAACAAAAAGGTGAGTTGACACCTGCAATTTTTCAAATGGGATTTGGAATTATTTGAAACATATTGACCAATACATTGTTGAAACCTCTATTTAAATACGAATATATCAATTCAATAGTGGTCGTAATATATATTTTAATAATGGATGCAAGAAAACCATTTCCAGTCATTAATAATGTGAAATGTAAATGACAATCAATTGGTTTATTTCGCTCAAACCATATAGCATGGTACAGGAGGTCTATGTGTACGATACTATAGCTAGGAGAAATACACAAAGGAAAGAGTGAGCTAGGGTGCAATTTTATTCTTAAAATATTTTCTTATTTTCTTTTGTGTTTTCTTATCTTTGTTTAATGTTTTTTGCTCAATACCGAATATGGATTCTAACCCTGACTATGATGAACCCTATCGTCTCTGATAAAAAGTCCACACCATATTTTAAATTTTTTTAATAAATATTCCCAACAAAGCACAAACATTTATAAATAATACCTACTCTCTGAAGTATACACATGCTTTTTTCTTCTTATAAAATACATTGCATGCTAACTTTAAAGTATTTAATCGACATGTAAGGGCGAAAACTAATTGAAAAAATAATTTGTAAGAATATATCAAATCACATTCCCCAGTTCCCCGTCAAGTAATATTATAAAAGATTCATTTTATTTATTTTTTTTTGTATCACTTGTTTACTCTATATTTTTTTTGTATATGTAAGTATTTATATAAAACTGCAGACTTGTGAACGTTGTGATGTAATAAAACCCCCATGAATCAAGTAGCATCTAATTCCAAGCAAAATATGTTATCAGGATTACATCAAAATAGGTTTACTGAAAAAAAAATCAGGAATGAAAGCATAAAGCGTATAGAGAGAAAAACTGGCGTTCAAAAGATTTTTAATATCGGTATTTAGATGAATGGTGACGAATTGACATGAAATAGAATATTTAATAGTAATTTAAGAACTGTAAAATGCTTATGTCCCAGTCAAATGTTTACATATGTAACATGAGAGAGAGAGAGAGAGTGAGAGAGAACCACAGTGCCCTCTGCTCCGTCGAGGTCATCAATAAGACGTTTGAGGTTCATCTGATCTGACCCTTGAAAATAAATAAGCGTAAATGAGCTCAAGGGAGATTAGGCTATTTTTATATTAATAGATTTTGCTGTTAATTGGTTCAGGTTATTGTAATACACATGTAATTGTCCTGCACACAGCATCTGATCATGTTCATCTCTTTTCCCTAATAACAGACGGCGGGTTGGCACTGCGCCAGCAATGTCTTGGAGATCATTATGAACTTTCAGAAGAGAAAGCAAATGTTTTCACAGACAATAGGATCAAGATATAACAGAGATAGAACATGCAGCCAAAACAATAATGCGTGGGAAGGGCTGTTTTCAGTGCTAAATGCTGTTCACTTGGCACCCAAAGACATCGAATTGATGAAACAATAAAGCACCTGTCAAAAAATCGGAAGCACTGGGGCAGTTGTCTCTCTGAATCCCCCGAAAGGCTAGGGAAGCCGGATCTTAGATTCATAGACAATATATACTATAGTGGAGTGTTGGAATTGTTGGTTGGGTGGTAAAATGCCGTATTGTTTAATTTTATATAATTATACCATGGTACTATATAGTACCAGATACGAACAACCATGAACAACCGTACATGTACTCCCACCGTACTGTACTCTCGTTAAACCGAGTCTAATATTTCATCAGAACATTCTAGTACACACTATGATCTATAAATTTTTGTCATGTTAATACTATATAGTTTACTATCCCAATCGATTTTAATTCATAATAGTTTTTTAATTTTAAAAATGATGAGAAATTAATGGAAATGTCTTGAGAGATGTGTTTGAAATGATGAAAAAGAAAAGAGAAACTGTATATGACAGTAAGTTTGGCAAAGAAACAAAGAGAAGTGTCAAAAAAGTTCAGAAATGTCAGTCTTTCCCCCCTCTTTTATCACTTATGGATGCTGCTAACATGAATTAAGGTGGGTCTATGACTAGTCGACTTTTCATCGGCTTAGGAGCATGTATAGATTGCTATAAACATTTGTTCGTTCTTAGGCAACCTCAAGTAATTGCATCACATCTTTTAATGCAGGAATGCTGTTTTCCGTTAAGAAAATAAATCTGCTTGTGTGTGCATTAATCTGTTATTTAACTTATTTTTATGCCATTACAGGAAACAGCAGTGAGTTTCAACAAAGGCGTGTATGTAGTAAACAATTCCAACCAGGCAAACAACCATAAACCACAACCCATCGTAAAAACCTCACCCAAACCACCGCCATCACCCTCCCTAAGTTCAATGGCCAAGGACACAAAGACTGTTGTCATCGAGCAACCAAGATCCATAGCAACGGCCTTCACCCGAGTTGATTTCAACCCGAGGTCACAAGAAGTGTTGGAAACGGCATACACACGCCACAAGCATTTCTACAAACTAAATGAGACACTTTTGGACCAAGTCAACGACATGAAAGAAAATGTTTGGGACGTGAAAGGAAGACCGGGAGAAATGTTGACATACGAACAATTGATTCAAGGTATTTGGGGAAAAATGAAAACTTAATTGTACATTCGTCATATTAACATTTTGAAAATTATAAGATCGGCTACAAGTGGATTACCAGAGGTAAATTATATCTACACAAGCCTAACTGTAATAATGTAGTCCTCTCCGATTTTTTTTAACATCTGATATTTCCTCTCCAATAAAGGAGAGGACAACATTATTGCAGACATAAGTTAAGACCGTTACCTGGTCTCTGGAAAGGATTTGCAACAAGATCTAAGCGACGTATCCACTCTTCTCAGCCACGCAGAACATTTTGCATCAGAAAAAAATAGTCTAAACAATACCGTGTACGTAATAGAATAGAATAAGTTATGAATTTCTTTTTCTTTATAACATTCTTTTGAAATGGACTACACGTATATCTGACCTCTTCCGGCGACTCGTAAGCATCACATCACTTATTTTGGTTTCTGTTAATATGGAAGGTGTATTCAAGTTTCTTTTGTAAATGTCAAAGTCGCCTCAAAATTAAGGTGTCCATTTAGGGATTGGGAATAAAGTCTTCTTCCCTTTCACTTATTTTCTCATAATATTACTCCTAAAATCGAAGTATGCAAATGTACACGAATTCATAATTGGAGCAAGGTCAACCTTTAATGTCACTCGAAAGAACCTTGAAGTTCTCTGTAGTATAGATCGCTATAGTGTTTTATTAATCTGATAAGAAGAATAATTGTTATTTAAATTTTCCTTACAAACTCTAAGTATGTGTAGTCTCATTTTGGAGATATATTTTCCATGTATTACTAAGTAAGCTAACAAAGACAAAAAGCGTAGTCAAAACTTGAAGGAAAAAAATGAAATGGGGAGTCGAGTAGATGTCTCCCAGTTTGGCGACAACATCTTTGAAAATCACAATGAGACTTTAACCCCCTACTCTACGGGCAGTTACTAGTTATTTCATACGAATGTCTCTGTGCTCCCTCCCTCTCCAACCCTTTCTGTCGGAACCCTTTAAAATGAAAAGAAGCAGAGCCGATAAAGTCCTCAACGTCAAAGGTCCTGAGTCAATACGTTGGCGCAACCTGTTGACTCGGGACTCTGATTAACTGCTAGTTGGCTTATGCATTGATGCACTTTTTTTTTAAACTGTGCACGTGACTAACTAGATAGCCATTCCGGTAATATTTGTTGGTTTATCGCATTCCCCCAAAGCAATCTCTGCCTCTGCATAAAATGGCACAAGAAGAAGAACACCTCTATTAAATAAGAAAATCCTTCGTGGCAGACGTCAAGTAGACAACAATATTACAGGTTTTTAATTATCCAAACATCTGTTGTAAAGTAAAATACATTTATATTGTTATCGTTATAATACTCAGATGGACTGATTATAGATGTAACATATTGAAAGGCTCAGATAAATTAACTTCTGATAGAATGAAAAATAACATTTGCAGAATAGTTGTCTACTGTATATTCATTTGAGTCTGTATTGAAAAATAATGAGCTAAGCAAGATACAGTGTAGTAACACTTTGTAACGAAGTCTATCCGGATCTCAAATGCACATTAGAGAACTTACGAAAGATGTTAGAAAGACTCGCGTAGATGAAATTACGCGAGAAAAGTTATTGCGAATAAAAAGTAATTTGCAGGAGGATGACTTGTCAGAAAATTATATATTGTTTTTTCGGATTATTATGTGTATTAATGATTTAAAACTCTTCAATAAGAAGACACTGAGTTCCTAATTCTGACAAGTCAGGAAACGTCTGACAAGTCGTCAAACTAGTAAACGTGCGATAAGTCGACAAACTAGTAAACGCGCGACAAGTCGACAAACTAGTAAACGCGCGACAAGTCGACATATACATTTGACAAGTCGTCAAACTAGTAAACGCGTGACAAGTCGACAAACTAGTAAACGTGCGACAAGTCGACAAACTAGTAAACGCGCGACAAGTTGACATATACATTTGATAATTTGAGGTAGAAATACTAGTATGCCATCATAAATATCCATTGAAATCGAAGATGATAGTGTAAGTAAAATATGAGAAGACTGACTTTAAAGTAACGACTGACTCTTAATTTACTATGTTGATTTGCTGCGATGACAATAAAAAGGAGAAAAAAGAAAAGAGAGGAAAGAAAAACCTTGAAAATCGAGTTTCAATATTTATTTCACATCCTTCCATCATACATATTTGTTTTTCATCAGGTATGTTGGAAGAGGGTGAGATGCTTGTGTTGGGAGGGTCTTGGCTCTATTACAACAACATCGACTTCCTGGACGCAGAGGGTGTAACGTCCTTGAAACCCTCCATTGGAAAAGGAAGACTCTGCCTGACCAATCAACGTCTGCTTATACTTTCAGCGGAAAACGTGTTGGGTAGGCTTCAGTACGATGAAAAAACTGAAACATGTACATATATTTATAATTGACATTATTTAAGTGCATATCTATCAGACACAATTACTGTTGTTGCAGTTTTTGTAGATCAGATCTTCCAACAATCTATTGGAATGGTGCCCCGTTATTCGTACTTTTGTTTCAAATGTGTAATTTCTTAAGTTTGAAACTTGAGAGAAAAGTTTATTAACTTATTTGAAACATCAAGTATTGGATCAGCCTTGCAATGCCAGAGGCCCTGAGTCAAGGCGTTGCCGTTGGACGACATGTTGACTCAAGACCCCTGGTATTGCAAAGCTTACATTGGATTTTCTCATGGGCTTCTATTTTTGGCATACTAGTATTTAACTATCAAATAATTGATTCCCTCGTTTCAGATGCAAATTTAGCAGAGTATGGTGATCCCACCCGAACAGACGGTGGATATAGAATTCAAGTCTCCAAATATAACAGTGTCTACATTCAGAACCTGCCACTGGCAAGTATCCAAGGTGTGGAGCTGTCGGTGAGTGTCGGAACTGCCGAGGAAAGCCGCGTATCTATTAGGAACCCGATTTGTGATGGACTGTGTGCGTGCTTTGGAGTAAGTTTTTGAAGGTTTTTTTTATTATAAAATTGTTTATAATCACAGATGACATTTTTAGGAATGAAATTTTACGAAAAGGGACAAATTCAACCAATAGTTTGAACTTTCGGACGAACACTTAGATTTTTGATGCAAAATGCACAACATACTTCAATTTTGAATTGTAAGATGTTTACTACTTTCATAGATCAGACTATCAATGAATTTGGAATATTAGGTAGGTAAGATATGAAATTACTTTCCCAATATTTTACAGATCGGACGTTGTGCCACCACTTGGAGAACCTCAGATCCGCTCCCTGTTCTAATTAACAAGCGTGTCTTAACTCTGGGTGTGAAAATGCCGCCATGGCTGACCAAGACTTTAGTTGTTATTCATCTGAACCAAGACATGCCACTAAATATGGCTAGAGACTTTGTTGCCAAACTTCATCATCACGCTCCTCTGTACAATGAACGTGCACAGGGTTACACCAGTGTGTGACGTGTGTTTAATATCTATCATTGTAATTTTTGTTTTGTAAAATAATGCAACTATATGAATTAAACTCTTCAATGTTTTAACATTATATCGTTTGACATAATGTATTAAGATCTCCAATCAACAAACATTGACGAAACTGTCTTATAGAATTCTCAGTTAACCTTGGACTTCTGGACGTTTACATAATAAGCATCTGAAATTTACACAGCTTTCATTCACTGTTGAAATATACCTTTGATAGAAATTCATGCGAATGTCAACGAGTGTAGCAACTATCCAATAACAAAGTCTCGTAATGTAAAGAAATGGGACCAAAGTCAACTCACCGTTGACAACAACAATTTAAAGATCCTGATTTTATTAATTTCTTAACCAAATATCTTCCAATCTATTCTGAGAATCTATTCGCCATTTGACAGACGCTAATTACGTAGCACTGAGAATGTCACGCCTTGCTGAAAGTCTGAGGTTAACTGAGAATTGTACTAATCAGTAATCATGAATAAAGATGACGTACGCCGTCTTTCCATTTCGAAAAGTTCTCCAGAAAGAGGCTCTTAAGAACCCCTCTATACTTTGCACACCAAAGAGTTCTGATTCTGTGGTATTGTAATCTGAAGATTGAAGTTATCTGTCTATATATGAAATACTAGTAGCATAAACACACTAAAGGGCCAGGGCAAAAATGATCATTTTCTCAAACCATCGCACAATTTTTCGACATGAGTTAATCTTCTCTCCATTACTGGGGAAAGTTTATCTTCAAGAAAGCAAAGACCCATTTTACCTTAAAAATACATTTGTAACAAGATGTGTTTTTGAAACACTATGCGCCCGGTGGCAACAAAGTTACAAAAAAACTATTTTTAGCATATAGGTCACAGTCAAGGTCACAAGATCATTAATGTTATTTGAAAGAACTTTAGCAGTGGAGTATGCATACCAAATATGAAGTCTATTTCTCAAATGGTCCAACATTTATAGCAAAAGTTCGAAAACAGCTATTTTTTAGCATTAAGGTCACAGTCAAGGTCACAAGGTCAATGACTTTGGTGTCAATTGTATGAGCTTGATTATTGAAGTATGCATACCAAATATAAAGTCTCTATCTCCTATGCTTCGAAAGTTATCGCAAAAGTTTGAAAAAGCTATTTTTAGCATGTAGGTCACAGTCAAGGTCACAAGGTCATTGACCTTGATGTCTTTTGAGAGAACATTATTAGTGGAGTATGCATATCAAATATGAAGTCTCTATATCTCAAGGTTCAAAAGTTATGGCGAAGGTTAAAGTTTTCAGCAGACAAACAGATAAACAGACAAACAGACAGGACAAAAACAATATACGCCTCGGATCTATCTATCCGGGCGCATAAAAATTGACACAGCATTCTCATTTTTATGAGAAATGCTCGTATTCCATCTAGTTAAGGTTCATATTACCGACACTTTATAAAAGGTGGTTAGAGCGTCTGCTCTAGAGTCGCGAAGTAAAGAGTTGATCCTTACGTCGCGGGTTCGAATCCCACTGTGGGACGTGGAGACCGGTCCTTCGGATGAGACCGTATAAGCTGAGGTCTCGTGTCGCAGTAGGTGCTGGCACGAAAAAGATCCCTCCCTGCTCAATGGCCCTGAGTGTTGAGTAATGAGTATAGGACAAAATTTGTAGCTCTCCACCGGCAAGTGGTGGCGTCTCCATATGAGATGAGTGAAACATTCTCTAGAGGGACGTTAAACAATATACAATCAATCATAAGAAGTTGTGGTTCGTGTGTCTCATAAGAAAATGATATTTCGGGATTTTTATTGCTAGGGTACGGAACCCACCACATATTTATGCGCCCGGATCGATAGATCCAGGGCGTATATTGTTTTTTTATGCGCCTGGATCGATAGATCCAGGGCGTATATTATTTTTATGCGCCTGGATCGATAGATCCAGGGCGTATATTGTTTTTGACCTGTCTGTTTGTCTGTTTATCTGTTAAGCTGTTTATCTGTTTGTCTGTCTGTCTGTTGTCAACTTTGACCTTCGCCATAACTTTTTAACCTTAAGAGATAGAGACTTCATATTTGGTATGCATACTCCACTTAATTAGGTTCTTTCGAATGACATCAAGGCCAATGACCTTGTGACCTTGACTGTGACCTATATGCTAAAAATACATGTAGCTTTTTCGACTTTTTGCCATAACTTTTGAACCATAGGAGATAGGGACTTCATATTTGGTATGCATACTCCACTAATTATGTAACGCTTTCGTTTCCACACAATATCTCGAGAACCCTTTGAACTTTCGCAATGAAATTTTGCATAGCAACTCCCTATGGACTAAAGAAGAACCCTATTAATTTTGAGGTCAAAGGTCAAGGTCATAAATTCGCAAATTCTGTCTGTTATAACACTTTCGTTTCCGCGCGATATCTCGAGAACCCTTTGAGCTTTTGCAATCAAATTTTACATAACAACTCCCTGTGGCCTAAGGAAGACCACTATTGATTTTGAGGTCAAAAGGTCAAAGTTCAAGGTAGTAAATGTATACATTCTGTCTGTATGAAACACTATGCTTTCCGGGCGATATTTCGAGAAGATTTTGAGCTTTTGCAATGTAATTTTATACCAAAACTTCCTAGGTTCTCTCTCACCCCTCTCAAAGTGCCCCTTCCCGTTTGTTTTATTAATATTTATTGCATTACATGTCGCTATTTTTAGCACAGGGGCATGAGGAGCTAGAGTTACGTATAAAAGAGGTTTCTCGGTGGACTTTATATTCTTATTACATCTGTTTAATAAAGGTTAAATTAGACATCATGCACTTTGTAAAATTTGTGAATATACATGTATGTGACTTCATCTTTTATATAATTTGCACAAGTGTAAAGCAGTTCCGTGGGCTAGTGGTATGTCTCTCGCTTCACATGTGAGAGGTCCCGAATTCGAATCCCGGCCGATCCATTTTTTTGTTCAAAATACTTTTTTTTTTACTAAAGTATTCAGCATGTGAAATGAAAAATTTATGAGGTCTGGCTTGTACAAATTCATAAAATCATCATTACAGTATGATAAATTTTCCTTATAAAAAGAATCCTCTATACACATAATAAAAAATAAGCAATCAAATCTTTATATCCATATTGGCATATTTTATTTACTTCAGTATACATGTATACATTTAGCAATTCTACAAATTCAGTCAAGGGGATCCCCCCTCCCCCCGAACTGCGCGTGGTTTACTCTTTCCCTGAGTGGGGGACACAAATTCTCTGAATTAGCTTGTTTAACCACAGGATCCATACTATCCAACCACTGGTGCTTCATGCACAAACTGGTGCTTCGCCCGTTATGCAAATTATCCCAAGTTTCCAACTATCGTTGATGCCCTGGCATACTCTAGCTACTAACTAGACAGTGATTCCTCAAATCCACGATTTATATCGTCATGAACACCACAGACAGAATTTAACACCCTCCTCCATTCTTGCCGTAGTTGAATGGGATGAGAATGTTTCGTAGCTCATTAAATATTGACTAATGCAGGCGCGGATCCAGAATTTTTTTCCAGGGGGGGTCCACCCAGTTCAAAAAAAAAAATCCAATCCCAGAAATTTCTTGACAAGCAAAAAAAAAAAAAAAAAAAAAAAAATTAAAAAATGCCCAAAGTTGAAACAAAAAGCCGGGGGGGGGGGGGGGGGGGGTAGTGAAAAAATTCTATTGCTGCCTCTAATCTCTCACATTTCATACCCATTTCAAACATATACATGTTCACCAAGGGGGGTCTGCGTTTTCCAGGGGGGGTCCAAGGTGACTTTTCTCATGCTTTAGTATATACATTTCTTAACCGTGGAAATTCCAGGGGGGGTCCTGCATAAAACTACCCCCCTTTAGTGTGTAGCGTTTAGAGCCCCCCTCAGCATTTGACCGCGCATGTAATGCAAGTAAAGCATATAGTCGGGAAATTATCTTTGATGCAACCTTTTATATATGCATCATACGATCGCAATTTTCATGAAAGATGGAGATAACGAACAGTTATCAGGCTATAAAGTTCATTGAAATATATGGAGATAACGAACAGCATTCAAGCTCAAAAGTCCATTAAACAATACAAAATTGAAGCAGAGCAAACTCGGGCCTCCCAAAAAAATCAGCGATGGGATCAGGTGGCGTGGAGGAGTGAGCATTCCCCTGCCGACCGGTCACAACCGCCGCCTTCTCTTTGCCATGATTTGGAAATAACTGGAAAATCCGTCGACAATTCACTGTGTACATAATGGCTTAAGGAAGCTCTTAACACTAACAGGAATTAACTGCATTTTGGACTTACAGAAAAATATTTCATATAAAAATGTACATATTGAGACTTTTTCTTTCATTTGTAAGATAGGGTACCTGCCTTATTTCCACAGCAAAAATGTTTAAAGCCAATGGACTACTTAATTGTGAGCAGAAATGACTGCTGTTTACTTACATTGCGAAAATTACTCTAAATAATGAATTCAATTACTTATTCTTGGTCTTATATAATGCTAAAAATATTTCAATCTATTACAAATCATGTAATTAACTGTAAATAACATTTTTAAAAATCTTACTTCTAAGGGCAAATCACTCTACCTGCATAAAACTACCCTATACTTAGAGCTCTTTCGTGTGTAGCGTTTAGAGCTTCCTTAATAATTAGCATGAAAAACGTCTGTCAGCATTTGACTTCATGTTCAATTGTTGTATTTGCTGACAAGGTCATTGTTTCGACCACAGAACTTACGAAATGGTGTCTTGACTTTTAATAACAAAAATGGTGATATCCTTGTTTCAGTAATTTGACAATAATTTACCTTTATTAAAAACTGTTCATACATAGAACATGTTCTTGCTTTTCGAATCAACTGAGATATAAACCCCGTATGCAGGTGAAGAAGGTGTTTTACTGTAAAAGTAAGGGAGGTTGAAGATTGAAAAGTTTAAAGTCATCACATATATCATCAAGCTTGGTAGTTAGATAATGGGAATAGAGCAAAAAAGGACCTCTCAAAAAATCAGAGCTGGGATGGGGTGCCATGGAGGAGTAACCATCCTCTGCCAACCAGTCACAACCTTGGAGTGCTCCTTGTCATGTTAGGGGAGACGGAGAGATCGGTATATAACCCAGCGTGTTAATAATGGTTTAACAATGAATACGAAAAACATGTCAGCATTCCACTTAATGAAAGATTGTACTTGCCAATAAGGTCGTTGTTTCTACCAAAGAAATTATAAAATAATGTCTATACAATGTAATAGATTATTGACATCCTTGATTCATCAACTTGTTTGTCAATAAATTGCCTAAGTTTTCAGCTGTCCTCTGACAAGGATGCTTGTCATTTAACACTGCATGGCTTTTAAAAGAAAAATAATGTTAATGTAAAAATAAAAACTTTGAGGAAATTTTTATTTCATTATCCATTCAAAATTTGAACACAGTTTTAATGTCACCATAACAAAATGACAAATGGGAAAATCACCAAAGTACATTGTATCACATTTAATCATTATAATTAAATGATTTAAAAGAAAATCTCTCACCATAAAGTTTGAAGGAAAAATAAAATCTACAAACAATTAACAGTTTGTATATATGAAGGGTGAGAATGTTAGACTTAGTCAACATCGAGGTCAAACATTATGGCATTGGAGAAGTCAAAAGCACACTTAGTAGTGTGGTCCTGAGTGGTCAGGTCAGTGACATTAGGAGCCTTAGACTGGGTCACAGGAACAGGGTCAGCCTTGGATGGCTCCTCCCAGGTGAGTGCCGTCTCTATCTTGTCCCCTGGCTTCTCGGAGGAATCGCCTGGTCCCTCCAGGCCACTCTCCACACCGGAATCTTCACCACTCTGCTTGGCAGAAAGGTTGGAGGATTTATCTAGCTGCTCTGTGAATTTTGATTGCTTGGAATGGCCAACTTTAGTTGGATTAGTCCTAAAATCTAGCGGTTTATCTTTGACAATCACATGAACTTCCTCTTCTTTCACTCCATTCACATTTTTCTCTTCCACTTCACCACCATCGTCATCACTATCACTGCAGTGCACTGGCTTTGCCATGGACAATTTCTCCTTGATATCTTTCACCAGCTTGCTTTCAACACTCTCCAAGGCAACATTACACGTCTCTAATACATCAGAGCTAATCTTATCACCATCTTCCACTTCTTTCTCCCTTTCACTGCTCTTTCCTTCTATAACAACCTCCTGAGACTTGACTTGAGCCTTGATTGAATCCTCTTCTTTCCCAGCCTCCTCCTGGATTACAACTTCCTGTTTATCAGTGCTGGGGGTCTGCTCTTCCTCATCTTCCACAAACTGCCTTGATTCCAATTCCTCTCCACTAGATGTACCCTCTATTAAACAAAATGGTTCACATAATTTATCAAATTAGATGAGTAAAAAAAACATTTTTATCTTTGTCTGCCAGAAAAATTATCTCCATTTTCATTACATTAAATAAGATACAAACATTCATTTTATTACAATGTCAGATATTTGCTATATTACTATTTTAAAAGAACAAAAACAAACTTTACTCATCTAATTTGTGACAAACCTGAGCCCCCACTGTTCAGCCGCTGTCTACCACTTTTCTTTTCATCTCTTTTCCTGTTTCTGCGACGTTTACTCTTCAGAGCTGTAGTCATGGAAGTGACGGCTGCTCCAGAGCGGAATGTGGTCTGATCGATACGATCATTAAACTTGACCGATTTCTTGAATCCAAACAGGTCCTCTCGTGGACTGCTGGGACTGCAGCTGCTATTGGAACTTGTCAAATCCTCACTAGACTCCGACACTGTGCGTTGCTTTAAAATTCCCTGCAGGTTACTGACTTCTCGATCATGAACAACCTGTTAGAAATAAGAAATAATGCGAAGATATAAACACTAAGTCCATAATGTTTAAATTTACTTTATGTGTCTTTATATGATGTGATGTATCTTCACTTAAGATCCACTATGAAGTCACTGCATGGCATGTTTTGTTACTTCATGGTGAGAAACCATGATCAGTTGTTTCTGGGTTACCTGAATATCTGCTGAAGGCGGTCCGTTGTCTACAGAAGCCAACTCCTCTTCTTCAGAATCTGTCAGCGGGGTAATAGTCCTCGCGCCTGATGATGATGATGCCTGGTTTGTCTTTACATGTTGCTGCTTGTTCTTCTGAAACATGGAAATCACCCTGAATGTTAAAAATCCGAGTATATCTGCATTTTTCTATACACATCTATTTATTTTATCTTACTCATAAATTTCCATACCTTGGACTTCTAAAAGAACACTTGCAATAATTCATTATTACCTTGACCTTTATCGCCAGTTTCTTTTTATTCATTTCAGTCACAACAACTGAGGCTGTAGTTTCTGTCTCTGGTTCCACTTGTTCTGGTTCTGCCGTCAGCTGATTAAGTTCTGTCAGAAGGTTCTTCTCAGTCACAAACAAGTACTCCTAGAATGAAAACAGTTAAAATATTATGAATTATTTCAATATTGGAAAATTGTATTTTGACATGTTAAATATAGATACATCAAATCATTTTGGAATTTCCGTCAGTGAAATTCCGAGTAGGAGACAGAATTAATTAATCCCTAAGGTTACCCAAAAATGATTTCAATGTCATTCAAAACTTCTGGAAGTTCCAATTATTATTTTTTCGCACGGAGAAGGCAAATCAGGGGAGGAGGGGGATCATAAAACATTGTCTGTATAACGCTGCGATGAATGCTACTACTCATAATAAAATAACTTAATTACCAACTTCCCTGTCAAAAGTAGGTCAATCAGCTGACATATTAATACATGTGCACGAAAACCCCAGACTTTTAAAACGAAATTAAAGATAATTAAACCTCTTTTAATATGCATAAATGCCTCAAATAATTGCTTGTTTTCATATTCTTGAAAATGTCGCTAATCCTATTTACTTTTTGCAATGGCAGCGATTTCGGACGAGGCTGGGAGGCGAGAGAACGCCCATGTGCTTACCTTTATAAGATGAAACACACTAAATGTCAGCTAACAATTTATACGCAAAACGATCCAGGTATATATCTAGGTTAAAATAAATAAATGCTCAACGAAAGGAAAATTGTCCTTTGTGCAATATCTACCGACTCGGAGTTATGTACACTTTATCGTCTCTCTTGAGGAAGCCGTTTGAGCATGCCTCATAAGAAAGGTCAAGGACATATTGGTTGTTTGTGCTGAGTGACCACGCTGCGTTGTTTGCAATGTTTTATGGCTGAAAACATACAAAAAACAATCCCAGCATTTCTCCGTCATATCATCAACTGTCACATACTTTCTAGGTCTTTGTAGAATAAAAATATGACGAAATATCGATTGACACTTCATCATCTTAGTTAAGGGGGTGCGGATCCAAGATTTTTATTCCTCCCCCTAATCAATTTGAGCATTGTCGTCGGAAAAGGGGGGGGAGGCTAAGTGAAAGAGAAAAAAATTCAAACCTAAAAAAAAATTGACAAGCAAAAAAAAAAAAAAAAGGTGGGAAATGTATCCATTTTCCAAACAAGAAAATCCTATTTGTGGGGTGGAGTGGGGTGGGGGGATCGAACTTCTTTCAGTACAATTTTTTATTTCCAAATTTCCAAACAATACACTTACCCTTATTTGATCTAAACTGCAACTGAACGTGCCTGTGTCTAATCCTATGCCCCAATGTTCAATACCTATCTTATGTCTATCTTGGCAAAAAAGTGGTGGGACAAAGACCCCCCTAGCCCCCCCCCTTCCGATGCCTAATTGTTATGGTATTACATTCTGACAGGTGCTACAGGCACGTATTACCAGGAAGCTGAGGGCAGGGGGAGTGCCCACTCCCCTAATATTTTCCCAAACATTTACCATCATTCCCTCCCCCCTCCAATAGGATTTTCAAGTTTGGAAATTAAATTTCTTTTTTGTCTCTTTTTCAGCCTTTAAGTAATTTTTTTTTTATATCTGTGCCCCCCCCCCTCCCCCTTCCCCATTACAAATTCTCACATGTGCATTGAGACTGGCCGGGTTATCCTTTTAAAAGAACTGAATTTGCAATGGACATTAAGAAAAGAAGAGGGTCTTTGGCTAGCCTAGCTACTCTCCCAATAGGGGTATAAGGGGGGATAACCAGGAGGTTACATCATTGTAGACATGGAAATTCCCAAGTCCTGGATCTACTTAGTGAGAACCCTAATGTGTATAACTTACTACACAGCCAGGCCACAATTTTATTGCTTCTTGGCCATTTTGGGCAAAGATGACATATTGTAGTAGCATTGTTGTACAGGCACCTGACTTTATTTTTCTTTTAATTAAAACTTTTTTTTAGTAAAACCACCTTTAACCTATATAATCAATGTTGAGTATATGGTGTTTTTTTAAAAAGAAAAATAACATGAGGAGCCTGTGCAATGTTGGTATTCATGACTGTATTTCTGTACACAAGAATATTGTCAATATATTTACCAGTACATGTAATGTGTATGTAAGACTGTGAGTATTAACTTTAACCTTGCAGATAAGGCTAAGCCTAAGAAGTTGAAAGCAATTCTTTTTGGTGAAATGAATAAGTAATTTAAAAATTGCAATCAAAAGCAATTACTGATATCATGATTGATATATTGCTGCATCTACCAATGTGGATCAAAAGAAATAGGCTGGGATATTGATGATTATGTACCTGAAGGTGATCTTCACTGCTGCCCGCATAGAACATATGCCAATCTCTTCTAGCCTTCTTTTCCTTAAGGATGGTCAGCACAACATTGGCTTCATTCACATCTGTAGTGCAGTACTCTGGGACAATGTCACAACCTTCCTCGAATTTGACAATGAAGCGGTAGTGTATTGGAAATCCTCCTGAGCCTCTTGACAAAAACTGAACCTGACAACTGCATGAAGAAAGGTAAGTTACTGAAACAGAATCAGGGATGACATTCCAAACCTTCAAGACAAATGAAACAGCTTCAGTGTCCTGACTGAAGTTAAAATCGGGAAATCCATAGGCCACTTTTGGAGCAGAAGGGAGATTTACAGGCTCAGAATCTTGGGGTTTTGTTTCAGCATGTTCAGGAGATGAAGGAGTTTCTTCCAGGTTATGTATCTCCTCTAAATCTGGTAAATCATCATTCTGTGGAATTTCTTCAATCAGTTTGGGAGTTTCTTCTTGGTTTTGAAAAGCTTGTTCTTCCCGAGTTTCCACATCTCTGGCTCCAGAAAATGGCAACTCTACTTGTCCCAAAGGTAATACTGGTAAAGTTACAATCAAGCAGTGCTTTGACTTATCAAATCTAGCAGAACCTTGCTCATCATCCACAGGAAAAGGCAAATTTAGATCCAACTTGTACATTGCTGGTTTTTCTGAAGACAATGACAGTTTTTTCTCAAAGACATCAAGTTCTACTTGGTTTGCTGAGTCTAGCAAAGGTAATTCAATTCTGATTTCTAACTCATTTGGCCTGGTACTGGTTTTAGCATCTGGGGCATTCCGATATTCCTGCATGTCAATATTTGATCTATGTTTAATAGAATATTTAGGCTCAGTCGGTCCTTCTTTTTTCTCTGGGGATTTTTGAGACTTTGTTTTCTGACCATCTACTTTCTTCTTATTTTTAAGCTTTTCTCGCATTTCTTCACTTTTTTCAGCACTTGTTTTATCATCATATGGGTAGGGAATATTCTTCAAAACACTGTCAGGTTCTTCATCAGATGATTTCTTGGTAGGCTGGTTAGATCTTGTTCGAATGACGGTTGCAACAGGAACACCTTTATACTTCATTTTCATTGGTTTCAAATTTTTGCGATCAATTTTTACACCAAACTGATTCTCAATACCTTCAACAGCAGTATCCTCAACAAGCTTCATAAAACGAGGATTCTCGCCCATTCTGTATGTGTCAGGGTTGAACACCACATCAAACACTTTGCATTTTCCACCAGATTTTGCAATATCATCTCTGGGTGGAGAGAAAGCATGAGGAATCTGCCAGTGTAAACCTTTACGACCGTTGCTAACTTGAGGGGTAGAGTGTGGAGTATCAACTTTGTCATTCACACATATATTGATGAACGCCTTTGTGTTCCCGTCTACACTCGTTTTAATGCAGTGACCTGGTTTGGGGTGGACAAACTGAACATCCATTCCTCTTTCATTCTCCATTTGTGTGATTTCTTCCTCATATTTCTTTCTGTTTTCAGGATTGGAAATTTCTTCTGCGTACTCAACGAAGAGTTTTCTAAATTCCTCATTCTTAAGAGCTTCTCCAATTTGCTTAATTTCGTCTGAAGAAAGATTTAGATCTTCAAATTTTTCTTTGGAAGCCATAGTTGTTTAGGCATGTACCTTGACGACTTAGTCTGTGTAATTCAGACGCTTTTGAGACAAAATAGACATATCCGTAAAAAACGGAAAATTAACAGGTGCCCGTTATCAAATATGAATCTCATCCAAGTAAAACTAGAAAAGCAAAAATGACCAATGTTTCAAGATAATTAGCTATTATAAAGCATATTAAATATTTTAAAACCAAAGTTATCATTTTGGTAGTGTTGTCCGTTTTGTCCAATGAAATTGTAGGAATCGGAACTCCTCTGATGTATTCCGTCTTGCATGTACAAAAATTAGAAAGAAACCGAAGAACTTAACAAAGTTGGCCAGTGTACTCCAGTTGCAGCTGTATCCTCCACAAATTTAGTTGTAGGAATTCAGAATAAAGAACATGGCAGGTGTGCTGTTGAGAGCAGGATACACAAGAAGTGTAAGTTTGCCATGCTTTGTGTTTGTTAGTTTATTTATCGGGAAAGAATTTCTCCTTTCAGTTGGACCAAATTAAGTTAAGGTCAATGGATTGGCAAAAGTCACCATTAGGTAACGGAGAAAAAACCATGACACACCATATCCATTTTATGTAAGCGAAAGCCTGTCCACTTCTCTAAAGAGAATAAATAAAGATCATGTGGAATCGCAAATGTTGTTTATCATTTGGATAATATGTATGATTAAAACGATGCACTCAGCTGCTCAGCATGCTCAGAAAGATATTAACATTGACTGATTGAGCTATGAGTAATAAGCAAATTATAGAGAAACTAGTCCTACTCATTTCTTTTTTTATGCCCAGTCATGAAAGGATGTGTCATGTTGTCTTCTGTTCTTCCATTTCAGCTTTACATTAAGCTCAGTTACAAAGAAACTATTCAAGATACTTCTATGCTGATAGATATTTATGTGAGCTATTCAACTACATCAACATCTTTTGACCTTGACCTTTCCTTTGACCTTGACCTCAGATTTTTTAAATTAAGGTTTAGCCTAGTTTTAACATGCTTAAAGACACCATTCAAGATAATGTTATTGTTATCAAACTTCATATGCTGGTACATCTGAAGAAAGCTATTCAACTGCATCAAAATTTTTTTACTTTGACCTTGACTTCAGTTTTCTTAAATAAGTGTTTAGCTCAGTTTTAAAGAAAACATTCAAGATGTTTTATCAAACTTTAGGCCATTCCAAGTTTTTTCTCTGTTTAGCATCCACCCATCTTTCAAAAACCTACCTACCTATTCGCAAAAAACACACAAGCCAAAACATAAAAGACAGGGCAGCTTAAAAGTCATAAAAATTATGCCCTTCAAATGATTTGGTCTAACTAAACTGCTTTTTAGAAGACATATCTATTCTTAAGCAAAAACAAGGGATTAAATGTTTAAAATACACCCAGTATAACTTACTTTACAGAATTCAAAAATTTCAACGAAATTAATAAATTTCAGGACTCCTGATGCTGTGTTTTTTCTTATATGGGGTGTCAAAAACCAAGGCGCACGCGGACGCTAAACATATTAGAAAAAATTTGAAATGGCCTTATGTGCTGAAACATATTAGTGAGAGGTATTTAACTGCATCAGAAACCTTCAACCTTGCACTTACCTGTGACCTTGACCTCACTCATCTTTGAAAAGCGTTTTGCTTAGTTTTTAAGAAACCATTCAAGATATTTTATTGTAAGCTTTTGCATTAATGATTTGGTGAGAATTTTCATCTTCATCCATTTTTTTTAGATTTCTATTTAAATCTTAAAGAAACTATTCAAAATATTATCATCAAACTTTATACGCAAATACAAATTTTCATGTTGCATTACAAATATGCACTAGACGGTGCATTCATGTCCTATGGACCTATTTGTAGTGTTATATATTTAATGGTTACATCGTTAGGTCATGCATACATCATGTACAAGATGGATGTATATTAAATTTTTTTTAGAATATATTTTCAATGGTCAATAAATAAAAAAAATTGATTGACACATAAATTTTATGATAAACTGCTGTGTTTATTAATGAATTATTGTTTTAGTTTATTATACAATTATAGCCTTTTGATGAGGTCAATCCCTAGATATATAGACCTTAGAGAAAGCATATCGACCAAGCACGAAGTGCGAGGTCGATATGTTTTCTCTAAGGTCTATATATCTAGGGATTGTACCGAATCAAAAGGCTACAATTGTTTTATTATTTTTTGTCAGTTAATAAGAAATGTCTTAGAATCCCTTTTCTAATACTCAGCACCTTCTCATATAAGGCATTGTTATGTCATATGCATTATGACGTCACAGTAATGAATACCAAATGCAGTATCTGTTTTTAGAAACATCCAGTTCATAAATACTATTGTGACATCAGCACTATTGTTGCTTCACAGAAGAACGTTTCCAATTTTAGAAACAGCAGGTTTATAAATTTTTAAAATAGAAACATCGAGTCCATACCACTTTTATACTTGATCATGTGATCTAGTTTGAGCGAGTCAGATAGTTGGAACAATATAGAAAAATAATAATATGAGATAATATTCTTCTTTTATAGATTTCATCTTTAAAGAGTTTGAACAGATTGTACTCTAGCTCAGCGGTAAGGCTCATTTTATGCAAGTCTTGGTCTATGAAAAATTGAGGCTATAATTAGACTCGCATTAAATCATTGTAAACATGCTGCTTTAAAATTTGTACATCAGATGTGTATATGTATGAAGTGTATGAAATATTTCTAAAAAAAAAAAATGAAGCCATATCATTCAGTATTCTGTTTTTTTTTAGCCAACAACAAAATTGTTCATTGATGGAAAGTTTGTGGAATCAAAGTCAGATATATGGATTGATGTTCATAACCCAGTAAGTACTGATGTTCTGTATCAGATTAAGATAGTTTGGTTGATGTACGGTTCATTTTGTAAAGTAAATACATGTAAAACAATTTTAAACTTTTTCCAGGCAACCAATGAGGTGGTGACCCGCGTCCCTGAGGCGACCCAGGATGAGATGGAGGCGGCGGTGGCGTCCTGTAAGAGAGCGTTTGAGAGCTGGTCTCAGACCACCATCCTCACCCGACAGCAAATCATGTTTAAATTCCAGAATCTCATCAGAGAAAATCTGGTAAACATAAGTCATTATATCAATATTGAATGGGTATGAAGGTGACAAATCCTAGAAAAGAATGCAGATCCTTCAGGATCACATTCACATTCAAATATCCTTTCACAAGACCTTTGAAGTTTATCTTCTCTAGATCTGCACATACATGTACTTGAAGGCATGGTTATTTGTAACTTCACAGCAAGTTTTATTTGTAAAAAAGTGTTTTGTATCACCCTTTCAGTTTAATTATTGCTTAGAATTTAAAATAAAAAAAAAAAAGAAAAGTGTTGGTGTTTTTGAAAATGGTATATAATATATTTTTTCACAAGAAAATCTCTTCAATAGAGAAATTTACTGTGCTTATTGACAAACAATTGTAACACAGAATGCTTAATATTTTACATAATTTAAGAATCACATAATACCCATATTTTCACTTTGTTATTTCAGAGTGATATTGCCAAGAACATTACCTTAGAGCAGGGAAAAACTTTAGTAGACGCAGAGGGAGATGTTATGAGGGGACTTCGTAAGTGTTAACCAATGTTAACTACTTGAGTTATTGAAAGACTTAGAACAGATCTAGAAGCTTTTTGTAGTGTTGTTATCTTGAAGTAGAAAAGGTTTTGTATTTGACAATATATTTTTGTGACTGAATGAATAAATATCTTGAATTGAATTGAAACAGAGGTTGTGGAGCATTGTTGCAGCATTACCTCCCTTCAGCTGGGGGAGACCTTACCAGGGATTGCCAAAGACATGGACACAATGACTTTCAGGGTCCCCCTTGGAGTCACTGCTGGAATCACCCCATTTAACTTCCCTGCTATGATCCCGTTATGGGTAAGTAAAACTCCTTATTCAAATTATCTGCTATGTTCTCTATATGGGTATGTAGAGATACACATGTCATTGGTTTTCTTTAGGCTTTTCTTTTGATGTTAAATAAACCTCCAGTCTCCATCAGGCATCATAATTTGTTAATCATTTATGTGCATCTATGATGTTAACTTTTAACAAATTAATTTCCTTCCAAACTACTTTTAGATGTTCCCTATGGCTCTGGTGACAGGGAATACCTGCCTAATGAAGCCCTCGGAGCGTGATCCTGGAGCCTGCATGATGCTGATAGAGATGGCCAAAGAAGCTGGCTTCCCTGATGGAACTGTTAATGTCATTCATGGCAGACATGATTGTAAGTAATTGATGAAGAAAATCACTCATAAGAAGCGGATAAAGCACAAAATAGTTAAGTTCTTGTAATTTGTAGTCAAATAAGTCTACAAGCAGTAATTTCATAATGATTTTGTAAAGTGTAAAAGATGTTTAAAAAACTGCATGTTTAGAGATCATAACTTTTGATCCAGAGTTAGGTGTAGGAATTTCTTTTAGATATTATTACAGTTGCAGGGTTCTCCACATTTGAAAATTTAACCATGGAGGAAGCTGCGCGAAGGCGAAATGTGGCCGAAAACACTAATGCATCTTAGACTTCCTAATCTTCATTAATTAATGATTGGTTTTACAATTTTTAAAACATACCCATATCTTGCAACACAAAATAATGAAATAACTAACACTTTTTAAAGTAAAAAAAAATAATTAAATTGAACTGAATTGAAATTACACTACTAAAAAAGGCAGTATGAGAACTATTATGGGCAATAATTCTTCTCTTTCAGCTGTAAACTTTATCTGCGATCACCCAGACATAAAGGCCATATCTTTTGTGGGATCAGATCAGGCTGTGAGTTTATATCATATTTATCAATCAAATTGTAAAAATGGAGCCAGAATTTATATCTTATTACAACAGCTGCTGATAAACAGCTATAATTGCCATACCTGTTTTTCCACAGAAACCTATGTCATGTTTTGTATGTTTTAGGGGAAATACATTTATGAAAGAGGATCCCAGAATGGCAAGAGAGTCCAGTCCA